CATGACAGCAGAGTAAGATGGCAGCATCAATCTAAATAGGACGTTATTTAGTCTTTCGTAGAGTGACTGCTCAAGAACAGCTTCCTCAACAACTGTTTGAGTGCTAGTCTTTGTTAGTGGATCAATCAAAGGTTGGCAACCAGCAGGATTTAATGCAATTGTGAAGTGAGTGGTAGTTTGACAGTTTGCTCAAGGACCAGGGACGAGACAGTCCTCCCCCTGGGCCAAAAGACGTCCAGTGCAACTCGGTCCCCTCCGCGGAGCATATACTGGCTCTAGTAACAGCCATTTCTCGAGTAAACTCATATCCTGGCGCCTTGAGTTACGTGTGGCATATTCGGCCAAGATGTCGACAACCTCCGGATTCTAAAACCGTAGTGTCAGTCCCGAGTGTCTACTTCCTTGGCATACCGTTGGACGCGGCTACCCTCTCAGATCTTCTCCTGAAAGCAAGCGGAGGATTTCGACGGAAAATGAAAACTATCAGGTTTGAATCCCATACAGACAGCGCGTAATTGTGCCACAGCTGAGGTCATCATGACAACAGTGGCATGTTTGCAAGATTACCAAGTGCTCAATCTCGTGGCCAGCGATGTCGAAACTGAGTGATCTCGTATCCCGCTCAGTTGGCTTTATCATACAATGATTGACTCATATCTGTAGAATTAGTGCTGGGAGGGTCTCATCCTGGGAGTATTTGTGTGTATGAGCTTGATACAGTAGCATATCATCATCATCATCATCGTCATCATCATCATCACCATCATCACCATCCTCACGTAGTCGGCTAGGCGTGTGAAATCCACGAGCCACGGTGTTGCTCATACACAGCGAGCCCGAATAGAAACAGATGAGATCACGCACCCTGCAAAAGGAAGTTGACGTTTATGTAAAATGCATTTCTTCAAAGTGAAGCTTGAAACCCGTCTGGTGTGCCCCTTGTATGGGCGCCATGTAAGCGTGACTCGGTGTTCAGCAGTCCAACCTGTAAATATTCCCCGATTCCAATCTCGAAAAAAGGAGGCCACGCGAAACATGAGATAAAGCCATTCCTAAATAGCCCTGTGCTCAAAAGTGAGGTGTTGAGCATACAAATTTATATGGACAAGCCCTATGCAGTGTCACTTGGCTCAGCCTCGACGAGCGAGATTATTGTGCGGCGTATCTGTACAGGAGAGCTCACCTTTCCCCCATGTCTCTGTCGACTCAACATTGCTGATGTATAAGTACAACCTAGAGGCAAAACACACGACAAGACTACTGGGCGCAGGAAAACTAGACAACATGAGGGCTCGGCTGCAATATCGGGCCTGCTCAAGCTTGTAACGGCGATTTTACATGCCCTACATTAACTACCGCAAGACACGCTTTACGAGCGAGACACAGCTGATATGATTCACCACATGAGTACATGCACATGGAAAACGTGAGACTATACAGATCGCCCAGGTGTCGTCCCATTCTTAGGGTTCAGACGCGTAACCCAACGGAGTGTCCTACTTGCACTTTGAAGAGGGATGCCAACAACATCAGCGAGAGAAACAGCCGCCTGACCGAGAGTTATCCGCCCAGCTCCCACGTTGCATAGGCCAGCATGGCATGACACATTGACAGGAGCCGACGAGTGCGCAACATCAGAGTTAATTGACTCAGTAGCGCTGACTCTGCGTTTTCCAATGTGCAGAAGGGACACTCTCTGCATGCGCGGCGAAGTCGGGCTGCGCAAGTGCTGACTATAGCAGCAGCTGATATATAGAAAGTGCATCTCACATCTCACCCTTCAGTTTCTGCCGACCGGTAAGTTAGTTGCTGACCGAGAGACGCAGCCGCAGCGTCTTGGGTCAACCAGCTAGCTGCAGGTCATCGACCTTGCCGAGATAATAGGAACCGGCCGTTGTGCAGATAAGGGTGTTGTCCCACGGGCAGCGATCTGCACGGTCCCATGCAACAGCTCCCCCCCACGGACCGTGAAATAACTAGTGACCCAAGCGGCATCATCCCAAGATAAGAAGAAGTTGCAAGCTGGGCTCGCGACTGTCTGACCACGCATCTAGGCCAGGCTGAGGGGCCAAGACGGCATGTCAGCTGTCAGATTGAAGAATGGAAGATTGGGGTCTAAGCCTCTCTCTCCAGACTAGACCCCAGCAGGCCATTGGAGCCAAGGATAGCCGGCTGCAGGTTGCGTGCATCCAATGCCACCTTGGGGCCGTTGCCAAGAAACCACAATGTACGACGGACGGGCCCCCCTTGAAGATAAGGAGGACGCTGGCTGGCCTCTTTGCAGAACTTGTCTCGACAGCGGACCATCGCGTAGGTTCAGTGCTTACCGTTCCCCTGGAAGATAAGGAACTCTGAAAAAACATTAGCTGCGAGCCGCCAGAGATAGGCCTGCTGGCTGCGCTCGGACGACGCTGGCTGACGACCTGCGGGCCAGTCGTGGCTGGGAATGGTTGGTTGCAAGTGAGCTAGCTAACTGAATTGGAAGCCTATGGCTGCAGTTGCCGTCCACAGAAAGCCCACTGGCCGGAGCTGAAGAGAGAGTGGAATCATTCGGCAGCTTTGCTATCTATGGCGGTTCCTGGCTGCTGTCGCGTGCTCGACATCCACCCAGATTCAGGAGGCAGGGGTATCTGGGCCCCGGGCCTGCAATATCTGGCGAGAAGAAGTGAAGAAAAAGACTTGGGTATGCGAGAGATGACCAGATGGGGACTTGGAAAGCACAAAGAGAGTCAAAACAAAGCAGTCTATCCCACGACAGTGTCGCACTCGACGGGCTGGGATCACCGATCTGGAAGCCGGCGACAGGGATTGCCCAACAAGGACGTAATGACTGGCTGGGATACTGCGGGCGGGCCAGCACGAACGTGTCATAAGCCCTGCCCTATATCGGCCGGATCGAAAAGGCCGTCGGGCAGTGGATGGAGGAGGCCCATGCCCATGTCGACGGGCGGCTTTCGCTTTTGCAGCGACAAGGAGCAACAAACTCAATTGAGGTGGTTGGCCCTCGAGCTTAATGCTAATCAAAATGGAGGACAGGCAAGCCCACGTTTGCGTTCCTGGCACCCCACGCCATGTCTCTGCAGGTTTTCCCATCAGAGTTTCGGCCATGACTAGAGCAGGATGACCTCATGCATATGGACGACACGAGGACGCGGCTTGCCGGCCGGCACGGGGATCCGAGGTGCAAGTGGTACCGATGGCCAAGCCTCCAAAAGCCGCAACACCATGTCGCACGGCTGTGGGCGGGCGGAGGACGTGTTCCCATTGTTTGCGTGCAGAAAGCTTGGAACCTAGCGCGGGTGGTCCCTGGTACCTGGTGGTGCCGGACGGATCCTTGCTGGATGATGGATGGTGATGATGCGTCGCCGTGGTTGCACCTCGACGCAATTTCGCAACCATCCATGGATGGACCCATGAAGCACACCCTGGCACTGCATGCTGTTGTCTTGTTTGGCTCATGCCAGGGCCCGCCTGGAGACGGAGCGTCCAGGCATTGGATGGAGCAGCATTGTGATGGAGCGGCAAGGAAGGCATGGCGCTCCTCTGGACTGGTGCTCGACGCAGAAGAGGGAAGAGGACGAGGATGGCGGCATACTTGGTACGTACCATGGGCAGGAAACACGCAGGGTCCGTCCCCGGCGTGGCCTCGACCAATCGCGGGTGAGGCCCGGCCGAGGGAGAATGCGTGTTTGCAGACAACGAATTCCTGGGGCCAGTGCGTGCATGTGAACCATATTGACTCCAGGGAGGCACAATCTCGAGATTGTTCCTGGGGTGGTGGCTGTCAGTCCCTGCCGTGCTGGCCCGACCTGCCTGATCCAAGCGGCTGCTTTGGATGCATGTAGGGCAGAGCTGGATGCCATCGGCAGTCGACAGCCACGGACGGTACGACTGTTTGTTTGTGCCACCCACTCTCAGGCACGCCTCCTCTGTCGCCTGCAACCATGACCGCCGGCTTACAACCTCGAACACGCTCTGCTCTGTTCTGCCCCAGACATCCACATTGCCCACAGATGACCTCCCGACCAAGTGGCCTTGCCGAGTCAGTCGGTCCCTGGCCCATCCCTGCTGCCACTGCTTGTTCCGACTTTGAGAATCCCCACTGTCGCCCGTCACTGCCATCCATGACTTGCTCCAGTCCTCGGCGCAAACTTACGTACGTACCTACTGCGTAAGGTAAGGCCTGGGTGCTGCTTGGGTTGCTCTGTCCGCCATAATTATCATCCGTCCGCATGCCATGCTCCTGCGCGTCTCTCGTCTGCTCCGTTCTCCTCTTCTCCCTTTCTGCACGACACCTATAACACCGTGGGCAGCAAGCATCACACTTGCCGTTATCGTGCCGACCAGGTGCTGCTCCCCCGTCGCCCTCGTCTACGGTGGTCTACATAGTGTCTGGCCAGCCCAAGACCCCGGACTCTGAACCTGCATGGCGCCCTCGCTGGTCCATTTGTTATCTGCTTAGCAGGGGATAACTTTCTGTCACCTCTCACCAAGACACACCAAGACACGCCTTTGCACATCTGGCTTTGGATAACTAGCGCCTGTCGTGTCCTTTTTCTTTTTCCCATTTTCCTTCGTCGACTTGCCGTTGTTCCTGGCCACGGGACAGACAACAACAAGACTGCCTTTTTCAGCTTGGGCTGTCCTTCCCAATACCTTTCCCAGGACTGGCAACTCTTCGAGTCCAGCCCAGCTGGACCACCTCCCATTGACAACGCTGTTTCGACCCGCCTTTCAGCGCAGAGCCAGCCATGGCGCCTGGCAGTTCCGCATACTGCCCAGTTGCGCAGGACGATGAGTCCAGCCAGCACCCAAAGGATGCCGCAGTGCAAAGGACAGCCTTTTCGCCGGCGCCCTCGACATCGCCCATGCCGCTGCTGCCGGCTGCAAAGACGTTGACGCCCTTATCCATGACCAGTGACGACGACGACGGCGACTTGGTGCACGTCGACGCCATCGGGGCCATGTCCGGGGGCGCATCCAGCCCCAGCGCCATTCCCAGCGCACCCACCAGTTTTCACGAGCCCCAAGCACGAGCCACAGCGAGCGCCAGCGCACCAACCGCCTCCATGGGTGGCGGCCCTCCGGAATACGAGCCAGTTGCCCCTGGAAGCCGCCAAAGTCCCATCGCGACTGAGACTCCTTTGTCTCAGTCACCGTCTCGCACAATCTCACATTCTGCAGCAGCGCACATTCACCATGCTGCAAACTCTGTAGCCAGCTCAGGTCCCGCCACCGCCCAGCTCTCTTGCAGCCCACCCGCCGACAGCACAGAGACGGCCGCCCCATCCTTGCGAACTGATCGACAGAGCCCGACCAGCCGCCCTATCGAGACGACACAAGACCCGACTGCAGCAGCGGCAGCCGCTCGAGGAAGAAGCGCAACAACCAGTAGCCTCATCAGGCAGAGACTCCAAGAATTGCCTTTGGAGTCGTCACTTCCGACCGGCATCATCAAGCCACAGCCAATTCTCCGGACTGCCTCAACCAAGAGCGTGTCCTTGCGTCACCCGGCGCCCGACATTACGCTGCCCAACACCCGGGCCAGCAGCATCGCGCAACTCGAGGCCACGGCTGAGAGGCTGTCGATGACCTCGTCCATTGAAGACGCGATCCGAGACTTGCACGACGAGCAGAAGCGTATCGACAGTAGACGCTCGTCCATCCTTGCCGCCAGTGTTGCTTCTGCCAACGAAGGCTCCGAACTACCGTACACCTTTTCTCGACAGATTTCCGGCACGAGCTCCATCCTCGAAATCAACAACGCAGCGAGGCAAGGCGGCTACTCACCAGCTGCCTATGTCCTGTCCCCAGCAAGCTCCTTGCGATCGACGACTTCGCGTTTGCGCTCAGGCTCGACCGGGCTATACAAGACCAGAACCCTTGACGACATGGAAGAGGCGAGCAGCTCCATATCACGCCACGGCCCCGGCAAGGGTTCAGTGCACAGCGTCAGATCAATGAGCAAGCCCGCGTTGCTGACCAACATTGCTGAGTTGGAGCCAACCACCCTCACCCAGGAAGCCATGGATGCCGCTGATCGCCTGCCCGAGCTGGCGATGGAAGACGATTCCACGCTGAGGATCCCACCTCTGGATCCCGCCGATCGCACGCCTGACGCTCATCAATTCGAGGATCAGGCGGCGATGGACTACTGGGACCAAGCCGTTGCGGATTCACAGCGCCAGCCTGTGCAGGAGCCACATGACGACGATGACGCACGATCACACTATGCTGGTTCCGTTGGGACATTCGAGCAGGCGGAGCTGGCGTTTGCAGACTTTGATGGGACCCACGCATCCCCAGACTCTGAGAACGACGATGAACCAGTCATGCCATCCTTCGAACAGGTCCAGCAAGGCCATGTGTCTTTTCTTATGCCTCATGACATGCAGAACGAACACAGAGACGTTGCATCGTCTGCACTCCATAATCCCCGACGATCGCAGCATGCAATGTCCACGGCCCGGCCTAAGTCATACCTCGATCCCGAAACTGGCAATACCATGCTCTACTATCCAGCGCGGGTGCCTATGATGCTCAACGTGCCTCAAAGGCTGTCCATGAAGCCCAAGGCTGAAGTACGGAACAAGAGACGAACACAGGTACTGACCGAGATGTCCGAGATGAATCGCCAATCTGGCATGTCGTGGCTTCCCGAGTTCCACAACGAGCCACTCATGGGCCCCATGCTGGACCACGAAGCCACGACCACAGCTCCGACGGACGGAAATCCAGACAGGGCCCTTGCTGATTTGCCACCCACATCTCCCCCTCTTGACGAGGTCACAGAGTTCCAGCCCATGCTGCGCGAGAATCCACCTACGGGCAATGAAGAGGCACGAAAATCGCAGATGTCTCTGATGCCGAGGCCAGACAAGCGTAAGAGCCGCATGTCAACAATGGATATGTTGCCTCCTCAATTGCGTGCCAGCGCCTTCTTTGACCTTCCGTCTGAGACGACCGCTCTTGAGCTCAAAGATGGATCTGCCACCGCGACCCTGGATAGTATCCTGGATGCCTCGGCGGGTGCTCCCGTATCTGCATTCACGGATCATGCATTCGCGGGCACACTAGGATCTGAGGTTTACGGAACCGAGAAAAAGCGCAAGTCAACAATCAATCGCCTCAGCACTGGTAGCGCGCTCGGCCTTGCAAACCGTCGGTCCCAGATGCACCTGCGTAAGCCAAGTGCATTGAGCAGGCACTCACGATTGGCCGAAAGTCTTCGAAACGGATCTCTTAAAAGCGATGATGGCCATGAGCCTGGGCGGACACGACTGTCCGCATCTGTTGATGGTAGAGATGATCATGGGAGGCACGGACATTCAAGTGAAGATGATGACGACCGGGTCCACGATGATGATGATGACGAGGACCAGAGAGAAGGAGAAGAAGATGATGATGACGACGAGGAAGGGGACGAAGGGGAGGAGGAGTACCACGGCCCACCAACTACTCTTCTTGCTGAGCTGCAGATTCGAAAGCAGCAACAGAAGCTGCGAACACGAGTTGCTGCCCAAGCCTATCCTAATGGAATGCACTCGACGCTGTTAGAGATGGACGCCGTTGCGGAGGTTGAACGGAAAGCACGCAAGGGCAAGAAGATCAATCTTGCTTGGGAGGCCCCTAGAGCTGGCGACGACTCGGACTCGGACGACGAAGATCTTCCTTTGGGGCTGCTGTTGGCGACAAAATCTCAGGGCAATCTCGCCGCGGCTGTCGCAGAGCTCAACCGGCCCATGGGTCTGATGGAGAAGAGGGAGATGGAGGAAAACGAGCCCCTGAGTCAGCGTCGTAACCGTCTTCTCGGTCCAAACGCCGCGCCTCTCCGCCAACCACAAAGCATGGCATTGCTCGGACATGAACGGAATGCATCTGGCATGTTGCACCCACATAGTCCGCGCGTTGCCACACGTACCCCTGAGGAGGATGAGAACGAAGAAGAGACTCTGGGAGCCCGTAAGCTGCGGCTGCAAGCTCGAGAGAAGTCAGACTCGGCACTTCCAGAGGCTCGGCCTGTCAGTGCCGCATTCACAACGGAGCTGCTTAGCGCCTTCAAGGGCGAAGAACCAGAGACCGAAGACAAGAAACCCAATGCCACCACAGAGGAGGAAGAGACTTTGGGCCAGCGGCGCCGACGCCTGCAGGCAGAGAAGGAAGCTCGTGAAAGGGAGATGGGCACAGGCGACATGCTTGGTCTCTCTGAGAACCCTCAGCCTGCTCGTGCCGAGCTGCCCAAGACTCATTCCATGGCCGATGTTCTTGGCGCATACGGCAGAAGAGTTGTAGCCGACGATCCCCGGCACGCTGTCGAGAAGATGAAACAAGCAGAGGGTATGCGTTACAAGCAAGAACAAGAGCAGAAGTTGGCGGCTTACCGGAGCCAGCTTCCCACAAATCTGAGTACACCCAACCTGCAGGCGCCCGGGGGTTACATGTTGGGACGCTTCAACGACGGCACTGGCGGCGGGCTGGGCCAGCCCCGTGCCAGCGTGGTCTTGAACCAGTTCAATGAGCCGAGTCGACAGACTGGCAGCCCGTATCTCATGAACGCTTTGAACCCTATGCAGGGCGCTATGAACCCTATGCAGGGTTACATGCAGCCAAGCTACAGCCAGCAAGTCTTTGCTGCCCCGAGCTACAACAACCCAGCATTCGGTGCGCAGGGCTTTGTTCAGCCCATGATGAACCCGTATGGAATGGCTATGCCTGGACAACCGCCGCCGCTGGACCGGGTAGAGCAGTGGCGTCAGGGCGTACTGCAGTAGCTCTGACCACTATCCTCGCACACTGCGGTGACAGTCCTTTTGTCTGAGGGGTTGTAAACACAAGGTGTTTTTTTTTTCTTGTGGTAACACATCTTGAAATTTAGGGAAGCATTGCGTGTGGCGTTTTCTTGTTTACAGACACACGGGGGCATTCGGTAGATTTGGGTACAGACGAGAGACAGAGGAGAAGGAGGAGATAGACGAAGAGAGCATAGGGGGGGTATACACATAGCACCGGGGGCTGTTTTCTAGGTCATTAGCATCAGCGTGCACGCATCAGAGGGGCCGGCAGCACATAACGGCGGCTGTCCTAGGATATACATACGAGACCGAGAGACACCTGAACAGATATTTAGAACTAATAACGCCAAACTTTTGATTTCAATGAGATGACTAATCTGCAATGTGATTGCTCTTTGTGCCGCTTGCACTGGTTATTGAGTGAGCATATACGATTATGACACACCAGCTGGCCTGTTGTTGTGCCTGGCAAGGAGATACATGGGATCTGATCTGCTAACAAACACGGGAAAAGGGCACAGCCAACGAGATTGTTTCCCTGTTTGAGGGAAAATGAAGGGGGGGGGGAGATATAGAAGCTCATTCGTTCGTGTATACGCTGCTTTTTCTGGCTATCTATAACGTTATATGACAAGTGGATGCTAGCAAACCGATGGTGACTGACCACCGCGTGCCCCCTCTTCTCAGACCACACTGCTATTGTGCTGCAGCTAGATGTACGTGGGAGAGGGGGAACACTCTACGCCTTGTTTTGATCGGACTTCGTTTTTGTCCCTGCTGTTTTTCCTCCTCCGTGTCCATCTATTATCTGTACATAAAGGGGGGCGAAAAAGAAGAGGGGAGCGGGCTGATGAGAGGAAGGAAGAGGGACAGGAGATATGAAAAAGTTCGTCGCAGGGCCAGGTGAAGGGGGGGGGAGAGAGTGAATGATTCACTTCTTGAAGTTCATGACGTTCATGACGGCAATCACCACGGTGCCCGCGGACGTGACGATCGCGGGGATCGTGATGAGCCAGAGCTCCCTACGCTCCTTGATGCGGAGCTTCGACGACGAGTGCTTCTTCTTGTTCTTTGCAGTTTTGGTAGTGGTGTGAGTGTTGTTCAGCTGCTGGGCTTCGACGTCAAAGTTTTCCTTGATGGCGTCGTCGTCGTGGGCGTGGGCGTGGCCAAAGTCCAGTCGAGGCGCGGTGCTGTCTGCTGCTGCTGCAGCACAGATGGCCGGTTTTCTGTCACGCTTACTTTCATGGCCGCGGTTAGTGAAGATCTCCTTTCCCACGTTCAAGAACTGTGTGTCGCGCGGACAATGCGAAACTTTGGTAGAGCAATGAAGGAGGAGGGCACCAAAGGGCAGCATAAGGAGGGCGTTGAAGAACCGGGGCTCGAATGCATTGTTGCAGTCCCTCCTGCTGTGTGGAAGGGAAAGCGTTAAAACTTACGCTTCCTTGGCTTGGCTCTTGATGACCACGACGACTACCGATCCATTTCGGGATTTGCTCTTCTCTCGTATCCGCTTGGGCGGACTGCGTGGTAGACTCTGTACTGCTCGGAGATGGACTGTTAAAATCTGGTCATGACGAAGGAACGTGGTCGCGAAACTCTCTCCGACCAGCAACCCAGCGATCCCAAGGCTGGACATCTCTTCACGCACCTGATGGGCTCTCTCTGAGTGGTATGGTCAACGCCTCATGTACAGAAGGGTTGGAGAGATTAGCCCTTGTTGGTAACAAGGGTGCCAGGGTGGTAGTGGACGGCTGATGCAGGCTTCCCTGCAGTGTCGTAGTCTCGCTGTCAGGGAAGGACTGGTCGGATCGGCACAGAGGCCAGGTTGAATCGGCACTGCTGGTGCTGTCCTGTGAGTTGTGTCGCTCGCAGCTGGGAGAGCCTCCCGCCAGGCGCCACGGCCACGCTGGCTCGGGTACTGGTAGAATAGGATACGGCATTTCTCGTGCGAAGCAAAAGCCCTTGATGAGAGTCCTGAGAGCATATCACAATAGAGCGGCCCCCTGTCGCTTTCAAATAGTGAAGCCTCAGGGACTTCATGTGTCCGACAGCGCCACAGGGTCTTTACCTCCGGGGATGACATCCGCGGTCCTGCCAGTTCGAAGCTTGCGCACCACCCATCTGTTCCGTGTTGGGCTGAATGTCAGACATTTGAATAAGATACGAGAAGAATATGCACGGTGTGGTATCCTTTTGGGCACCCAACTCCACTGGCATCTGCCGTGGGCTGTGGCGTGTGTGATCAGGTTATACTGGGCATCCCTTGGCAGTTTCACGGCAGTTATCAAGCCACAACGCCATATTTTGCAACCGAGACACTAACGGGTCTCGCACAAAAAGAGCCGGTGTGCCACTTCTGTGCCGCTGAGCTAGTGAGAATACAATTCATTTCTTTGAAGAACAATAGAGCCACTCATCGAAGATATGAAAATCCGAGAAGTTTGTCGTATTTAAACACAAGTAGGCGTCTCCCAGTCCCTCGACAATGTATCAGTTCTTGCGCATGATCATCGGTGTCCTCCCTGGTGCTGCGTGGCGACCGTGGGGGTCACATCAGCAAATGGTCGTTCACGAGCATATCCCTTTGAAAGGAATTTGCCGATCATCTGTTGGGTATCATGATGTTGAGGTGTGGTGAGGGCTAAGAGCCGCCCTCGCAAAAGTTCCGATCTCTGCTATGGGCTCAGGACGTACGGGTGTCCTGGGTGATATCAGCAGTCGATCATCCCGAGGCGACGACAGGATAAAAGTCCAGGATGCCAGACTAGTGACCATGCTGTAGTGTAGCCCATCGCGCTTTCGTGAGAAAACTGAGACATGGCTGCCTGTTTGGGCTTCGTCCGCGGAGGCAAAGTCAAGGGTGCCCTATATCGTGAACCGTTCGGACGATCATGTCTGAGATAACCAAGTGCCAGTCTAGCTAGGGTCAGTCAAGCAGGGAAGGCGACGCCGTACACGTATGCTCGGGTACTTTTCAGCAGAGCCGGGATTTTGCATCTTCCAGTGTGCCCAGCAACTTTTGCCTCGATGACACTCGATATACAATCGTAGGGCTGTAGCCAATCAGGGGCCGTGCTACTGCCATTTCTGGCAGTGTGGTATCGTCGCGCAAGAATGCTCCCAGCCTCGTTTTCAGGGGTAAGGCTCATGATCGACGACGTCTATGACAAGCCTGACGTATACACCGCAGCATTCGCCTGAGATCACACAGTGCAGACTGCATATCGCCCGACTTAATCAGAGAGAGCTATCCGCTTCCTTTCGTGGCGACAGCATACTCCCTGGCTGTATCGCGAGACACACCCCAAGGCCGTACCTCTTTCGGCTCATTCATTCCTCAGTCTCAATAGCTTTGTGCTGCGCAATAACAAAAGTACGCACTGGTCATGTACCAAACTTAATGGATGGCAAGACTGGGCAAGTTTTTGCTGATTTGGCGGGCGAAGGTGGCTTGCCGGATGTTGTCTATGACGGATCTACGACGTCTTGCACAAGTGCCACACACTTGCGCATTCCCGTCCCCATGGACTCCTCGTCGACTCTTGCGGTCCAGCGCATGCGTGCAGGATCGGCATCAGGGTTCTCATCTGGTACAGGTGCCCCATCTCCTAGCTCAAAGAGGTGAACATGCATCTCCAGCTTGATGTGCGAAAAGAGCCAGGGAATCGTGCCAAGCTCGCCCACATGTCTGACCTGCGGCGCACTCTTGGGGAACGCTGTTTCGGCAAGATCCTCAACGAAATTTTGGGCTTTGTCTTTACGGGACTTGGGCGTGCGTATTTCTGCCGGATCGATGATACAGCTCGGAAACTCCCACATACCAGCCAAAAGTCCCTTGTCAGGTCGACGTTGGATCAAGTATTGCCCATCGCGCCTGCGCACTGCGCACACCAGTGTCTCTTCTTCCCTCACTGCCTTCTTTTCTGTCTTGAGTGGAAATTGTTTTGCGTAGTTTGCGACAGCTTCAGATATTGCGGCACTGGGCTTCTTGGTCTCTTCGTCAGGGGGGTTTGCTGGGCTTTGATCCTTTGTCTTGGTTTTGGTGAATGCAAATGCCTGCAGAGAGGACTGCTTCTTCTGCCCTGGCTTGTGTTCAGGAGCTACAGTGCCCGTTGACTTTCCTTTGCCTTTTTTGTTCGAAGCAAGGCTATTCTCGCCGTCCTGGGTAGAGATTGGGTCGGGAGTGGCGCACATAGAACATGCGTCCTCGATATCTACGATCTTTTGCTCCACATCCCGAGAAGTCTTGGTGGCGAGTGAGAACCCTTCAGTGTAGGCGCGACACGAAGCTGTGATGGGACATTTCTCGCAGCTTGGCTTTGGTTGGCAAACCGTGCTCCCTAGTTCCATGAGTGCTTGACCCCAGCGGCCAGGGCGATCGCTCGGCAGCACTTGCCAGTCCTCGCCACCACTCATGTTGGCTGGCGCATCCTTGGCGACTATTTTGACCAAGGCATCCGCGGCAGCCCACAGCAGGTCGATCACGGCCTTGTCCGACTTGACATCGCCAAGCAGACCTAGTTGCCGGCTGAGCACTCGCAACACGTTGCCATCCACCATGGGCGCGGGTTGGCCAAAGACGATGGCTGATATCGCGCCTCCAGTATAGCGGCCGATGCCAGGTACTTTTGCCTGTAATTCTTCGGCCGAGGACGGCAGCAGTCCAAGCAAGTCCTTGTCCTTCGTGACGAGCTTCGCCGCTTCGTGGATCCTCGTAGCACGGCTGTAATAACCGAGTCCTCTCCACGCGGCAAGAACATCGTCCGCGTCGGCAGCCGCGAGATCGTGGATGGTGGGCCACTTTGCCATCCACTTGTTCCAGTAGTCGATCACGACCGCGACTCGCGTCTGCTGGAGCATGATCTCGCTGATCCACACTTCATACGCTCTCCGTTCGAGCTTCTCACGGAGCGTGACCTCGTCCAGGTGTTCGGAGAACGGGTCGATCCAGGCCTTCCTCCACGGCATCGAGCGAGCCGTGGAGACACCGTCGAACCACGAAAGCAACGACTTGCGGCCTTTGCGGCTGTCCAGCAAGAGCGGTCGGTGGTACGTGACCGCGTGCTGCCTATCAGGCAAAGAGCACACATCCTGCGTGGAGGCTGGCTGTGCTGGTGTGACATCAAATAGCCGCTTGTGGAGCAGGGAGTGGTTGCTCGTCGTCTTCACACGCCTTCGCTTGGTGCTGTTGGCTTCTGGGGCTGCTGGCTTCGCCTTCTCGGAAGATAGCCCCAGGCTGGCTTGCGGACCTGGGCTCGCGTCCTTTGTAGCTATCGAGAGCACTCTTGGTCTCTTTTTGCTAGGCGGCGGTGACTGTTCTGGCGTGTCCTCAAAGTCACTGTCGGAGTTGGCAGTGGGCGACGACTCGGGCGACTCTGGTTTTGCCTTGGCTACCCGCCGAGGGACGACTCGAGCTGAACGTCTCATTCTTCCGGCTGTCTCTTTCCCTGCTGACTTCCGCGTCTCCTTTTTCCGCGAATTGCGAAGGGCAACGCCGGAACAGTCGTGGCTGCGATTGCCCGGGTCGAAATTCATTTGGATCAGGTCAGTCGCGTCAGGGCACGCGTCTTAGCGCTAGCCAAATCGGGACCAATTAAAGGTTACGCCTTGGCACCCTGCCTGGTCACGCTCGCTCATCCGCTGACGGAGCTTTTTCTCGTCACGGCCACATATCACGGATTGGTCAAGTCACATATGATCTAAGTGTGAGCAGTTCCCGAGCCGTCCTGCATGAGCGGACACAAATGCGTGCTCTCTATCGCTTGTGCTGCATAAAAATACTCCCCGGGTATATAAAACACAAGTCTTTGTAATCACAGTACATGAAACCATCCAGATAACTCTTGCGGCGTTGTCGCCGCGCCTTGGAACCGCTTCGTCCGTATAATCTTCGCTATCGTCAAGGCGACTGCTCCATGGCTGCCACAGTCTGCGCGAGTGTCGCAAACTTCTTCTTCCAGAACTCCGCGGCCGCAGCTGCGCCTGCCACAGCATTTGACCCGTCTTCAGAATCGGCAGCCGTCTCGCTGCCACCGCTAGCAATGCTTGCTCGACGGCCGTCTAGTTGCTGCGACTGGTCGCGCATGTAGCCTCTCTTCCACCTCGAGTGAGGTATGACGTCGTCGTGCGAAAAGTGGCCGACAATGTCTCCGTACTTCATTTCCCACCGACATTCATATCGTGTGTAGTCGGTGGCTACTTCGAGCTTCTGTATTGTCAAGCCGGATTTCCGCTTGACTGCTGACTGATGACCATTTGTGCTTGTTGTTGCGGCACCGTCGTTGTTTGCAAGCAGGCCGGTCTGTCCTATGCCACCGGCCCAGCTGCCAACCAAGAGGCCAGATAAATTCATCAAAAATGCTTCACCGCTGGGTGCGCGCCGACGCAGGCCGCTGATGATGGCAGACACGAGGGCCCGAACTTCCTCCATGTCTTCTGGCGTAGCAGTAGGCTGACCTTCTGGATCTATCCATGCAGCAGTGAGAAAGCGCATCATGAGGAGTGACTCTACTCCATCACAATTTGTGTTGTCTCTCTCTGAGCTGGTCGAACCCACATTCTTATGGCCTGCCGGAGCCATACGTGGAATGGACTCATACCTTGCCGAGATCAACGAACTGGAAGGCGATGGCCGCCTTGCCCCATTCGGAGCTATCTGTCCCGTATTCAGACTGCGGTATTGGGCTTTCGGGGACATGCCAAAGCGCCCTGTCATATGATTTTGCGGTTGATACTGAGTCCCATTCTGCAGCGAACGCTGTCTTGCGTGTGAGATGCTCCTGCTTGGTTGGCTGAAGACGGGCGGTGGTGTGATCACAACGGGGGGCGCAGGGGCAGGTGGCGTCGCTAAGCGAACCGAACCGCCTTGCCTCTCGGGCACCTGTAGTGAGAGACGGTTTGGTCGCGTAGGCCTTGTGGCTTGTGGGCCTGGGCCTTGTAATTCGTTCGTTGGCAGAAGTGCTGGTGGTGGAACCTCCTCCGAAACGGGCGAGAACTCCTCGACAGAAGCCAATGCTGGTGGTGACTGGGCGAGTATCTTTTGCTCGTCCGGAGAGCTGCCGGGATAGCTACGCATCAGGTCGGGATGCGCAGACATGGGCTCTGACGGCTTACTATTAGTGGGAGGGCGTCCTCGGCCTCTGCCACTGGCGTTCATGCTGTTTCTCCAAGCCGATGACACCACCTTTGCACCATGGCGGCGTGGGTTGGCTCGCGATCTCGATGGTGTTATGGCCGACTGTGGTTCTGTAGGATCTCCCCAGAATGTTGTCCCTGGGCCTAAGGCTGACTGTGGAAATGCAGACATTGGCGCATCCCCATGCCATGGATATGCTGACTGGGGCACTTGCATGGGGTTTTGTCTGTCTGACTGCACTGGCGGGAAGACGAACGACCGCGCGGTGTCTGGGTGGGCAGTCCACGGATCGACATTTCTCGGATGATCAAGAACACTGGGCGAGCGCAGCCGAGCTCTCTGTGCAGGCGATTTGCTCAAGTCATCCTCTGGCTTCCTCCTGCCCCGCTTGGGTTTGATATGCGGGAGCAGGGCACGAAGTGCCATGTCATCCTCCGCGGCGACGCCATCCCGGCCGTCCTCGGCGATTGGATTTGACGTGAAAGGGACTTGGACCCAGTAGACGTGCTCAATACCGATGAGGAAGTCAAAGAACGCATCGACATGGAGGGCGTGCATCCAGCGCTGCGAAGATGTCAGCAGGAACGAGATTACCAATGGCAAACTGGAAACAACCGATCGAGCTGACCTTGAGTCTCACAGCGTACTGCTGGATCTTCTGGACGCTCTCGCCCTTGTCTACATCTGGAGGGTCGACCCCCAGCTTAATAACCACTTCGGCCCAGGTTTTGAGCTCCTTGGCCGTGAGTTTCTTGACGAGCTCGAACAGGGCGAAAGCACTGAAGGCCTTGCCGCCGCTTTTGGGGAGGCTGCGGAAGGCCTCGCGCAGTGCCTCTGTCGACGATTCTGCGGGGACTGCGGGATTGCAGTAGAGGATGAAGCTGACAAAGACATCCTCGATGTTGCTGTCCACCACCTGTCTTGTGGGCAACGATCGAGAAGGTTGCAGTGCAGCTGCTTGATCTGTGCTGCCGCCTGGAGGGACACTCAAGGCCATGGCTGGCATGGCGGCGGGGGCCGTTGAGCTGGCCAAGGTCAACAGTGCACCAGCTTAGAGGGCGGTTATGGAGGCCATGACTGTGGGGGCGACGCTTGCTGAAGACGGTCAGCGGGCTCGTCGTTACGCCAGCCAGTCTGTCTGCCACAGAAACGATGATGGCTTGGAGTCCGGAGCGATAGACATGCGGTGACTTGCACGCCGGGTGCGCTGAGTGGGACCTGGAGGTGAGAAAGACTCGCTGTGTGCAGTGATGCTGGAACAGGTCGAGATTTGAGATTGAGTGGTTGAGGTGAGACGGCTGGCTGCAGGTCGGAGGCTGGAGCGCCTGGCCAGGGTTGCATCGCTCGCAGGAGCTATTTTTGGGAGACTTGGAGTCAGGGGAGCCACAGCCCAGAGCCTGCCCACGCGTGGGTGCAGCCCCTGCTCGACCCGACTTCTTAGACGACTCGGCCAGACAGTCAAGCTCTCAGGGTTCCTTTCGACATCTTTGACAGGCCGCATGCAGGCCAATAAATGTGACCTTGACTGGAGAGGACGGGGACGTTCAGCAGAAATCCCAGAGGGAGGGAGGTCGACGGCAGGTCCACATCCTGCGCCGTGCGCGCCATGGCCGTGGTCAGCAGCAATCGATGTCTTTGCATCGCGTCTCCTTTTCTTTCAATCACATGTCCGCAATCTGCGTTGCGGCTCTGAACTGAGGGGCCAAGTCTTTGTTTGGTAAGCGGCAGTGGGCCGAGGACCCTGAGCATGCAGAGGCCGGCATGTACTGTACCTTAAGGTAGAGAGCACCGTCATCAGTAATGAATGGGAGGTCATCAGGACAAACCAAGGCTGCCCCAGAGCTACCCGGCAGTTGGGCGTGGGGAACCTGGGAAGTTGGGGGCGGACCAGGCCAAGTGTGTCGCACAGCTAAGCTACAGTAGCTCCTGTCCCCAGAGCATGGTTGACGACGGCCGGGGCATGTGCAAAGAGGCCAGCCAGGGAGGGCAAGTGACGCTAGCCCGGTGATGTCAGTCGGACCTCGGCTTCAACATGCACGACTCGTCTCGTCTCGTCTCGCTCCCGGGCGGCGTCTTCCCGCCTTCACGCCTGCCGTCGCGACAAGTCTGGCTTCATCACGGTCTCTGCTCTCCTTCTCTGCTCCATCTTCTTCTCCTTCTTCGACCATACTCAACACCACACTCAAGCTACGTCATCCCAGCCCCCGTCGACAACGCCATCATCGCCTCGCCGCCTACGCGATCAGCAGCCCCGCCTCAGCTTTTGCGCCGCCTACGACGACAATCATTGCATCCCATTGCAGCCCCATAATCCCGACAACATGGCGCCGGCCGCTTCGAAACCAGTCATCCCGCAAAACGACAATGTCGCCCACGCTCTTGCCGGCGCCGGCGGCGGTGTTCTCTCCATGATCCTCACGTCGGTGCTCCCATGTACTGACTACCCATCGGCGGTGGCCTGATTCACATGCCTAACCTTGCGTCCTCGGTCTTCCAGATATCCCCTCATCACCCTCTCCACACGCGCCCAGGTCGAGTCTGCGCGCGCCGAGACGGGCTTCATCCACGCCGTCAAGAAGATTGTGGCCCGCGAGGGCGTCTCGGGCCTCTACGCCGGCCTCGACAGCGCCGTCTTTGGCATCAGCGTCACCAACTTTGTCTACTACTACTGGTATGAGTGGACCAAGGCCTTCTTCGAAAAGGCCGCCCTCAAGGCCGGCCGCGCCAGCACAAAGCTCACCACCGTCGAGTCCATGATTGCCGGCGCCATCGCCGGCTCCGCCACCGTCATCTGCACAAACCCCATCTGGGTCGTCAACACGCGCATCACTACCCGCAAGCGCAGCCTCGAGGAGAGCACAGAGAGCCTCCCCGACAAGCCCGCCCAGCCCGTCAAGTCGCCCTCCACCATCGGCACCCTGCTCGCCCTCCTGCGCGAGGAGGGTCCTCAGGCTCTGTTCCGCGGCGTCCTGCCCGCCCTGATCCTCGTCATCAACCCGATCCTCCAGTACACGCTGTTCGAGCAGATGAAGAACTTTGTCGAGAAGAAGCGCCGCGTGACCCCTACCGTCGCCTTCTTCCTCGGCGCCCTCGGCAAGCTATTTGCCACTTCCATAACCTACCCTTACATTACCGTCAAGAGCCAGATGCACGTGGCCGACTCGGGTCGCAAGGAGGGCGTATCCCAGGCTATTTCCAGAGTCATCAAGGAGGAGGGCTACGCTGGCCTCTACAAGGGTATGTTCCCATAGTCGCTCCTGCGTGGCGTCTCGTCGGCATACGACGATTCCTTTTTGATCCCCGTACTGACTAAACATTGTTTCATCTCGCAGGCATCGCCCCCAAGGTCACCCAGAGCGTCCTGACAGCCGCGTTCCTCTTCGCTTTCAAGGATGTCCTGTACGAGCAGACCATTAAGCTGCGCAGCAGCGCGGCCGCGAGGAAGCTCGCCAAGGCCTGATCAGCTATATAGTCAAACCCTTGGCGCCCAGCGCCGTCCGATGTTACTGGACAATCCATGTTCGCTAACCGAGCTCTCCATGCGACGACCCAGGTGCTCCAGCAGGTGCGCTCGTCCACATGAGGACGGCTTAAGTGGGAAACAAGTATGTGTTTCCAGCGCGAATTATACCTGTCACTGTTTTCATGCCCTGGTTGTCTCGGGAAAGGGGATGGGCTTGTACATAAGTAATAGTTCTATATACCACCTTACTGGCTCTTGAGCTTCGTGAATTAACAATAGTCTACCATGCCCACACGTTGCGCCCACTCAGACCTTGCGCGTGGTTTCCAGTTACCAACATGGTGTACTTTCTTAGTACACTCGCGAAAGTCGACCGACCCAGATGCGTAATGGCCTAGTGTTTGTTCGCTCACATATCCCATGCTTGTGAGAGTGCAACATCACCCGAAGTCGCGTCCCATCGAATTACCTTGAGTCCTTTGTTCCCGTTCACAGACGAGCAAGAAATAGGAAAGGAGAAACCCAAAGACCACATCACTGACCCGAGCCCGCTCGGAGCTGAGAGGACTCGCTTACACGTTGATATGAAACAGCTGCGGCACGATCCACCAGTCATGATACCCGCCGCTCTGCCCGGGCTTCGGAATCTCGACCCTGAGCACGCCGGACAAGTCAGGCAAGCTCTTGCCATCCACATCCACGATGCCGGTGCCGGTGCCGGGGCTGCTGTTCTCGAGCTTGCCTCCCTCGTTGACGACGGCCGCCGACGCCGCCGACGCCGCCGCTGCCGTCGTCGCAGCAGTGGTGGTGGCCAATGTCTTTTTCAGCACGTTGATCGCGACGCCAGCGGCTATCGTGGCCTTGAGGCACGCCTTTGCGTTGGCGACCCAGCGGTCGTGGCAGCCCACGCTGAACGACTGCGCGTCGGACATCCTGCTGAGCGCCTCGAAGCCCTTGCGCGCGCCCGAGATGGCCGTCTCGGCGTAGTGCAGCATCGCGGCGAGGTCTGTGTCAGGCTGAGTCGTGGCGCGCTGGAACTCGGCGAAGCTCGGCAGGCGGGGGTGCCCGATGGTCGTGAAGGGCTTCATGCGGATCTCGTAGCGGTGGAGGCCGGTGCTGTACGGGCGGTCTTGTTGTTGTTGTTGGGGCGGCGGCGGCGGCGGCGGAGGCGCTGCTGAGGAAGATGGGTTCTTCTGTTTAGTAGACGACGAGGAAGGTCGGGTGGAGGAGAAGCCTGGCTGGGGAAGGATCTTGAGCCGAGAAAGCACAGAGTACAAACAGCACAGCCCGTCTGCAAACTCCCATGTGCAGGCTGCATCCAGCGTTGTCACCCTCAGCCAGTCCATGCTGCGGGAATACTCGCGGAACTTGATCGGTGAAAGGCTGCCATGCTTGATCTCGTACCCGTGATCAAGGGCACTGCTGCCAGAGGCGGCCGTCGCATTCGACGAGCTGTGCTGGCCGCGTTTGAAGTCCTTGGCTCCACCGGCAGCAAAGAAGGATCGGTCGACGAACGTCCGGATCCGCTCGACATGATGCTGCCTCTCCTTTGCGAGGTAGTTGAGGTACCAGTACATGCCGGCGAGCTCGTCAGACTGGTAAATGTCCAGCTCGAAGCCGAGCTGCACAATCCATTCCATCTGGCGGATCTTGTAGAAGAAGCACCACGAGGACAATGGCAGCGAGTGTAGCACTCGCCCGGACTCCATGACGAGGGGCTCGTCCTCGAGCGCGATCTGCAGCAGGCTGTCCATGTCTTCCATGTCGACCTGCAGCATATCCCATTCCTGTATGCTGTGGCACAGCATTCTCCGCGCGCGGCAGCGGTTCTGACAGAAGTGCCGCATGATGTCAAAGAACCGCTCGGCGACTGACTTGCGGAAATCCTCCATCTGCGCAGCGATCTGGTGTCTTGGATCAGATGGCAGCTCAATGTCGTCAAAAGCCCTGTCGAGCTGTCTGCCGTTGGGCAGGACTACAATCATCAGATCGTGGTCGATGATCTGGCGGATACTATACGAGCCGAGGACCCTCATTTCGTTGAAAAGAAGGTACTGGAGTAGGCACCGTATGTAGGTGTGAGGCTGAGGCTTCCGTGTCTGAAAGGTAAGGACAAAGTTCTGCAGGATTTGTCAGTAACGAGACCATCTGGGCTTGCTCCGACCCATGCAGATCATACTCACCATAAGGCTCTGTGTGTCTGAATACTTCAAGACATCTATAATGTCCAGGCCGTCCTGAAACATGCGTTTAAAATGGTCGAACGTCTCAGTGAAGCTCGGCTGGATGATTGGCCGCGGCGGCATCGTACTCGCCAGGCGCCGTTGTAGTTTCGTGCTGAAGGCCTCTGGAACAGGCTTGGCGAGCTCATGTTGCTTGCTGAAGTGCTCGACCAGTCCTTTCATCTGGATCCACGGCATCTTTAGTGATTCTGGGTTCGCCTCGCGCTTGTCCATGAGGTCAATTGCCCGCAGAAACGCGATACGTAGTTCAAGCCGCAAGTCCAGCGCCATGGAGATTTTGCTGTCGATGTCACTGTACGACTTCAGATCAGCTCTGGCGGCCATGAGCAAGTCGTTAATACGGTCTTCGTCGATATCTTCGAGAAGTCTCCGGTCGTATGTGTTTGTGACAAAATCCTCCTCCTAATGCACCGTGTCAGATCGTGGTGTGTGGTAGCAGTGGCGACAAAGGAACTTACCTCGTAATAGAGCTCGTTGAATACAGTCTTGTTAACAAAACAACACGCTTTCAGCATACCCAGGCAGTATGCCCGAAGGATTGACAACATGCGAGGCTGGCGATCCCTGACAGCAGGATCTCGCGTGAAATCTGCCTCCCAGATGTGTTGGGGATGAGGATTCATGATTGCCTCGACATAAACATTGGTCAACAGTGTCTGGGAGAGCGGATAACCCAAGTGCCAGGCCATCTGAGTATATACAGGTCAGTATGCATTCGCCAAGATGGTAGCTGGCCCTGGCCCGTTGATAACACACCTCCAAGCAGAGCAGTTGGTCGATGATGCCCAGCACTTCCTCGGGCAGAAGCTCTCGCAGCACATCGTAGTCATCTTCCAGTGTCTCTCCCTCGTTCAGGAAACCGCTGTCCATCTTAGGGTCGCCGATCTATGATGAGAAGCAGTGTAAGCCAACAAAAGCCCGTAGAACGTTTGACAGTGCTCTCCGGGGCTTGCATACCTCGAGAGCCGAGACGGACTCAAAAAGTGTGAAGTGATCATCCTTGATGAGTTCACCGGGCGCCAGCTCTGCTCATGGCCAATGAACACAGTCAGTCAAAATCACAATCTTAAGTTATCTTCGACTACTTTTCTCTTCCATGTCATGAGGATCCGGAAGCACCCACGCTTGACAGCAGCCGCAAACTTTGCCGTAATGTCAATAGCCATCACGCCTGGGTACGACAGGTTCGGCGGCAGCGGAGGCTGGGGCGGGACGAGATTCTCCATGATGACGATTTTATCTGCGCCGGCCGGGGCGGCGGCCTGCCGTCCATTCGGGGGAGGAGGAGGAGGGGCTTCCAGGCGTCAGAGGTCCCGCCGGCTGGTGATGAGGAAGGCTAAGAGCGAGAAAAAAATGGGGGCCGACCGGGGAGTGCGGAACTTGTGTGTAAGCTCTGCTGGCGGCTCTGCTCTGTGTGGCGTGGTCACCGTTGTTGGCAGGAAGTGCTTGAGCTGTGCAAGTGTTTACGTTTGAGAAGGCCGAGTACAAGTACGAGATTTAGGCAAAGAGCGCCACTAGGCAGATGGAGACGCTTGCTTGTGAGTAAACCAAAAGGTCGCGGCGGCACAAGGCATGCGGCTGAGAAGTGGACAAGAGGTCTTGTACGAAGATGTAAGCCTATTAGCCATCAAACTTGCGTACAAATCCGGGATTTCAGTCTGCAGTTCAGTATGGATGAGCATGCAATTATGGTGCTTGGAGGTGGCACCGCAAGGTTTCTGTTGTAGTTGGCGCCTCAGGCCGTTTGCCCTGGCCGCCCAAGCCTTGGTGGCACCCAACATATAGGTATACGCTTAACCTGCATCGCATCACGCCAGCCCCTGATGTCGTCAAGGAGATCACGAGAAACACAAGAAGTACGTCGATTCGCGACAAATGGGAAGTTTGAATTTTGGATTTTATACAGCTGTACACTGCAAAGAGGTAGGTAGAGGCATTTTACGCCCCAGCTGCCTGCTTGCTCTCCCTGAACGGGACACCATTCTCATCCAGAGAGCCTACATTCCCTCACACTCTCATTCCCTCTATCCTTGCCGCTCATTGTCCGTCGAGGCTGCATTTCAGCCATTCTACGAGGAAGCGGCTTCGGTGGCGGCGACGGTGTTGGCCTTGGCAAGGTTCTGGACCTCGCCCATCTTGCCGTTCTGCATCGGAAGCAATGAACACGCAAATCAGCTAATGCACTTATCCAGGGGCCAATTCGGCTTTTGACAGTCTCCGAACCCTCGTGGGGCTTCGCATCCGGCTTCAAATACTACTTACCGACCACTTGGCGAACCGGAGGTCCATCTCTCCGCGGCGCTCGGCAACGATTCTCTTGTCCTCCTTCAGGCTGCGGCGAACGACGCGCGAGGCGACGGCGAGGTAGCGGTTGTAGCTGTCAATCGCAATCGCCGAGGTTAGCAATTTTGGTTCCTCCTTCTTCTCGAGCTGAGTCGTCGAACGGATTTCGGTATGTCGAGGGCGAAGCGCGCCAGTCGTTTTTGGGGCGGTTGTGGTCGCGCATGGCGGAAGCTGGGAGTGAATGTTGGATTAGCGACTCACCTGATGCCAGCGGCTTTCCAGGCGAACACCATGATGACGGTTTGTGCGGGGGTGTTGGTGGTGGAGGAGGTTGTGGTTTTCGCTGAGGAGAGGGTGATGTCGAGTTTGCTGCAATCCAGGTCAATTAGCGGCGCTGCAAAAGCCGCGCTCCCACCTCGCAGCAGTGACTGACTGGGTGCTCCACTCCAGCAACTGGGTCAGTTGCTGTCCCGCATGCCCGAAAGCTTCCGACCCCATCCAAATCACGTGACGCTTCCGAGTCCCTAGCGTGTGTCCACCCATTGTGAACAACAGCACTTTGCAGTGCCTGGACATGACACGGCAAATATGGCACTGTGAAGTAAAGCAACAAAGCGGTATTCTCTTTTCATCCGATTGATATTACGAGTGCGCGTCCTTTCCAAGCGACCTATGTCACGGCATTTCCATTCAGTTGAGCCGAGTACTACCTTTTGGTGCATTTGGTGTGCGTGCAGGCCTGTTGCACGTCGGGCCAGGGTTGGCCGCAATATCGAACAACATGAGAGTGCTAGAGTCACAACAAGCTGGTGGCTGGCCTGAATGTGCCCGTAATACCGACCACCTCTGATTCTACCCACGCAGCTCGTCACATATGGACATATGAAAAGAGTCTAAGGATTTACTATATGCACAGTGCTTGGCTTACAGCGTTGAGCTGGGTCTGTTAATACAATGCGTCTCCCCGTTTTGCCCCGTCTATACCTTGAGGCCGAGCTCCTCGGCATACGGCAAAACGTGCAAATCACCGACGGCAGCAACGGTCGCCTTGCCGTCAACAAGAGCCTTGGCAGCCTGTGACATTCCGCGTTAGTAATTTATTCACCACAGCATGGGCTTTTGGTACGTACAGTCTTGATCTTGTCGGCGGTGACGCCGTCAATAGCCTTGACGGCAGCGGCAATCTGGACAGGCGAGCCGGTGTGGACAATTCCGGTTCCAGCAGCGAGGAGGGTGGCACGGCCAGACTCGCTGGCCTCCAGGGCGTCGAACTTGGCCTTGGCGATAGCCTTGGTCAGGTCCTCCTTGGAGACGGTGCCCTCGGCGATCGACTTGATAGCCTTGGCAGCCTCAAGAGCGGCCGAGCGGACGGCAGAGGCAGTGCCGTTGATCTGAACGGCGAAAAGACCGGCATCGGAGTAAGTGTAGTTGCTGGCAACGGCAGTGGCACCGGGAGAGTTGGCGGCCGCCTTGGAGAGCAGGCTAAAGCCAGACGACCACTTGACGTTGGGCTGGCCGCCGAGGAGGGCAGAGATGACGGCAACCTCGGGCTTGGGGGCAGCAAAGCCAGAGCCAGGGAAGGCAATGACGAACGAGTTGCCACCAACGTGCGCAGTACGCTGCTCACCACCGTAGTAGGTGGTGGCCTTGGAGTTGAGCGCAGAGCCCGAAGGGACAGAGGTGAAGAACTGCTCAGTCCACTTGGAAACGTTGCTAGATGAGGCGCCCTCAGCGACGAGGGCGATGTTGGACTTGGCGTAGGCGGCATTGGCGAAGTCGGCGATGGAGTTCTCGTTCAGGTAGTTCTTGAGCGCGGTCGTAGGCGTCGGGTAGAGCGAGGCGCCGAGGCCGGTGTGGAAGGCGACAGAGTGGGCAGAGTCGAGGGCGAGGGCGGCAACGTCACCGGCAACCTTGGCCTGCTTGAGCTTGAGCACCCGCTCAACGTCCTCGTGGAACTCGTGGGCTATGAGAAGTAAGCTTTAGAACATAGGCGGTTGTCTTAACGCATAGTTGGACGCGACTGACTGGTGTACTTGGTCTCAGAGACAACCTCGGCGAGGAGCTCGGCAAAGTAAGGAAGGTCCTGGCGCAGGAAGCTGGCCTCGACGACGAGGGCCTCGCGGGTGTGGTAAGCATTCAACTGACCGCCGAGAAGCTCAGCTTCCCTTACGATGCGGAGGGCGGAACGCTTGTTGGTGTTCTGTGCCGAGCATGGTGGGTTAGCTCGACGACATTCTCGGTCCATATGGTCCCACCTTGATGCCAATCTGAAAATAGCCTCAGGTCGCTCTTGCTCCTTCTCCCCAAATACCGCCACCGCAGACGCACCTTGAAAGCGAACTCCTCAAGACCGATGGTAAGGCCGGGGGCGGGCTGGTATCTGGTACCGGCCTTGGCGACGACGGCGAGCTTGGTGGTCGGGCCGTGGGAGTCGCGGGCAGCAACCTTGATGCCAGCGACGTCGGCCGCGTCGAAGTCGAACGAGGCCGGGTTGGCGGCGGCGGCGTAGGCACGGCGCTGGGCGGGGAGGCCGTGCCGGGCGGCGAGCTGGGCGCCTCGGGCAAGAGCCGTTCTGGAGGACATGATGGGAGGCGGGCGGCGTCAATTGGCCTTTGAGGGGGACTGCGACAGCACGGGTGGTGATGGTGGTGGCAGAGCTCACTGGCGGGCAAAAAGATGGCTCATGCAACGCAGAGGCGGAAAAAGCTCGGTCGTTCCCGGGTCGGGCCAAGGCCTCTCGCAGCAGGGCCAGCAGGACCTGTAGCGGGTGGTCCCCACTGGTCAGCCACAAGGACGCTGCTGTCATTGGCCAGACCACCACCAGGCACTGACTGGCATGCCCAACTGCCCTTGTGCAGTCGAGTTGGGAGCCACTCAAACAGCCAGCCAGCATCGATCCAAGTACACCCGCAGAGGCGGCTCATCATCGTTGCATGCGCATATAAAACCTGTGGACAGCCCAGCTGTTCCTTGAAAGTAATAGACTGCCTACCACGATATGGCGAGTCTGTTGTCTTCGTTCCTGCATGCGCGCATATGCTTATAGTGACTTGCGGCCTGGCGGTACCGGACCGCATCTGTGACCAACGTGCAACAAAGTCAGCTTGAAGGAGTCATCGGCCAGCAATTGACTGGCACCAGACTGAGCACGACTGGGTTGTCGCTCGCGAAGGTCAAGCAGCAGATCTCCCGTCAGAGAGCCCCCTGGAGCCAGTCTTGACACAGGGCCTTCTGGCCTATCACAGGCCTGCACTCCAGAGCTTGGGGTCTGGTGGAGGCCCCTGCAGGCGCTGTGGAAGCCAGAAATTGTCATTCTTTTTTCTCGACCTCGAACTTTTAACGGCCCGCTGCAAGCCCCAGCCAGCACAAGCAGCGCAGCGCGAGCGACCAGCACCACCACGACTTCTCTTCTCCAAACTACCCAACGTCCCAATCTCGCAACCGCCACGCCACCTTGGAGAGCCAGACACTCTCCGAACCGCCAATGCTGGCACGGTAGCCATTGCGAACGCTCTAGAGATAGTGAGAGGATCTCTAGAGGCTGTCTCTGGAACGTAGCCCCCCGCCTGCAGGCCTCGAGCTACACAGCCTTGAACACATCCTAGGTCTCTTCGCGACTACACATCTTACAGCCAAACACGCGCGGTGCCGCCTCCACGAGCTTGGACGCCATGCTTGTTGTATGTACTTGCGTGCCCGCTTGCTGAACGCACTTCGAAGCTTCATACAGCTCTGAATGTCTCATCTGACCTCGTTTGTTCTTTGGACATAGACCAAGAACGCCGCAGAGCTCTGCGTGCTGCTCATCGGCGAATTCTATGGCCAATTGCCCTCGGTATGTCGAGCCCGATTGCGGCGCACATGTTCGCACCCTCCCAAGGAAAATGGCTTGAAGCGAACTCTCGACTAATCGCTTGTCCATGTTCCGTCGCAGCGAGTTTTTTCTGCGCTCATCTTCAAGGGCCGGTCAACCATAGCTCAGATTGCGCAGCAAACTGCTCTGCCCCCTCGATCTGTTCGCCACAGCCTCGCCGTCCTCATACAGCAAAATGCCGTCTACCACCATACCGACGAAGATTCCAGCATTACACACTACGAAGCCAACGCCGATGTCGCCTATAACCTCGTTCGAATCGGGAAGATCCTGGAAACCGTTCAAGACTGCTATGGCCCGGCCGCGAAATCCATCGTCCACGACATCCTGGTTCTTGGTCATGTCAAAGTCTCAGACCTCGTTGCGACGTACGAAGAGAAGCATGGGCAGACCAATGGAGTCAACGGCCATGCGCACAATGGCACTAATCATATGAATGGCGACGACCCATTCGAGTCCGATACTGAGGAGGAGTCGTTGTCAGTCGCAGACCGAGTGTATAATCAGGTCGGACGCTTGCTCGCTTACGACATCCTAGAAGTTGTCGTACCAACCATGTTTCGATCGCCCCAGGATGACAAAACGACCATAGAGCAGGAAGTTATGGCAGAGCCAAGATTCAAGGGCGGGGTTCGCGGTGTGAGGCAGACGCGCGACTTTGACAATGCGGTTCACGAGAGGATGACCGAGATCCACAGGGAACGGGTTGCGCTTGCCCAGAGCTTAAAGACAGCTCTGTACAACGAGGAGCACATGGCCAAGAGGCGGAAACTCGCCAACGGTGCTTCGGCGGAAAACACATTTCTCAGCAGTGCTCGAGAGTTGATCTCGGCTGATGTACGTCCCTCATGAAGAAGTTTGCTTCTGATCTGACGGCTGCTAACCATTCAATGCTGTAGCCTGATATTGTGATCAGAATCAATTTCGACAAGTGTCTTGTGATTCTGCGAAATCGGAAACTTGTCGCTTATGCAGAGGACATCATCGGAGAGACCACGGCCCAGGTCTATGCATGCCTGCTCGCAACACTGTCAAAGCAGATCAGTTCGTGCCAAGAGGATCCAACGGCACCAAAAGATGCGGCTTACGATCATCTCAGGGGCGCCGTCGTGACGACAGTCGAGGTGTTTGATAACCTTGGCGCCGACATTGATGTATCGAGCGGCCTCGGGAAAACAGAACCCGGGATGGTAGACATCCGATATGCCGAGAAACTTCGAAGACAACCGCCAAAGGAGCGCAAGACAATGGTTCTGCAAGACGGAGAGGAATGGCAGGGCTCTGACGATGACGAATCCTACGACAACACGGAAGAAGGTCGAGTAGGAATGAACGGTACGCAGAACGGACACAAAACTCCTGCCGATGCGAAAGAGCACTTTGACGATGCCGGGGCAATCCGCACGTCGCGCATGCGACAAATGAGGCAGCATCTTCTCGTGCTCGCGGAAAGCAAGCAGGGATTTGTGCGACACTGCGGAAGTCAAGACCGTGGCGAATGGACCGTCGACTTTCACGAGCTGTTCGCGCACCTCCGGACCATGGAGCTCGACATTATTATCGAGGAAACCTTTGGCCGCCAGGCGCTTCGCCTGGTGCGGATTCTTCGCGAAAAGGGCAAAGTTGACGACAAGACCCTGCCTACGCTTGCACTGATGCGGAAGCCCGACGTCCACACCAAGATGGTGGAGATGGAACTTGCCGGTGTGCTCGACGTGCAGGAAGTGCCGCGCGACAACAACCGCGCAGCCAACAGAACCATTTTCTTTTGGTGGTTCGACAAAGACCGGGCATTCAAGCGAGCACTGGACAACACATACAAGTCCATGGTGCGGTTCCTGCAACGCCTCGAGGTGGAGCGGCAGAAGAAGAAAAACGTGCTCATGGTGACAGAGCGAAAAGACGTCCACGGAATGGAGGAGGAAAAGCTGAGAGGCGACATCTACAACGAATACCGTGCATTCCTGGATATCGAGGCTAAGCTTCTGAGCCAGCTCGAGAGGCTCGACGACCTCGTCTCCGTCTTCCGCGATTTCTAGGCGATTCAACCAAAGCAGAAGTCTAAAGACGAGGACCATGAACCCAAATCGAGGGCGACACACAAGGCGATCAAGAAGACCAGGGCCGTGGCGAAGGCAAGAGCCAAAAGATGCCGTTGACTTGTTCGTTCTCTGCATTGCATGACGGCGTTCCGTAGCTTTTCATTGACCAGATTGTGGAGCGTCTGACCCTGAGTTTTGTGGCATTCTCACATGGCATTAATCTGGCGTTGTCTGTTCAGGCTGGGATGGTGGTATAAGCATGTAGTTTTGGCCAGCTAGTCGAGAAAGACAAAAGGGTCACTCAATCAGCTCTATGTACGAAGTACTTGGGTGGGACTAGGTGAAGAACTACCACAAAATAAACAAAAAGATACCCATGATGCAAGTACACAGGCACAAATGCCACCTACTGGATGGCAATAACTCTTGCAATCTGTGTGTAGGACCAGTTGATTGGAGAATTTGCCTCTAACTAGCTCACCTGGGTTGTGTGACCCAAGCAACGCCAGCAAGCCGCCGCCCAGCGGAGCACGGCAGGACCTGGACATTGTTGGGGATGGACCCACATCCGCAGGTCTTCCTCGCCGAAGCCCTCCGGAGGTTTGCGTCTCCAACCCGTGCCGTGGTGGAACGATGCGGCAGCCTGGAGTTAACTCCAGACCGCCCCGGCGCGGTTGCAGAGGCCGCGCGCTATGTGGTTGTGGTGATCAGGGTCTTCCCCGCTTCATTAACCTCGCGCGGGTGCAGATGCCGGCACTGGGAGAACTCCATTTCCACATTCGCATATGGAATTTATGTTCTGGAGCTCATGATGGTTTTGTTAGGAACGGCCAGTCGGACCGGGAGCGGCTTGCCTGGAACCAAGGAAGAAATATCAAAAGAAAGATGAACAAATATGCTCATGAGGGTTAAATGATCAACTGGAACCCTGCGCACGTTGCTTATCGAACTCTGGGAATTGTGCCCGAATCTTGTCTTGGCCCTCTCAGGGGAGATCCTGCGTCTAGCGATACCGGCAGTCTCTTCAAAACACTGAAAAGGTGCTCCCGAGGTGGGCCGGGTTTGTGAAACTGGACAAGCACGCTCGCCCCTGGAGTAGTGTCCGAGGGTGCTCGGGAGAATGTCCTGGCAGCACACACATGGGAGGGGATTTGCGCGAGAATAGGAGATGGTCAAACTAGGAGCAAAGGGGTATATAAGTCATGGCCTTCATGGTTATGGGATCCTATTTATCTTTGCAAATACACTTCACACACGCACACAAACACAAACACAACAAAAGCACTTTTGCCTGCCAGGACTCTTTCCTGATCATATAGCTTTACGTTGACGCTTCTCTATTGCTATTGCGACGGCTATCCAAAGAAAAGAACATGTCTTCCCCTATCGACCTCAAGAACCCCGACCGCGTGATTCACGTTGGTGTCATCCTCCTTGAATCGTAATTCACCCCATCCCCCGTCTGCCTCCAACGCAACCGACTTCGTTTTGAGGAACTAACTTGGTGTTGCAGGATTACCGAGATCCTCGACGTCGCCCCGCTCGACCTGTTCTCCGGTCTGAGCAAGAGGTTCGTGATGGACATACCTGAGGCCTTCTTGCCCCAGTGCCACAAGGATGAGGCTCTTGATATCGAGTTCCACTGGGTCTCAGCCTCTGGAGGCGCGATGGAACTGACGGCGGGCGTGAAGCTGCAGACCACGGTTCGTGACCATCCTGATTCTAAAAATTCACGAAAACTTGGAAACCTTGAGTCGTGTATAGCTGATGATCCTTATCGATGGACTTGCCAGAACACTTTCGAAGATTGCCCGCCTCTCGACGTCGCACTGATGGGTGCGCACGAAGTAGGAATCTACCAGCTTACGGAGGCTGAGCTGGCCTTCATTCGCAAGACCTACGAGCACTGCGCCGCGTTCCTGTGCATCTGTGCCGGCATGATGCCGGCGCTCCAGGCCGGCCTCCTTCAGGGGAAAACGGTCACTGCACCGCGCGAGATGCTCCCGGAGCTCCGCAAGCAGGCGCCTGACGTCGACTGGGTGAGCAAACGTTGGGCTAACGACGGAAAGGTGTGGACGAGCGGAGCGCTGCTCAACGGACTAGACATGATGGTTGCCTTTGCGCAGCACACCTGGGGCAACAAGGCGGCTGATGGGAAGCCGCTCGAGCTCATCGCCCACATGATCAAGATGGGAGGCTGGCCAGTTCGTGATGTCGACTACAAGGACGAATGCTTCTGAGGAGTTTTTAGCCGGCGTGAGATCAGATGACGTAGACTGTTGAGCCTGGTTTTCGGGAGTGTTCGCGAACACGCGCATGCCAAGTCAAGAGCGACTGTGCTCTCTGTGTAGCCCAATTGGAAAATTTATGCTCGTGCCAAGTCCGTTGCAGCTGTCGTGCTCCCAATCTTGGATTGACCGTCTAAGCAGACGCCGCTCTCTTCTTGGCCAGGCCACCGAGCTTCTCAGCAGCAGCAGACAGGCTGCGAGGGTCGGCGCCCTGGATCATGGCCTGCCCATTCACGGCGACCTGCTTGCCCTCCTTGAAGAACATGAAGGTCGGCATGGCGGTGACCCGATATCGAGCGGCCACGTCCTGGGCATGATCAACGTTGACCTTTGCGAAGGCGAGAATACCTGGGATGCTGTGCTGCGAGGCGAGCGCCGCATAGCCCGGCGCGATAGCCTTGCATGGCCCGCACCAGTCGGCGTAGAAGTCGACTACGACGTATGTCGTGTTGGACATGAGAGTGTCCAGCTCCGTGGTGGAGCCAATATGGTGAAGATTGTCAGCCATGCTGAGTATGGTACCTGCTTCAGAGATGATGTTGAGAGCGGTGATGCGCAGATAGAGCCTGAGAGATGTTGTGAGACCCGTAGGTTGCGGGTTCAGGCACGAGGAGTGGTGTTAAATGAGGACGGGATTCGTGATTCGACGCCTGACGATGAGGTTCTGGAGGGGTGGCATAATGCCTGACTAATGCACAACACGAGTGGGCCACTCCTTCAAAGTTCCCCCAAACGGGTCTTGGTGGCCTCCTTACACAACGCAGCTTCCTTCTGACGTGATGCTGACTGTTGGCCTCGAGTTCCTTCGAGGAATCGCAGACGCGCTCCGGATCGACGCTGCCTGGATGGTGGCGATGGACCGTGATCAATCACAAACTCCGCGCGAAGGTTGTACCACAAGTTGTGGCCACGCTGAGCTAGAATCATCACAAGTTACGATTCAAATCAGGAACCACGACTGCGCCATCAAGTGCAGGCTCTAGAGACGCTGGGGCAACCCTCTGTATTTGGTATCTGAACAGCAAATCCACTTCTTATGCACCACATTACCCTCCATATGCAAGGTCGTTATCGTCATGTCATACAGGATGCTCGTCGCTCAAACAAGGTCGAGAGGAGGGTCGACGCACGTCGTGCTGTCCCTCGGTCTCGACCACGACTTGAATCTTATCAGAATCGCCATCGTCTGTCTCGACCATGGTCTGGCTTCCCGATGTTATCGCAGAAGGCCGTCTTGCCTGCCTCGCCCTCACAAACCGGCTCTTGTCAAGGTCTGCCGGAAGGGCCTCCACGTCTGTCCGTTCTATGACCGTAATGATTTGGATCTCCCGCATCATTCCTTTTTCAGTGGGCTTCTCGCCGAAGAGGGCTCGAGACATGCTGCCGAGCCACTTCCGCAGTAGCGGCGCAAGCATCGGAGCGTTTGTCGACACTACTGACACAAACATTACGCGATATGTCCACGGCGCCGCCTGCTGAGAGCCGTGCAGGGGGTCGCCGATGATGAGGCAGACCCGGACAATGGCGACTGCGATGATGAAGATGTTGCCGCTGACTAGCACCAGCAGACCCAGCTTCTTCCAATACTTGATGTGTGCCATCCAGAAGATGGGTAACGGGATGGCCAGGATGTATATGTCGGTTGCTATGTTGAGGGATAGCACGACAGACAATGTCGTCACATCAGCTGGAATGCAACTACCTGTACGACACATTAGTATGGTAACCATGCGCCCGGCCAGGCTGAATTTGGACAAGCACTCACCGCCAGGATATGGATTTACCTGCCAATTTCGCTCCAGCGGCAGGCAGTCCAGGAAGAAGACCAACACGATGCTGATATAGCTGACTGAGACAAATAGGAAGCCGAATCTGATAATCTTCGTGTAGTCGCCCAGCCGTGACTAGTAGACAAGCATCAGTACCTTGTCCGCAGTATTGACGCTTGCTCATCTCACAGCATACCGTTAGACGTATGAAGAACGCTAGCATTGCTCCCTTTTGCAACCATAGGACGAGACTGAAAGACACCCATATCGCGAGATACGCTTTCGAGCCGTTGACACTATCGCCAATCCTCAGAGTCAGCGAAGTCCGTGGTGGATTCGTAGTCTACACCACTACCGATCTGCGCTCACCGCCATTGATATTCGTCGCTGTCTGGACTTAGTGCTGCCCTCTGCTCCGGGGTCATGCTGCCATTGGTGAGGCCGTGCCAGTAAGTGCCCGCCACATATGCGAATGCTGTTCCACTTGCATAGAAAAACTGTGAGAGTATCATCGTCGTCAGTGCTGTTCACCATCGATTGAACTGCTGAAAGGAACCCAGAAACAATACATACTGCGACGAAGAACATGATGTAGTCATCGCTCTCCAAATGCTTCCATCCAACCACACGGACCCGAGCATAGGTCCGGAGGGCCACTATAGCCACCCCGACGAGGAAGAGGACGAGTGGCTCGATCATGGATCCTGCCCCCGGCACGCCGTTTGCTGACAATCACCGCATGAGAGACTGAGCCCGAGCCCGAGACGATTCGACGTGGGTGTTGATCTGCAGGATTTGAGGCTGCCACTCGGTGTTTGCTAGAAGCCGCGCACCAGGACGATCACCAGCCCTGAAGACAATGAGAAGGCGGCTACTTGGCGTTGATGAAAGCAACGAAGCGGATTCTGTTGGAGGGCTAGCTGGTTGCCAACGGGGGCTGGCTGTTTTGGGCACCACAGCATAAAGACATCAGCCGCCCAGAGGCACTAGCCGAGTGATCGCCACAGAAGACCTGGAGGGCTTGCAAAGGTTTAAGCCGGATGACGATGGGAATGCCGCTGCGGAGCGGATAACAGTTGCGAACACGACAAGAGCCGTGTCCTGGGGCTGATGACACCCACAACAACGGGGAAGGGAGGCGTCCTGTGGGCATTCTTTGTTACGGCGACCCGTTCTTGAAGCCTTTGCCCGCGGGACGGCTTCCGTCCGCAAAGGTTGTCGTCGATTGGCTCAACGCTAGCAAAGTAAGACACGTGACAGCCTATGGCGTGACTGTCTCTCTGTCCAAGCCCGACCTGAAAAAGACATTGCTAGGCCGGTTTAGGCCTTGGCTGCCCCCTGCATGCGGACAGACTCGCCTGTTGGCCCTCCCGCTCTAGCTGTAACTTTCTCGGTGGGAGCGAATGCAGACTTCCGATCAAGCCAACTTAATCACCGCCTGGATGCCTGATAGTGCGGAGCAAGCGGAACGAGACAACTTGGGCAACTTAGCTCCTCGAAATCCTCCTTCTAGAGTATCGTGGCGGGCTGCTTAGCTTCATTTCTTGTGGAAGCACATCCATAGATACCGCTCACCACGCCAACAAGCCACCCAGCTGTCAAAATCTTGCCTCCAAGCTTACATCCATCCATACACGACTGACTTGAGACAGCCTGTCAGTCTCGACATTGTCTTATTGATCAGCTGATCCCATATTTGGGACTTTTGCCACGCTCACTAAGATCCCGCCTCCAGTTCTCCATGGGATCGCCTAGCTCTTGGCCAAGAGCAGCAGAATTACTGGACCATCCTGAGCCGTTCCTCGGCACACCTTTAGAGTCGAGGCTCATTCCCACGGCAGGCCGACAGACCTTGGTATCACGGCGCATGCTTTGATGGGTATACCTGGCCAAAGTATATCGGAGGTTCAGTCAGCTTTCGATCTTCTGGAAGCTAGACCTTTGGGCGTCGAATCGTCAGACTAATCATGATGGCCCGGTCCCGAGCTGAGCAGGCAAAGCAGGCCGTGGGGACTATCATAAATGACAGAAGGCGGCCGCCTCTAAACGTCTTTGCTTTGCTTGGCTTCTTTGCTTGTTTTCAGCCAACCAGGTGCATTTGCCGTGGCATGTCTCAGACTAGGCCCTCCATTAGCGCTCGTAATGGAACGTTGTGTGCAATGACTTTCCCTTGTTAGTCCCGGGATTCTAAAAGTGCCCGCGCTGACGAACAGTAAAGAAGCAATATCCTTCTTCCTCTGGACAGCACAAGCACAAGCACGATCGCAGTGGCGTCGGGCGCCACGTCTTATTATTGAGTTCTCTGCGATGAGCCTTGGCGACTCGCCACACCAGATCGCCCGGTGGTGCCAGGCGGCCTCGTTCCGCGCTCCCGCCGTGTGAGGCTGGCGGCATGTGGCTACAATGACGTTTTTGGCGGATTAGCGATAGCCCTCACGTAATGCTGGTGCCGTGCCATCGCCCGGCCCAATACATATGGTCGTCTGCACGCCCAGATGGCTGCGTGATCTTTTTTTGGTGGCACAATATTTCGGCACAGACAATCGTTGCGAAACCAGCCGTGGCTGAAATGAATTGAATACGCAGTCTCACTATGAATAATCGGTTGTGCAGCACCCGCCTGGCCACATATCTAATCATTGCAGAAAGTGGTCGAGTCTCACGTAGAACAGGTCCGCCTGGCCGACTTCCTGACATCTAGTCGATCTGCAAATTTACACAAAACCAATATCCACGAATAACTCTCTGGCCACCATCTCGCAGTCCTAGAGTGCCGGATAAACGAACCCGTTTTTCTAGATTCCCAACGCTCACACCCGCCAAAAAAGGGTAGGGGTGCCGTTCCGCAATGGATGTCTCTCAGTGGCTGTCCACACACGTAAGGCCTAAAGGGAAACTGTAATTCACGATGTATCATGCTTTCGGGTTATCGATTCCGACGATCACCATCAAAAGCCTATCTATACACGCCACGCGCGCGTGGTACGGGAGGGTGGGCTTTGCCTCTCGGCCGAATCTGAAATCATAGTTTTTGCGCATGATAACTCCGTGGTCCGTGGATCTCCGGGCGGTAACTTTGCATACAGGCACTCGGCCAGACAGACGCAGACGCAGACATACGACGGGATCAGGACTTTACGCTCTTCCATGGTGGCACAGAGAATAGCCTTGTACTCGGCGACGTTATATAAGCTGCGTTAGTTTGAATATCGCTCTCTAGGTTCACACGGTATCCTTGGCTGGGCATTATTATTTTGCCTGAGGGCTGATTGATCGGGGAGATCAGCAAGGGGGAGCGTATTGCAAATGCTTGACCTCCGCAACTCTGCTGCCAAGAGCAGCTCGGTCCCCGTTGACACAAGGTGTAGCTTTGGGGGGCGGGGGTGTCATTGTCATTTCTGTCCTCCGTATCGTGTACTTATGATTGTGGCCTGGAGCTCACGAGCAAGGGCTGATGCCCCGGACTTTGGGAGCGTGTTCTCAACAGGCTGTAATCAAATCCATTTGAATCAAAATGCGTTTCAAATATGCCGATTTATCTCCACATGCATTGCACTTGAAGATTACGTTGGCGTGAATGTGAACTTAGTGACCCCCGGGCCTCTGTCCGTGCCCTTGTCTTCTGGGATCGAATACTGCGTTCATATGCAAAGACAACGCTAAGCAGCAAACCTCCGTGTCCCCTGTTCCAACATCCAAACAACACGCTACCACGCTTCCACGCTTCATGCATCCACCAACGCCGTATGTTCCCATCCGCCAATCGCTCTTCTTTTTGGTTGTTTTCAAGGTCGTTTGTGCATTTCACACAATGATAAGCTAAACGCGTCTGTGATCAGCAGAGAGATCTACCTTTCGGTCCAGAACCGTCACACATACCTCAATCAGCTTCTCCGTCAAGAAGACAGACTGCTTATCCAGTCCCTCGCCGTGACGGGTCGAGCAGCTCTTCCACAGACCGCCGAAGCCCATGTCCTCTAGAATCTCGTCGAGCATGCTGCTCCCCTCGAGCGCAGCCGAAAACTTCTGGTTGGACGAGAGCGTCTTGAGCAGGGCGTACGCTGCTTCAAGGGTTGCAGTGTTCTGACAGTGCAGGAGAATATCGTCGAGCATCGAAGTAACGTGCGAACACCTTGAATGGTTTGTGGTCAACAATTTGTCTCTGTCGTCTAGGAAGGGCTTTTCTTGGTGCAGAACTTACAGGTGCACGACCACCGATGGCCGCCCGGTGGCAACCTCGTTGAGCCAGGTCAAGGTGTGATTTTGTGCGGCATCTTCCAAAACCTGGAAGTCAACCAACTCAATGGCAGTGTATAGCAGCAAATCCTTGTCCTTGAGTGACTCCAGATCACGCAGACGACGCGCGGGAGCCAAACTAGCCACGCCGACAGGGCTAATCCCTGCTGACCAGAGAACATCGCGCATTTCCTCAACGGAAACAGACCGTGCCTGAATCAGCGTTAGGTATGGCGAAGTATAGTAATCCCGAGAAAGGTCATCAGAGGACTTTCGAGCCGAGTTGGTCGTCATCTCAAGGAACGTTGAAAGCACGCGGAGTGTAGCATTCTTGGTGACTGTGTCAGTCAGACCACGCACGAGGCAGGCACAGACGCTCAGATGGAAGTTCTCTGGCGTGAACTGTACGCCATAGACCTCATCCAGCGGAATGGCAGCTTCTTCGAGCTGCAGGCGACCAGCCAGTAGCAGATCAGCCATCTTTTCACCACTGAACTCGCCAGTCGTGCCAATATTAGCAAGAACAGCGTCCAAGAACGAAGCAGTGCAGCTAAAGAGAGAGCTTGGCACGAGTCTCAATAGTGACATGGCGAGCCAGAAAAGTTGCACGCCATATCTCGAAGCAGAGGGTAGCCTCGACATCATCTTTGACAAGGAGGTCACGATGGCAATCAGCATGTCGAAGCTGCCGTCTTCGCCAAAGCGCGAAATGCTGTTGCGAAGGGCAACGAGGACCTGATACAAAAGATCATCATCGACCTCTTCGCGAGCAAGACAACCCATAACTGTGAACGCACGCGGCTGGATTGCTGGATTGTTCTGGAACGCTGTGCTTGCGACCAAACTCATCCAGCGTGATCGCCATGCGTTCGCCATGTCGACCGATGGAGCTGCTGTCGCGCAGATCTCAAACAACATGCCAGCGAGGGTCTCGGTGCTGGCAAGTGCCTGCACACCCTCGGTGCTAGTATGTATCGAAGCTGCGTCGCGCGCAAAGACATGGGCAGCTGAGAAGATGTCGTTCCGCGACTCCGAAAGTGCTTCCAGGCTTGCTCGTAACTTTGCGGTTTTATTGTCGTCCAGCGTGAACGATGTGCTCGCGGCGTGAACCGTATTGATAAGAAGGCGGTGCACCATGAGGCGCACGTCAGAGGTACCAGTGTTAGCCAGCATCGTGACGATGTGGAATACCTCGGGAAGGTACAGCTGAGCTTGGACCGGGGAGTCGAAAGACAGGGCCAAGCAGAACTGCAGCAACACGCAAATCTCACTCCAGACAGCGTTGTCGGGCAATAGCTTGGTGGGTCGGAGCGAAGATCGATTCAGTGCCTTTCGCAACCGAGCGATGATCTTGCCACGAAGTGTGACTGTTCCTATGGCCGTGATGATCGCTGTCAGGCTTTGCGTGTTCTCATCATGCAGGCCTAGCGAGAGCGCCCCCTTGATCACCTCCTCGAGGAAGATGTCAAGCAGAGTCTCGTCCCTGTAAATCGCGGGCCAAACAGTGTGCTCAAGGATCAGCCCCAAGGAAGGGTCTGTCGCCGTCACATCAATGAGTTTCTGGAAGATGCCGGCAATCTTCTCCTTGCCCTTGTCGCTGTCAGCCTCTTCTCCCAGAAGTGCCGTGCGTAAACTGGGGATCCAAGGTGCCATGTAGGCCAAACTCAACGGCTTTTGCTCGTCAGAGAAGCTTTCCCAACCAACAAAGAACTCGTTGAGAAAGTCTGACGTGAGCTGCGGCTCTTCGAGCGCAAGCCTCTTGCTGATATTGACGATGAAGCTAGTCGGGTCCAAGGGAACAAAAACGTCTAAGAGGTGTTAGCTGGCACAGTAACGGAATCTTTTGGCATGAGGACATACCCTTAAGGCATATGAATTGCGATGCGGCCTTGAAGTCAAACGCTCGGCATAGTGCACCAAGCAAGTTGTATGAAGAAACCCTCAGCACCGGATCCGCGGCGGCAAGGTTGGTGAGCGCCAGGTTGAGCAAAGTGCCGGGAACATCTTGAGGTCGAATCAGTCTTTCGACCGACTTCATTGTCCGGGTGTCTTTTCCGTACTTCGCTTTTGCAGCACGGATAGATGAGAGCACTTCCCCTTTCTTGCTACTTTGGAAGTACATGACAATCTTTCCATTGTCCGCACGTAAGCCAAAGGCTGAGTCATCTTCCGTGGGTATTGAGGTGGGAGCTTCGTCAACGTCCCCCAGCCGGAAGATATCATTGACGACAGCGTTAAGGCGAAAGCCAGGGTGGACTTCTTGCTTCTTGGCCGTGGTGACCTGTACAAACTGACCGCCAACCTTGATCATGACCTCAATCTTTCCTTTGGTTTTGGATAGCCTCGTTACAGGCTGGAAGATGTAACGCGTGTCGGTGACAACACTGATGGTCTCCTTGGGGAGATGCAGTTGGCTGAGGTGGAAATGCGCCTGAAGGTCCGGCAAGCTGCCCATCAAGTGGTATTCGACATTGGAAGGGTTGAAGACGCTGGTCTCGTTACGCGTAGCCACGCGCAGGATGCGTCGGAAGCATTTACTTTACGATCATTAGCGTGAATAGCTGGCAGTCAGGAGGCATTGCTTACCGGAATGTGCTGTTCATATTGTACACAAAGACCCTTGTCAGATGCTGCGAAAGTTCGTTGGGAGAGAGCAACTCGAGCTTCTTGAAAATCTCATCAGGAGGCTCGTTCTGCCCGTTATAGCAAGTGGCATCAATGAACAACCCGAAAGGCTTGTGCCATAGCCGACTAGCGATCTGAAATGGGTGAGTTTAGCATTGACACAACATGAGGCAACGATGGCAACAAACCTTCAAATAGCAATACAGAACGGTATCATAATCTATCGAGTCCTGATCGATATGTCGAAGAATGATGCAGATAATGGAAAGACCGTCCTGCGTTGGCGTTAGCATAACAGCTTATCTGTCCGTGAATTTGTCACAAACCTTGCTCTCGCCTCCGTCGTACACAGCACGAGTCGTGACGTAGGATTCGGAACCACGGAAGGCGTTGCGAAGCATGAAATGCTGGAATCGAGAATATGCCAGTGGGTTGTTGGCGCTGATTTGTGGTCTGTTCCACGTTACAGCAAGGGGGGGAGGGCCCAGAGTCGTGATGAGTGCCCGAACCGGCTCAAGGACAGGAGAGCGACCACGAGCAAGCTCGTTCGGAGAACGTACAACCTCTCTCCTCTCTTGGTATATGAGCTTTTGTCGCACATGGTCCCAGTGATCGTAGAGGAAACGATGCATCGCTACACAGGAACCGAAGTCAAACGCCTCGGTGCTGCTGTTTGTTGCCGCCATCTCCAACTCGGCAGGCTCGACAGAGATCTCCCTCAGAAAAGTGGTAACCCGGTAGATGTTTTGTGTCAAAAAATCGTTGAGCGAGAACAGATACGGCTCTTTGGCACCAAAGAGAACATTGTTTGCCAGATTCTGAATAACCTTAGCAATCAGGAGCAACCCGCGCCTCATTTCTTTGGATGGGGTTGTCGAAACGAGATTATCGGACTCGGGCGCGACGATTGCCGGGCAAAAGAACCGGAGGAATATGAAGGAACCAACAGCGGTGTACTTGGCCTCCGGGAAACGAGGCATCACAGCCGAGGATATCTGCGCCAATTAGCCAATTGGAACAAGCGCAATCACGAATTATGACTTACAATGCTGCAGATCTTGCGGAAAGCAGGCGGAATGAACGCAGAGGAAGCACATATGTCGTCGATGAAGACCTTAGCCACGATCCTGAGCTGCATTGCGTTCTTTTGCAGCTCTTCTTGCGACGTGACCTTGCTGGGATCGAGCTCCAAGTCGAGGTCTTTTGAAGTGAGCATCAACCGCTCGATGACTTTCTGCAATGTCGCCTTCAGATAGGCTGCACCCTTCCATTTCGCATAAGACGATATCATCTTAGTCCCGACACAGTTTCGGCGGAGCAGTTCGGACTCATTTTCTACGCAACGTAATTAGTACTCAGATACGAGTGGACTGACTGCGGTGCTACATACCAGTATCCTCAATCTCTTGCCTAACCAAGGCTTCCATGAGTTCAAAGGCCATGCCACGGGTCTCGAAGATGCTCAAGAGGGCTATCGCAATCTCGTCGACCTCGCTGCTCGGGCAGACAGTGCTGACCGCGCATGCTAGGCTCAAATCTTGGGTGAGAATCTAAGCAAGATAGGTTAGCCGAGGGTAACTATCAAATTTGGGGGAGCGCGAGTGCTTACGTCGAGAAGTGCCTCGTACTTCTCGCTGACAGCTGCATCAGAAAGGTTGTTGAACTCGGTGCCTTGTACCAGGATATTATACAGGACTTTGACGAATGCTGTCCGGATGTCAACATCCTCGTGGTAACCAATACTAAGAGAATGTTTAAGGCCAACATCGATATTCGCGCTGAGAAGGTTCGATAGGATCGTGATGACCAGATCTGGTAATGGAACATTGTCGTGACCGTGGCCAGGAAGCTCAGCTTTACCTTCCATAAAGTCACGGCTGAGCAAGGACAGGAAGCGATTGAAGTACGACTCGAACATTTGCAACTTCAGCTCGCTCGTGCCGACGTCGCTCTGCCCATCGCTGGGTTGCAAGGGTAGCCGGAATGTTAACTCGGACAAGCACTTGAGACAGGCCCGGTCAAGGTCCTTTTGAACTCTGGCAGAGTCTTCCTGTCCCCTAATACCAAGCCCGCTGTCCGCCCGAGGAGACTTTGGCCTGGAAATCCAGAGGTAGATGATTTCGAGAAGCTGATTGCGAATCCTGACATCGTCCCGCAGATTCAGGTGTTCCTTTTTCTTGGTGACACTTTCACAGAGATGGCAGACCTTAATCTTGACTCTGAGACTGCTGGCCGTCTCACCAACACCATCCATGAATTTGGCGAAACCCAGCGCCAAAGACCCCAGGTGGACTGAAGAGGCTGCACCCATCTCGGACGGCGACTCTAGTCTGTCCACAAGACCTCGGAGTAATGAGGCAGCCTGCTCTGCAAAGATGATCTCGATATCTTGGCCTCTGCCTGATGCTTCCAGTGCTCCGGTGAAGAGCACATCCACCTCTGACTCAAGTGCTTTGAACAAGTGCTGATACAGATTCGAGGATATCTCCGAGGAGAGAACCTCCCTTATTGTCTCTCGGGCCCGCACATTCGTGCTCGCGAGCAACTGAATTGACAGTCGCAGGAAACGGCTCAAGATAGCCTCCTCTAAATGCTCGGATGAGGGAAGGTCAATCCATCGCATTGATGTTTGAGACTCTTCAAGCATATACATCTGATCGGATGTACATACGCCTCCCAAAGAGGCCAGAAACCCTGACAGGTTCCTCCACTCTGAAAAACTCGCCTCTTCAATGCTCTCCGGCGGAGTTGTCGTCACATCTTTGGAAATGTGAATCCACTTATTGAATGCGATTTCCCAAGCCTCGATCAGTCCCGGAGTAGGATGTTGCAGGCCTCTGATGATGGATCGAATACGTTTTTGAAATGCGACCATGCCCGGGAACCGGAATTCCTTCGTCGCAAGCAGAGCCAGGGCATCTCGATTCAGGAGTGTGGTATGCGGAACCTTGCTGGCTTCAGGCACGCTTCGGATGGCATCTGCCGCATAAATGAAGTACGAAAAGCAAGACACGATGATCTGGCAAATGTCTAAATCTGGAGAGCATAGCGAGACATATAGGGTCGTTTCTAGCCTAGAAGCTAGTTGTATGCGGCGGTCGGTGGGTAATATGTTTTGGTGGAGCTCCTGTGAAGTGGTCAGCTGAGTTAACGACTGAGTTAATTCGGAGCTGCCTGGCATTGTCTCACAGGAGCAATCATGTGGATTAACGGGTGACATTCGAGCTGGCCCTGCAGGGCTCTTAAGTGCTTGGCATCAAGCTGCAGGATCAATTTCTCACAGAGTGTGCTGTTGACAGCAACGCTAAAGACAGACCAAGTCAGCAAATTGTTTCAAGTACTTGGTGGCGTTCACTTTACACACCTAAGATCGATGTACTTCTTTCTGAAATCGGACGAAGTGAGCGCTCTCGTTTTGCGCAGCGTAGCCAATAGTCCACTTTGATGGAGATCTTGAGCTAGCGGCTGCGCAAAAGCCCGCAGCTCTTCGTCAGCCACAGTCAGAACTGTCATGATGGCTTCCAGCCGCTGCTGATAAAACATGTCGGCTTCCGCGGCGTTGGCCGGTGGTGACTCAAACAACGCAGCTGGTCGCGCGCGGAAGAACTTCAGAATGTTTAACAACATAACCTTGTTTGAGGCATCAGCTTCTGGCGTCCGGCGCTTAGCCTCGGAATCGCCAATGTAGCGATCCATCAATATTTGGCACGAAGTCTAGGATTCTGTTAGCCTTGTTGAGCAGCTTTTGCCGGGCGTGTGCAACCAACCTTCAGTTGATTTTGTATGAACCCAACACTACTCGCAAAGAGTGGGCAATATCGGTCTGACGGGGCGCGTCTGGCAAAATAGGTGCATGACTGTACCAACGCGATCTTGAAAGTCTGCGGTGCGTTTGCCTGGAGACAGATCTGCACAAGTGGCTCGATCGAATCATCAATATTGGATTCTGCGAGACAGATGAAAGTGCAAGTGATGAGGTCTTGGTCGAACATTGACAATGCTGGATTTGTCGAGGACTTGCGAAATACGGCATCGCGGACCTCATCTTGAATATCCATGGCGTAGCTGACGATGGCACAGTCGCTGCTTAAGCCAATGATTGGACCATTGCGGACGAATGCGACGAAACACTGGATCACAGTGTCACTCCTGTTGTGGAAGCCTTTTTGCAAGCCCTCAAGGTAGCTGACTTTCTTGGCCAAACTGCCAGTCTTCGCGTCTCGGAAATTCCCTGCAACCTCGAAAACGTCCGGCATCAGACTAAGCAATGAGCACTGAAACTGGTGGAGGCATGTCCGCCGCTTGCTGTTGTCGTTCAGAGTGAGAGACATCTCGAAAAGCGTGTCAATGGAGCTGTCAAGCTTCCGCCGACCATGATGAAGGCCAGCATATTCGTCTGAGTAGCGCAACATCCAACCGATGATCAAACTAGGCGTCGAGACTGCTATGACGGTTTGGTATGATTTACGCAGATGGAGGAAATTGGACGTCAATTCTTGTATGACAGCAACGAGCTTCTGTGAGTCTACCCAGTAGAAGGCAAGAAACTGCAGCGCCCCCAAAGCGTGACGTTCTTCTTGCGCGCTTGCCAGAATCGGCTGCATGGCAGCATGACCTGCTGCGACGTTCCGAACTCGGTATATAGTGGTCCTCAGGTAGTCAAAAGATGCTGCCCAGTTGCCTGCGCTGACATAGGTGACCACAACCCTGATCAGCTGTATGACCTCGCTTGAGATTGAGGGTGGCAGCCTATCACCCAGTTCGCGCAATTCGTCGCTGGAGCTGTTCGATGAGCCGGTCCTCGAAATCATGTCGGAACCGAAAGGAGCCGTATCTAGTACATCGTGTGCCTCAAAGACAAGGTGTCGGGCAGGGAGCACAAAATCGTCCGGTATTGGGTCGAGGAACATCCTGACATAATCGAATATACGTGTAATAAGCGTGTTCGGCAACGGCTTCGGCAGCTTCTGAGCCCCACGAAAATGGGCGCCGAGGTAGATCGTGTCGAAGGTGGGCTCTCGAATGGTTTGCCAGTTGGCGAAGCAACAGTCCGCAATGAGCTTGAGGAGATAGACTTCCGAAGCAAGAACATGTGGAGGATGCGTGGTCACCGTCTTATACGGCCGTCCCAGCTCCTCTAGCAGTGCCACGAGAGGTTCGAGAACGGCGACTGGCGAGCTGGCGCTGACCCTGACGAGGGTCGCGCGAGTGGTGGCAGCGACATCGTCTTGCTTGAGGTCTTGATCCTGGGTGCCGGTCCGATGAGGGAGCTATTCGCATTGGGCAGTGATGTTAGTGGGGTGATCTATGTTTCGCACGACTTTTCCACACACAATGAAGCGCAATGGCGGCACGAAACAGATGCGAGGACTTCATACTCGGGTGGTCAGCCTCTCGACCAGACAGCCGACGAGACCTGGGTCGTTGTTCATGGTGTGCAGTCAAGAAGTCGGATTGCATTGAGACACTGCTTCGACATGGTTGTGGTCCACAGCACAATGCGGGCACTTTTTGACTGCCGGCCAGCGAGCTGAGCTTATGCGAGGTCGTGTGCCGGGGCCCGCTTGAGAGAGGAATGGCGAGCTGGAGGAGGCCAGCAGAAGCACTTTGCCGTGTTCGAGATGTCTGCTCCGTGATTGGGAAGGCGCCGTTGTTGGTCTGTCTGGCAGCTTCGTGATGCCTGCAAGCTGTGGGTTGCCTTTCTGCGACGGTTGCCGCAACTCTGCTGCCGAATCGGAGCGAGAGCCTCTGGTTCGTCGCGAGATGATATGATGGTCGTGCTGCTGCTGCTTCTGAGGTAGGAGAGGAGAACGACTCAGGAGCGCGAAATGTCGAAGCCCATGGTCGAGATGCGCAGCGAGGAATGGGGGGTGGGAAGCCAACAGGCTCGAGGGTCGTGGGTCGTGGTGGAAGGGGACGGGATTCGAGGGACGGGACCCTTGCAGGCCTGGGAGCGCAGGTGCGGCGTGTGTATTATCTCCTGTCTCGAGCCGGGGACCCTGACCTCTGCGGATATCGAGCGGGACACGCTAGGGAGATGCAGGTCGAGCTTCGGAGCACCATCCCGCCTGTGCCTGACTCTGTGCAGCTTGCTTCTCCACCATCCCATGCCGGGCGACTCGACAGCTGCTGCAAACAGCAGAGGCTTGAGCCTACTACCAAAGTGCTTCAGGGCTCACTTTTCACAAGGTCCACGAGTACGTCGAGGAAGCCTCCTGGCATCGCATGCCCCTCCACGGTTCCATATGCAGTAGCATTGCTTGAGCACGCTTCAAGGTCTTCTAGACTCAATGGCAGCGCAGGTGCACCGCAGCGTCAGCATCCCGCTCGTTCTTCCGACGGAAGGAAGAGGAGCTCGTGCACAAACAAGACAAGTCTCGAGAAAGTAGGGCCTCAAAGCCGCTGGTGGAGCGCGTTGCAAGGCGGGGCGGCGCAGGTCAGTCGCAACAACGCCCCCTGGAAGACCTGCGGGGAGAAAGAACCTTGGAACCTGTCGAGGCTTCTCCTTTTCACGAACCGCGTGGCAACCATCGTCACAATGGTCCGGCTGGCACCACTACACTGCACCATCTCAGTGTGTCCTATTTGGTGTCCTTTCTGAGTGGCGACGACAGCATGGTTGTCGCGATATCGAGCCCTTCAAGTAGGCACCTATAAGTGATCTGCCAATAACAGAACGGTCAACCGAAAGTTCCCATCTGCAGATGCCTGGATGCTGCCCGTGCTGCTCGCCGTTGTCGTGATGGTAGGGCCATCAAGGTGCTGGGATGGAACCAGAAATTAGATGAAAAAGAACACTCAAGGAAGCACCATCGAAAGATCATACTGTCGGGGATCCTTGCATGCATACGCCATCCACGTGCATACTCGGCCCACCTCCACCAGCCTTTAATACGGCAGTCAATCTCCCGCAGCGGTGTCGCAACCATGTGGGCGCTTCCATTGCCTCGTAGAGTCTGCAGAGCTGTAGATCTCCTCGGCGGCGAGTCCGAGGACCTGGACCTAGACCTGGACCGCGCTCGTTTAAATACTGTATTGGCGACGCTACCTGGCTTCTTAGAACGACCACTTCCAATCGCGGGTATGTTCGAAGTTCTGGGGTCGGACTCGCGCCTACAAGCTTGTCCTCGGCTTATTGTTGTAAGTCCCAGCCAACTTCGTACACGCACACCGACTCGCATTCCTCCTAGTCTGCCACTCTGTAGTTAGTTTCTAAGCACGGCTACACCCATCACGCCAGAGCTTCTTCAGCTGTGGAAGTCTACGTGTCCACGACCGCCCAAGAGGGATAGGTTGCAAGCCCAACTCAAAAATCAACCTTGTCCCAGGCTGCATCCCTGGCAGCTTGCGTGTGTTGAACCTTAATCCCACGCGCCACACTACCACAGTGTATCACGATCTTTCTGCGACCCGCGGGCCCGGCCCGTCCGATTAGCCTCTGATAATATGGTGCTGTCCAACACAAAGTGGCGAGATTTTGTGTCTGACCCTTGGCGACAAGTGGACTCGGAGACTCCTCCGGGTTGTCCCACTTGGCCTGCAGGACATTATGATCCCCTTTTCCACATGTCGAAAAGCCAAGAATTGCGTGGTATGGTCGCATTGATGTTTCTTCTCAAGTGATCCAGGGCATGTCAACACTCGATCAAACACTCGACCAAACCTTAAGTCACATGAATTACGACTTCTACTACGCAACGCCACACAGGATTTAGGATGTCCAAATCTACTGTCAGCGACAGAAGCACAGATAGCTGTGCTCACGAAGGGTCAATAAGAAAAACTAAACATGTCATTCATTTATCGAAGTTCTACGACAATCATTCTTCATTTTAGGCCCAGCATAATAGAGGGGCCAGCTCGCTCCTGAACCACAAGATATCTTCTTTCCATAGATACTCCCGTAGCTAATCCCGCCTGTATCCGTTGTTTCCGCCGTAGCCACCGCGGCCACGGCCGCCGCCGCCGCCTCCACCACCTCCTCTATACCCAGAGCGGTCATTGTAGCGGCTGTCATAGCCTCCGCCACCACCACCACCACCACCACCATACCCATGCTGCTGCTGGTTATGGTGGCCGCCCTGGTAATGATTGTTGCCATGATGATGTCCTCCACTACCACCACCTCCGCCGCCCCTGTACCCGCCGCCACCACCACCACTGTTGTAGCCTCCGTAAGCACCGCCATTACCATAATGCTGGGGTGGCGGAGGTGGAGGAAGACCGTTCCCGAAGCCTGGCATCCCAGGAGGTGGCGGTACCCAGCCAGGTGGTGGCACGGGTGGCGGGGCTTGGTAAGAGTTCTGATAGCCACCACCTTGTTGATGCCCATAGCCGTTGTTCCCGTTCTGGTGATAGGGACGGTTGTTCTGTCGAGAGTCAGAGCCGTAGTGGATGCGATCGCCGCGGCCTCGGCCGCCGTAACCACCACGACCACCGAGCGGCGCGCCGCCATAGCTGCGTCCCCCGTTGCGCATCTTGCCCTTGAGCTCCTCGATGTCGCTGCGGTTGAGGGCCGGTGTGGGCAGCTCGACGCCTCGGAGCAGCATCGACTTGTGGCTATGCCCGGTATCGGGGATGTCGTAGACAACTGTCACCGACCGGTCGTCCTCAACGTCGGGCATGGAGTTGCTCTCAAGGGGGTATACGAGTGTGCCGTGCGGCAGGTACTCTGCCAATTTGCTGGCCTTGCCTGACAGTCCCTGGCTGGCGCGCGGGTTCAGGTTGAACTCGGGCGCGCCTTGCTTCTTCGAGTAGAACCTGCTGATGATGTCGTCGTAAAGCTCTTGGTTCGCCTCAGACAACAGCATCACGGTCTGGCCTTTGCCATTTCGTATCGTGTCTTCTGGGCTTAGCTGTGGGTATCTCGCCTGAACAGCACCAAGCAGGCGAGGCATGTCAATGAAAGGCAGAAGAGCAACGCCTTGCCAAGCCATCTTCTTGCCGTTGAGGTCGATCTCAAAGTCCTCGGGGTAAAAGTCGATGATAGGGCTGTCGCTTTCTGTCATAAGATCGTGGAAGATATCCGGCAGGACGTGCTTTGAGCCAGCAGGCTGGACACTCATCAACTGCTCGAACGGCCGCACGATCGTGCCCTTCTCGAACTTGATGTCCATTTTGCCGATATCGACAAAGTCCTGGGCAAAGGGCGCATAGTGGTAGGGATAATACCACTCCCAAGAGGGGCAGCCCTGGAAGTAGTAAGCCAGAACCCACGCCAGGCCCTCAACGTACGCGCGACCGACTTTGCGGCGAAACTCGATGTCTTTCGGGTCGACCTTGAACTTCTGCTCGTAGTACCTGTCGGCATAGCCCTCCTCCCACATACGGATGGTGTCCTCAGGCTCCGCGGGCTCCTTGTCAGTTGACCCGGGAGTGCTCTGGCCATCAGTGATTTCTTCAGCTTTGCGCTTGCCAAGTGTGTTGCCTGTAGTTGCTTCAGAGGGTTCCGAAGTGGCTGTTGGAGCTGCTTCGGGCTGAGTAGCTTCGGCTGACTTGGCCTCAGTCAGCGCCTTGATCTGGCTTTTCAAGACCGCAGCAGCACTCTTGTTCGCAGTATTTGCATCAGGCCGGTTGACGATGAGGTTGTGGGTGAGAGAGTTGTTGAGTCCACCAGGCAAGCTGGACTCGTTGTGGTTGCCATTGCGACCATTCCGCTGCTGATCCTGCATCTTGCGGCGCTTGTTATTGGCCTCTCTTCTGTCCTCGGTTTCCTTTCTTCGCCGAAAAATAGCATCTTCTTGCTTCGCCAGGCCGTTGAGGATGAGCTGGGCCCGATTGAGGTCAATGCGCCCGTCCATCGTGACATAGCCGCCCATCTCTGGAAGGTTGTCTCGCCAGATGGCGGTAAGGGTGTCAATTGAGTTCTCGCGAATTTCGAGAGCGGGCAGGTGAGGAAGGAAGTCGTTGCCCACAAAGCAGAACATAAAGACCCAGTCGTCGATAGCGCGCTCCAGATCGAAGCGGAACGGCAGTCCTGGAACATTCAACTCGACCGCCAGATACTCTCGAAGTATAGAGGTGTGGAGCCAAATGAATGGCTTCAGAGGCACGGGCTTGTCGCCAGGCTCGTCATCTTTCTTCTTGGCCTCGCCGCGACAGTTTCTTGCCTCGTGGCCTTCCTGGCCACAAATCCTGCAAGTTCTCGTCTTGCCCTGCTGAGCAAAGACATCTTCACGAAGTACACGGAAATGAGGCTCATGAGTAGCCAGGCCCAACATGATCAAATCGGCATCAAGTCCGTAAATTACATGGCGGGTGTTCGGATCATGGTCGGGCGAAGCTCTCTGGGACCGGACGAAATCCATGATCTTGTGCTCACCCTCTCCGGGCACGGTAGCGTCTGAGATGATGACCTTCATGTTGGCCCAGCCAGGGTCGGTGTTGAGCTTGTACGCACACCAGTACCGCAAGGAGCTGGCGAGAATATCCATGAAGGGTGTTCCTGGAGTGATCGAGTTCGAGTCGAAGGCCTTCTTGTTCATCGCCGCAATTGTCTCGGGAGGCAGCACGCCACCATTCTGCGACTTGACCATCTTCAAAAGCTCCTCCTTGTCGGCAGCCTTCTCTTTTGCCTCTCGAGCGGATCTGAATCGTCTGGAGCGCTGCTGGTTCATCTTCGCGCGCGGTGCGACACCGTCGATGGCGATCATCAAAAGCTTCTTCGGGCGGACCATGTTGACGACGCGGTCGGTGTATTTGAACACTGCCAACATCATCTCCTCCTCGTCTTTTGGTGCCGGGCCATCTTCAGGATGCGAACAAGGGTGAACGATACCGTTCATATCGAGGTAGAGATTGTCGAATTCCTCGCCATTAGGATTCGGGCGTGTAGTGTCGACCGGAATGACAGTGCCATCTTCCATTACAATAGGCTGGTCCTCAATCACCGGAGAGATAATCTTCGGGTACTTTTGGGACAGCCATCGGAACGCCGCGGGGATACCCATGGTGATGATGTGAAGCGAACGTACGGGCTTTGCGAGTTGATTTGCTTGAGTTGGAGAAGTGGACACAGAGAATGGGAGTCGATTGTCTTCAGGTTATCGCGATCGGCGCTGCGGTACTGCGTCTTTGTCGCCAGGATTTCGGTATGCTATAAAGCTGTCGAGGAAGCGCCCCAGGCAGATTGGGGAGAGAAGCGCGGATTGTCGTGCGCATGGAGGCCAAGCTCGAATGCGCAGCTGTCGCAAAAGGCGACGTGGTCTGCACGTCAATGGAAAGGATCAAGGGAAGCTGGTCCGCAAATGCCGGAACCTTGTGGTGGCTGCGATGTGCGCGACAAGGCCTGGATGTCGTCGAGCCTTGCGCAGCGGGCAGGAAAAGGCTTGGTCCGATTAAAAGTTGATGATGGAGAGTCGACTCGCGGCTCTGGAACTTTTCCTGGGCGCAACTGCCTGCAGTCTAGCCTTCGTTCCAGGGTCTTCCCATTGGCAGGCAGCCAACCTGGATCTCCGTTTTCCGGGGCGAGTGGGGCTCCTGTTCCTGAGCAGCCCCCTGTTCGGCCTTGTTCAATTCTATGCACGTAATAGCTCACATTGTTCTGGCGGTGATGTGGCCAGTTTGAGGTCAATCCCTCGCGAACCGACACTTTGCGACAACAGCGTGCGGCGGATCTAGCAAAGGACGCCGCTGCGGACGAGAGCTTAGCCCTAGCCCACGGCGACTATTTCATCACGAACATACGACAGCTCCGCCTCCACGAGAAGAATGTCCGCGGCTCGGTAGACGTCGCCCAATGGCCTCGAAACTTGCACAACTAAACGAGCACTGAAACCATGTTTTCCAGCATCGCTACTGCTCCGGCGAAGCAGTCCGTCGGCGAGACCATCACGGTGCTGAGCGGGCGATTGAGCTCTGCGACTCTGCTGGAGGACCGTCGAGCTGCCATCCTTGGACTTCGAAGCTTTGCCAAAGAATATCCAGCTTCGGTTGCCTCTGGTGCGCTTCGTAGCTTGATCGAGAGCTTGTCAAAGGATGCGGAGGATCCCGAGACTGTCAAGTCGGTCCTGGAGACTCTCTTGATGCTCTTCAATCCGAACCAGAACAGTCCCGAAGCATCTGAAGACATTGCCCTCTGGCTTGCCGACGAATTCACCCAACGCGACCATGTTACTCTGCTCCTCGATTTCCTCGAAACCCTCGATGCGCACGTTCGGCTCTATTCTATGCAATTGATCTCTGCCATCCACTCCGCTCGCACCGACCGAACAGAAGACTGCGTCCTCGCTGCTCCAGGAGGCCTGTCCAAGCTTGTTACTGTCCTTGACGATCGTCGGGAAGCCGTACGGAACGAGGCGCTGTCTCTGCTCACATACCTTACAGCATCCTCGCCAACAATCCAGCAAATTGTTGCCTTCGAGAGCGCATTTGAGAGAGCTTTCGCCATTATTGCAGCTGAAGGGTCACTTGTAGAGGGCGAGAGGGTCGTGGAAGACTGCCTTATATTCGTTGCGAATCTGCTGCGACTGCATCCCAAGAACCAGGCCCTGTTCCGAGAAAGCGGCTACGTTCAGCAGCTGTCAAAACTGCTGGAGAGCACGTACCAGGCCAGAGACCCGGAGGAGGAGCTGGCACAATGGGCCCAGGAGCAGCGCGGGAGAAACACATACGCTCTTCTTGCCGTACTTCGTCTTTTCTTGGTCCCTGGGGCTGAGGGGACACTCAAGAACCAAGCTGCCTTCTGGCAGCACGGTGTACTATATCATGCCTTGCAACTTGCCTTCGACCATGGCTCTCAGCTACCTATCAAGGCGGAAGCTCTTACTGCGTGCTCAGACATCATTCTTGGTCACCCAAAATTACAAGAAGGTTTCGCGCAGCTGCAGGTGCCTTCAGTCTTTGAAACTCCGCAAGCGCCAACAAATGGAAACACGGCGAAGCCCAAAGCAGTGCCCATGGTCTATGTAATCGATGGTTTGCTCGACCTTGTGCTTGGCCTCCCTGTTCTACAAGCCTTCGATCTTCGATATGCGGCCTGCCAGTGCATCAAGGCCTACTTCCACAACCACCCCGAGATCCGGCTACATTTCCTGCGACGAGCCATCGAAGGCCACTCCTCTGGGGCGGACGAAACCGCGAACGTGCTGACCACTTTGCTACAACCTCTCGATAACACTGCTTCGTTGGATCCTTACCGCTTCTGGTTTGCTGCGGTCATTACTTTTCATCTCATCTTTGAGAATGTAGAGGGCAAGGCGTTGGCTATGGCCGTCACCGAGGGAGATGCTGAGAGTGGCGAGGAGGTTGTCACAAGCATCCAGACTGTCACTGCGCATCTGCTCAGTGCTCTGTCTCGAGCGGACGACGAACGCATCGTGATAGGGTACCTGATGCTTCTTGTCGGCTGGTTATTTGAGGATCTCGATGGCGTGAACGACTTCCTGAACGAGGGCGGTTATATCACGACTCTTGCCACAATCGTCAATCCTGCCAGGCAAGATCCCACGCAGAGTGCCTTGGTACAAGGCTTGTGTGCTGCCCTTCTTGGTGTAGTGTACGAGTTTTCGACAAAAGACTCTCCAGTGAGCAGATCAACCTTGCATACGGTCTTGCTCGAAAAAGTCGGGCGCGACAAGTACGTCGATACCCTCACGAAATTCAGGAGTCAACCCTTCGTGCGCGATTTTGAGGTCATACCAGCCAAACTGGGCAATTCCGGGGAGCTGCCAGAAGTTTTCTTCGACGCTCAGTTCGTGGACTTCTTCAAGGACAACTACAGCCGCCTGGTGAAAGCCATTGATCGCGAACCTGGTCTGGAAATCTCCGTCGTTACGAACGGCGTGGAGAAAGGTGTCTCTCGTGAGTTGGTCGACTCGTTGCGAGCGCAACTAGCGGAAAAGGACAGGGCCTTGCAAGATGCGGTAGACGAGAGTGCTGCTCTGGAGGCGAAATTGAGCGTTGAGCAAGTCGAGAACCGGAAGACCAAAGAACTCAATGCAACCGAGATGGCACGCATACGGAATATCAACGAGGCGATGCAAAGACATCATGATGAGGACATCAGGTGAGCTTCAGTTGTTGCGTTCTGTCGATAATTCACTAATCCTCTGTAGAAACCTCGAAGCACAACAGAAGCTCAAAGAGGAGGCGCTTCAGAAGCAGCTTGACGCAATTCGCGCAGAGATGGAAGCCAAAGCTGAAATGGCATTGAAAGCGCAGAGGAAGAAGGAAATTGACCTGCAGAAGGAGATTGACGGCTTGCGCAGGAGCTTGGAGGCTGAGAAGGCGCAAATCCGGCAACAAGTCGACGCAGAGAGGGTGCAGCTGCAGAAACAGGCCGACGCTGAGAAGGCCGAACTCCAGAGGCAACTCGACTACGTAAAGAAAACCGCCGAGACCGAGAAGGATCGCGCGCTGCGCAAGTCGGAGGGCGAGAAAGCGGAGACACAAAAGATTATCAAGAAGCTTGAGTCGGAGAAGGCCGAGGCCAAGGCGGAGAACGAGCAGACGATCAAGAAGCTCGAGGCCGAAATTGCGGAGCTCAAGGCTTCGAACAAGAAACTCGAGACGGCGGAGACTGATTCTGTGCGTGCAAAGCGCCGCGTTGAGGCGGAGATCGCAGACCTCAAGGCGACCATCAGTCGACTTGAAGTCGACCTCATGAAGGTACGTTGCTCTTCACCACACACAATGAGACGCAGTTGGACTCACACAGGACGAATTTGCAGGCGAACAAGGCCAAGACTCAAGAAGTCAAGGCTGCGCAGGACAAAGGATCTGCAGACCTCGCCAGTCAGGAGAAGAAGGCCAAATCATTTGAGCAAAAAATCAAGGACCTCGAGGCTAAGCTCAAGAAGGCTGAGGAGAAAACCAAGGTATCCGATAAGCAAATTGAAGAACTCGAGAACGACTTAGCGAAGAAGGCGGAAGAGTCATCGAAGGTAGGCCACGCCTGCATTGTGACGCAGTGAACCACATGCTCATCATTTTACAGTTCACGAAACAGCTGAAGGAGAAGGATGACGAAAAGGCGGCCACGCAGACCGAGCTGGACGACTTGCTTATGGTTTTCAGTGACCTTGAAGAAAAGGTCGAGAAGTACAAGGTACGTCTAAGAGTAGTGAAAGTGGGGAACCCATGCTAATATGTCACAGCAACGGCTCTTGGAAGCTGGCGGAACCGTCTCAGACGCGGACGATGGCAGCGATGACGAGGACGACGAAGACGATGAAGACGACGACGAGGTCGACTGATCTACCTGAGGGAGCCAGGTCAAAAGCGAGCATAGCGTGGATTTCTCAGATAGATGTCAATCGCGATACCCGGCCCATGGCTGATCTCTATGGCTCCGCGAGCTTGCCTTGGACCCTGACTTTTATGCACGTATGCCATTCGGACGCCCCACTGAAAAAAAGCCTGTATGCAAGTACTGCAACCACCGCCACTCCACCTGCCGCACTTTTCCAGATGCCCAATCAGGTAAATTGACAAGGCACAAGACAAGGTCTTGGACTGACCCCGACCAGCATTGCCAATTCCGAATTTCAATATTTCATTTCAACGGTGAATTCCCGTTGAAACTTGAAATTCACCAGGCAGTCGACATGGCCTCGAGACCGGAGAGATCCAATGACCCGCTGAGCGATTCGGAGTCGTCCTCTATCGGCTCCCGTGCGGACGATGAGGGGTGGGATGATGTCGAGGCAGACGAGGAGGAGAGCGTAGAGGTTGTATCCCTGCTGGACGACCGCGTGTTCCCGGACGTCCTGAGCATGCTTGCCTACTGCAAGGAGAAGCACAGCTTCGACTTTCTCGCTGTCCGACAGAAGCTGCAGCTTGATTTTCACGGATCTGTCAAGCTTGTCAACTATGGTACGTGGGGCTTCTATCAGTATGGCGATACCATGTACAGTCCAACACATGGCATGACAGCAACGTCTCTGCAATACGAGATCGGCTCGTTATCCCGCATACTACACTGCACAGTTGATGTTTCCCAAATCTCGGACTACCATTTCCGGGAGCATGCAGCAATGATTCAATAACAATGAAAGTACAAAGACTGACATTTCCATAGTCCGCCAGCGTGTCCGTGATGGCAACACCGTGACGGAGGATATCTCGAGCGCAGACATTAGCAGCGACGAGTACCTGAAGCCTGTTTTGGATGATGATGCTGTCATTCTCGGCCTATTTGACCTCCCCGAGGTCACCGCGGACGCAGCCACTGGCGACTCTGCCAAAGCCGCCAGCCCCGAGGAGATGGCGAAGCGCAATGCCGAGCTCGAGGAGCAGCTCGCTCGCATGACCCTGCAGTTCGACAACTACCGCCAGTCGGTGCAGCAGCTGCTGGATGAGCGCTGGGGCGATGCGGACCAGGCCGAGGCCGAGGCCAAGGAGTCTGGCAAGGGCAAGGCAGCTGCCGAAGAGCCCCTGGATCCTTCTCGGTACTACTGGGAGTCTTATGCGGGCAACGGTGCGTGATGTACTGCATGACGGTGATGGAAACCTGAATCGACTGGCTGCTGACTGTGAACAACATCAACAACAGACATCCACGAGACCATGCTCAAGGACACTGTCCGCACAGAGGCCTACAGGGACTTTATCTACCACAACAAGCATCTCTTCAAGGGCAAGACAGTGCTCGACATTGGTTGCGGAACAGGTAAGTAATGACCGTTGTCATTCCGTCCTCCTTCCCATGACGAGAGTGAGACTAAGACAGACACACGTTTCGCAGGCATTCTCAGCATGTTCTGCGCCAAGGCAGGTGCCGCCAAGGTCCTCGCCGTCGACGCAAGCGCCATCATTGCCAAGGCGCGCGAGAACGTCTTCCGCAACGGCCTCGATTCGACAATCACCTGCATCCACGGCAAGATTGAGGAGGTCACGCTCCCCGTAGACAAGGTCGACATCATCGTGAGCGAGTGGATGGGTTACTGCCTGCTGTTCGAGGCCATGCTGCCGTCGGTCCTCTTTGCCCGCGACAAGTACCTCAAGCCCGACGGCCTGCTGGTGCCCAGCCACACCAACATCTGGCTCGCGCCCGTGGCCGACCCCGAGTACGTCGACGACAACATCTCGTTCTGGCGCGACGTGTACGGGTTCGACATGCAGGCCATGCAGACGGGCATCTACGCCGACACGCGCGTGCTGCACATGCCCCAGGCGGCCGTGGCCGGCAAGCCCGCGCCCTTCAAGCTGCTCGACCACTACACCTGCAAGACGGAGGACCTGAGCTTCACCGCGCCCTACACGACCAAGCTGTCCAGGGACATTGACAACCTCGACGGGTTCCTCGTGTGGTTCGACACCTTCTTCGCGCCCGCGCGGGACTCGCACGAGACGGACGTCGTGCTGGACAGCGTCGCCGACGAGTGGAAGGTCGCGCGCGACGTCGAGAGCCGCGTGGCGTTCACCACGGGCCCGTACAACACCGAGACGCACTGGAGGCAGGGCCTGCTGCTGTGCAAGCCGGAGGAGGGCAAGGACGGCAAGGTGGTGGTGGAGGCAGCCAAGATGAAGGAGGGCGACGAGATCAAAGGCGATATCACGTTTGCGGTGGACGAGGAGCACGCGCGCGCGCTGGCGCTCAAGATGACGTGGAACGGCAAGGCGCAGAGCTGGGCGCTCAAGTGAGCGCGGACTACCCCAGTCAACAGCTTTTCCAAGGAGTTTAGGAGGTGCAAAATAAAATAAAAGGTGTTTATGGGTCGAGATACTGGGAGGCTGCGTGCAGCAACGTTCCGGCAAGTAGCAAACACAGAAAGTTGTCAAAGCTTTTGAGGTTGGGTCTGCAGTAGCGGACTGAAGGTCACTGGGTTCAAGTTGTGCTTGACTTGGTCGATGAAGGATAATTCATGTTACGGCAGTATGGTTGCTCTTTCAGGTCTAAAGCAAGACGCACGCCCATTGTTGTTTTCCGGTAACCGGTGCGCCTTGGGTTGTTACACCTTGACAAGAAGACTGAGTGAGTAGCCAGAGGAATATTTACACCACATATTTCCAGCCAGGCAATGCTTTTCACCAACAACGTCACTGCTTATCATCCATGCAGATTCTGCCGATTTATGCATGCCAATGTACGGCCCGACACCAGAATCACTTCACAGTCGAGCAAAGACGATCTCAGATGAGCCTTATGTTCATGGCGGTCAGTCTTAGCAATGCATGGTATGCTCAGCGGGTTCGACACGGTGATGTGCAGGTAAAAGCGGTGCCATGATGGCTCGCGAGCGTCATAAAACTGGCACTGAGCCTCATCGCACCAGTCAATGGTCAAGCGTGCTCGCCTGCCAGCACATTGACCCCCGGATTTCCACCATCGGCTACAGATACCAAAGTGGGTGCCACGTATTGTACGTTGTCTTCGACCCAGCGGGCGCGCGGGCTGCGCTTGCTGTCAAACACGAGGCCACGAGCGACTAGCGGCATCTAGCGTATAATAGACCGAGAAACGCAGCGACAATGTACAGCGGCGGGAGAAACGAAGCCGAGGGACAATAGCGGCAAGGGAAAATGACGTCGTTGAAGGTTTGTGGCTGCGCTGGGTAGCGGCAGTGGGACCAGACACGATTGGACGTTTTCAAGGGTCGATTGGCAGAAAATTCTTGGTTGGTCTGCATGCTCGGTGCGCCACGTTTGCACGGACATGGTCTTTGCATGCCGACTGGCTTTGCAGTTGTCTACCTGGAGGTATGTCTAGAACGGCGGAGCTGCCGCAGACCATCCAAAAAGGCCAAAGTGGTTCTCGAGCCAAGGGCGGCCATAGTCTGGCTGTATTATCGACACGGAGAAATGTGCTTTGACGTGGAACGCAGGGCTGGGACTTTGATGCATTTCCCGGACCACTCGCCAGCCAGCCGACGTAGACTGTCCGTCATGAGCAGATGCCTCAATACTTCCCAAGAGGCTGGTGAAGAACGGGGGCCTTCTCTAAGCAGGACGGATAGTCAAAGACTGTGGGACCATTGTACGTTTGCAGTTGTGATTTTCACCCGAGCTGTGCCATCACGAACGGAAAAACTGGAGTGCGGCTGCAAGGGAGGTGGGGGAAAAGTGAAAGAGGATCAGCAACCCCGAAAAACCTGTGTGATCGATGCGAGGTTGCGAGATCAGATCTGGTCGTCGCAAAGCTTGTGCTGGAGACACCAAACAGCCTGGCCCAGGTGCAAAGGGAAGTACTGTAGGGTGGACATACGTCGGGCGTGGAGCCGTGCCGAATAAAGCACGGGAATAGGTGTCAGAATTTCCTGGCAGCATACAACAGCAAAATATATTGGAGCAGCAGCTTCAACACCTCGATACGAACGCACCTACCTCACGAACTTGAACGTTCAGGGTGTCCGAGCAAGGAAGACATTGCGAGACGACGAGGCGCCAATGCAGGGGTACTACAGGAGGGGTGCTTGTGGTGGCGCCGGGTGGCCTGTGTGGGACAGAAACGGCCTGTCTCGCCTGTCTTGGACCTGAAGGATGGGCGGGACGCACGGCAGCCGGTGCCGCAAGATTGCACAAAGAAAGCCTGAGCCATTGGCGTGCTGGAGTGGCAGGAGGATGAAACATGCGGCTCGCCAATGGACGGTGCCTGCGCACCGCGCGATGACTCGCGGCCTGTAGCATTACGACCTGGATCCATGGCGTTGCCTTGTGTCTTCATAGAACGATCAGGACCCTGGAGACGATCGTGCCTGGGCCATCTAGGAGGTTTGCGCATTGGCGTGTGCCCACCTCGTGGACGGAAATTCGCATCATCGCATCACGTCAATCTTCTTGGTATTCTGGAATAACCCAGAGGCAGGCCGGCAGGTAAATCGCTGACGTACGTCGGGTAGTGGGCATCAATGGGTGGAATGAAAGACGGAGGCTGCAAAAGCGAGGGGGACAGATGGCGCGTGTTTCACAGGCGACGCCTCCTCCCCCTGGCATTCGGCAGGCGCCGCCAGCGGACCCTTGGCCAGCCAGTGGCCACAGTGACTGCAGTGGCTTGCCCGCGGGGCGGGGGCCTGCGCTGCTCAAGTGGGCTCCCTCATGCAGCCTACGCGTAATGATCTGGGCCTGCCCTGCAAGTGCCGCCCCGGCCTCAGCTCGTCCAGAACCGCCATCAAGCCTTTTTTTTCTGCGAGGCCCGCGCGACCCAGCAGCTGGGGTTTCCAACTGTGCCTCCGCGAGCGGCTTCCCTTCTTTCCCATCTCTCCTCCATTGTCGTCCTTGGTCTGGCAAGCACCACCCGTCCTTCGTTTTCTCTTGCCCTGTCAACCACCACGCACACACCCGTTGGCGCATCGTGGTCTGCTCGCATCTGGCCGAGCAGCACTCCCCGTCCTCAGAGCATATCCCCGGCTTCGACACCGGCCTGTACAACATTTCCTACTTGCCATCGATCGCCTGGTGCTATCTCTCGATAATAGACCCCCCCCCCCAAACAGCACTGTCTTTCAACAGCACACCGAGCTGCTCTCCATACATATTGTACTCGAAAGCCGCCATACACTCTCCCGAAACACAACCCAACATGTCTTTAAGGTCGCCCAGGGGCTTCATGCCATTGGGCACCGGAGCTCCCCATGGGGACATGGACATCCCCCTCGAGCAGGTCCGCAGCAATGCCAGCTCGACAGGCGCTCGCAAGCAGAACCAAGGCATCAGTACCGGTCTGTCCTCCACAGATACCAATGCCGAGAAGCGCCACTTCTTCCACCGAGGGCGCAGGCAGGCCAAAGTTGTTGGTGACGGCACTCAGACCGACAGGCTTGCCTCCCGCGAGGTCAATGTCAACTTCATGGGCAGAATGTACAAGAAGGTCATCGGCTTCTCCGTCGTCACCCGCTACCTCGTCTACATCGTCCCCGTCACCATCTTACTGGCTGTCCCACTCATCGTTCTCGCCATCATCCAGCCTCTGAACGGCCCAGAAGAGAGCTTCACTCATGTCGGAACCATCCCTCGGGGGAAAGATCCTGACGGCAACGCTCTACCCGATCTCCAAGGGCCCCGACTGTTCTTCCTCTTTCTGTGGATTCTCTGTTCGTGGCTCGCAATCTGGGTCGGAAAGCTTGTAGCACACCTCCTGGCGCCAATCTTCATGTTCTTCTGCGGCGTCGTCAGTGCCGGAACTCGCAAGTATGCCACTGTCATTCGGGCGCTGGAGCTATACCTGTCATTCTTCTTTGCGGCATTGGCTTCATGGCTCATATTCCAAAACGTCTTCAAAGACTTCGATGACTTCCAGTGGGTCTGGGTGCTTAAGCGACTTCTGGGTGCCATCTTCGTCTCGACTGCCGTCCTCCTGGGTGAGAAGGCCATCGTCCAATTGATTGGAATTAGCTACCACCAGCGCTCCTTTGCGAACCGCATCACCGACTCAAAACGTGAAGTATTTCTCCTCGGTATCATGTTCGATGCGTCACGCCAGCTTTTCCCCATGTACGGCGAAGCTTTTGCTGAAGAGGATTACATCATCAGCGACAGTATTGAAGCAAGGCTGAATGGAGGCAAGAAGAGGAACAGCAAAGGCGGCACCCAGACTCCCATGGCCCTCCTCGCCAAGGCTGGAGGCAACGTCGGCCGTCTCGGTGACAAAGTGACTTCGATCTTTGGACACGTCGCTTCTGAAATCACCGGCAAGCAAGTCTTCAACCCAAACTCGGCTCACTCCATTGTCGTTGAAGCACTTGAGAAGGCCAAGACCTCGGAGGCCCTTGCCAAGCGCATCTGGATGTCGTTTGTGGTCGAGGGCAACGACAACTTGTATGCCGAGGACATCCAAGAAGTTCTTGGACCGGCATACCGCGAGGAGGCGGATGAGTGTTTCAATGCGATTGATGCCGACGGGAATGGCGACATCAGCTTGGACGAGATGATCCGAAAGGTTGTGGAGATTGGCAAGGAGCGTAAGGCCATTGCACACAGCATGAAGGACATCGGTCAGGCCTTGGGCGTGTTTGACGGCGTCTTGCTGTTCGTCGTGCTTCTCATCTGCGTTTTCGTCTTTCGTAAGTCATTGCTACCCACCACAGCCGTGTGGAACGACCAACTAATCCGCATTGTTTAGTCTCCTTCTTCCAGAGTTCCTTCTTGACCACCGTTGCTACGGCAGGAACTGCCTTGCTGTCACTTTCATTCGTGTTCGCAGTCACGACACAAGAGTTCCTCGGCTCCTGCATTTTCCTGTTCGTCAAGCACCCATATGATGTTGGCGACCGTGTCGACATTGTCGGACCCGAGAAGGAGCAGTTGACTGTCGAGAGAATCTCGCTGCTCTACACCGTCTTCAATCGTATCGACAAGATGCAAGTCGTGCAGGTGCCCAACATTGTCCTCAACAACCTCTGGATCGAGAACGTCACCAGGAGCAAGGCCATGAAGGAGGTCATCGACGTCAACGTCTCTTATGACACCACATTTGAGGACATTGAGCTTCTGCGCCTCGAGATGGAGAAATTCGTACGCAGCTCGGACAACTCACGCGACTTCCAGCCAGATATCGTTGTTAGCTGTGCTGGCATGGGTGACCTGGACAAGCTGAACCTCAAGATTGCGATCAAGCACAAGTCTAATTGGCATAACGAGGCCGTACGTGCAAGTCGCAGGGCCAAATTCATGACCGCGCTGGTTCTGGCGCTGAAGCGGGTTCCCATCTATGCTCCCGGCGGTGGTGGCGAAGCTCTGGGCGGACCTACGAACCCTTCGTATTCGGTCACTGTCTCGGATTCTGATGCGGCACGAGCCCGTGACAAGGCTGCTCAGGACAAGGAAGCCCTCCGTCTAGTTCCCACACACCCTGCCACTGCGGAGGATGAGACACGCGCGGCCGAGGCGTTGAACGCCAGAGACCCCGTGACCACGGCTGGTGAAGACTGGGGTTTCAACCGCGATGATCGCACACTTCACGAGGTCCGCGAAGAGTCGACCGAGAGACGCTCGCACGATGTTGAGCACATGCGTCTGGAGCTGCAAAAGACCACGAGCACTCGCAGTGGACGACGCAAGGCCGGTGACACACTGCCTTCGCCGCAGCTGAGCAGCGCGACCCCGAATCTATCCATCACTCAACACATGGCCCCCTTTGACGAGGAGGCTCAGATGGGAGGATATAATCCTTACACACAGAACTCTAATAGCCCTCCTCCTCCTAACCCCTACGGGGTCGCTCCCGGTACACAGCCTGGATACACACTTGGCCAGACTGGAACTGGCCCAAGTGTGAACCAGGCGTACCAAGGAGCGCCCGGCCCAAGCAACCGTCCTGGTGGCTTTGCGCGACCTGATCAGTCGCAGCCCCGGTAGGAGCGGATGTTGTGGTGGGATGAGCCACAAGGCCCATGTCATCTTTCCTCGTTGCGAGATTGATTTGCGACAAGCAGTGGTATAACGTCTCAGAGCCACGGCTTTTTTGTCTTATTCGGATTGATACAGTTTTAGAGATACAGAGACGCAGTCTTAGGGGATAAGTTGATAGATTACCTCCAAGTAGAATCATTGAACTTCAGTTCAGTATAAACATGATCATTGGCTACATTTCAGTCACTATCGCTCCTACTGGTCGAAAACCCTATATGCCATGCTAATTACAAACTTGTGCAAGCACGCAAGTCGATTTATTGAGCAAGACGACATGATATAGTGTCTGTCAGCTTAGTACAACTGCCATCGCTACATAATTCCTTTGCAGTTGATAATTCATAATGACAAAGACATACACGAGCGTTACGTACCAAGCAAGCATACTTCGATTCAACAATGAGGACGAGTATTTCCTTTCTTGAACCTCCACCATGTACGCTATGCATGTTGACAGTGTATTACATAAGCAGGACCGATGAAGTGTGGGTCTTGAAGTCCTGCTCGTTGTGTGTGCCCCTGCAACATACAGGCGGGCCATTGGAAATTTGTCTGCGAAGCTAGGGTCGTCGACCACAAGAGGCGGCATCACCACCACATTCCGCCGGCGACCACTCGAGCGGCGCGCGCCTGTCAAGCAAAGACCTATTAGCGACAAGGATACGACAGTTTCAGTTGCGACGCTACCGATTGCCAGCTCGGTCGCCCGCGCAAAGGAGAACAACCCCCGCCGCCTCACCGGAGGATTATTATCGAGAGAGCCAGCAAGCGGCACGCGGGCAAGAGCCGCGGCACATACCGATTCAAGATGGTGAACCCGGGAAAGCGGATGAACCTATTGCAAGCCGTACGTATCCCTTCTAATTTCCTCCTCTCCGCGGCGGCGCCAGGTAGTGGTGCTGCGGTCGCGGAAAGTACGTGAGAGCCAGAGTATATGCTAACGACACTGGATAATGTGCAGAAGGTAAATAATTGAACCCCCCTCCTCCCTTCCCTCTCGGAGAACGATGGAAAAGCCGGAACAAGTCGATACTTGAGCGAAAGATGAGTTGGCCTGTGTGTTCCCAAAGCTGCAAGTGTTTGGCAGTGACCACAGAACCAAGGCAGTGTGCCGTATGCCACGACTCTCGACTCGGAACCCGCAAACCAACCTTTATGCTTTTATCGAGAGGCACCTCATTTTTGTCTGTCGGCCAGAGAGAACGCATTTTCTGACATGATACCCTTCTTCTTCTTGTCGTCTCTTTTTAGCTCTTGGCGTTAAGACACGGCCCTGGCGCCGCGATATTACCGCCCGAGATCACGCGGATACATATGGACTTTGCGCTCAGGTGGAACGATGGACACTTTGGACCTAGGTACGGAAACAGCCAAGCAAGCCGTGGTGTTTTTCAACGTTTACAAAAGAGTTTGGAAAAAGGCAGAAGGAAAAACTAACATGGCGTTCACTGGGCAGGAAATTCTGGGTAAACTGCCTCCCTCGGCTCAAGTTCTGGAACCCGGCGGTGCCGATGATAGTCAACCGCTCGGCCAAGCAGGACGGCCCGGCCACAATGTCCATATACTTTCGGCAGCCCACGGCAACCGCGGAGGAGAATAACAGCAGCAGCAGCAGCACAGCGACGTCAAGTTCCGGCACGACGGCGACGCCGAAAAAGACCATCCTGACTGGCCTTTCGACCCTCCCGCTCGCCCAGCAGCCTCGCTCCAGCGTGACGGGCGAGTTCCCAGCCCCGGCGCCGTCCGAGGGCGAGCACGTCGTCACCATCGACATGAAGAACGTGCACTCGGACCGCATCCTGGAGGAGTTCCTGGCCAAGACGGGGGCTCGGCTCGTGCGCCCGACCGCCGACGAGGAGGTCGAGATGCGGCAGGTTCAGGAGCGGGTGGAGCGCGGCAACGCGGACCGCATCATCGTCAAGGCGTTCGAGGACGAGAAGCGCAAGAAGCAGGCCATGCTGGAGAAGATCAAGAAGGAGGCCGACGCTATCAAGGCTTCGAACCAGTAGAAGGGTGGCCGGTGGCGAGGTTGCAAAAAATGACGAAAGCAGCAAAAAGGCACAAGAAAGACCTTAGGGGAGGATGAGGGTTGAAAGAGGAACTCGGAACGCTAGGACGTCGAGAATTGGCTGCTGCGTTGAGGACTATCCCAGTCTGGGTCCGTCTCTCCTTTGGGCAGCGCACATGGCAGGTGAGCGCCGACGAGCGAGCGAGGAAGCGGCGCCAGGGCACTACCGCGTCGTCACGACGTAGCGAGCTGCAAGTGCTACGCTTGCTCTCGCATTACCAGCCAAGCGTATAGCAAGCATTGTACGATCTAACGCCGACCCACGGCATGTATTATATCACAGGGGCCACCAAATGGAAAACCACACGAATACATGCGATCGGTCCTAGAGACGCGACAGAACCAAGACAGAGAGCTCGACGTGGGCACGAAATGTATATGTACCTTTAAATAATTCTGTGCTGGCATGCAATCTCAATGAGCTTTGAGCACTAGGCACGCCGAGCAACGTGATGATTGTTATATGTCCAAAAATTGATATACCTCGTAGCCATGGGCCTTGCAGTATGGGGGTATCCTCTCATACCAATCACAAGTACAAGTCATCACGTTAGCGAGACAGCACTTAATATCTTTTCAATATTTATATTCTGTGTATTGTTTCTGGGGATCATGTTTGCGTGAAAGATTTCGTCACTGCGTTAAACATTACCAATAACCTAAAGTGACAGCCCCCCAACTGGATCGTGTATAAAGATAGGGCTGAAACATAATGACTCAGGTGCTTGCCATCAGACTTCACTCTCGATGTCTGGCTGCCGTCCACTGAGAGATCCGACCTTCGTCAGTCGTCGGATAGCAAAGGTAGTCTCGTCTTTAGCGAACTGAACATTGCGGAGGGGGCGCCATTGCATCAGTCCACGATGCTGCCTGTGGAGGTCACGTTTCTTCTCCTTGTAGTCCCTGAAGGCCTTGACCGGGTTTTTACTGCTGCCGCTCTTATTGCTTGTGTTGCTAGTGGTGCTAGCCAGTGTGTTGTCGGTGACGTCGCTGGGACGGCCAGCGCTGTCTCCATCAGCATGATCTGTTGTTGCGTCCGAAACTCCAAGATCAGTTGATTGTCTGTTGGCCGAACCCGAGCTTGAGCTTCCTGCTTCATGCGATGAATCATCAGATTCATACTGGTAGTCTGACTCGCGCTCGTCTTGGTAACGGCGACTGCGAACGAGCTCGGCAGGGTCCTTGCCAAAAGCACCGGTCCAGTTTGTGCCATCCTTAGCCAGCCATCTCTTCTTGTCCTCTTCGGACGCCATGGCAAGAACATCACGGCCATGCGTGAGGGACTGTTCATGCAGCTTCTCAATAGAAGGCGGCAGATCCTTGGTCACCTCTTCCTTACGGACGCCCTCAGCGAAGCACGCTTCCCATGATTCGATGGTCTCGCGTGAGTCGTTGTCGCTGACGAACCGGTAATGATCGCGATCTGTGCCAGCCTTGAACCTGGCACGGAAGCGGATGCGACCGACCTCTTCGATATCGATGTCGGGGATGTTCTTGTAGTTCTCTTGTGTGATGTAGTTTTGTGACAGACGAACGCTGTGGTTGCACTTCCAGACTGGCAGGTCCAGTTCTGTCTCTTCGTTATCGACGAGGTCTGACAGCCAGATGGCGGCAAAGTGCTCTGTCGAGCGCTTGCCAGAGATGTGGAACTCAATAAAGACAGGTGACCTGTACCGGTACCGAACTGGGAGGCGTGGTCGAGGGTTGTTGGTAACACCGCTGATGTTCCAACTAAGGCCGTCGCCTTCCTTGCTGCATGCTTCCTTCTTTACCACAGCCGAGCTACCACCAGTGCGGAGCTTCAGCTTGACCTTTGAATTACCACCAAAGGTAGAGGTGATGCTGTCAGACAAGAACTCGAAGGTACCAACGTCCCAGCCGAGCTGCTGGGGGGCAACTTCAATTCTGTAGACCGGAAGAGGAGTGAAATCCTGACCCTCCCGAAACCAATCCCTCCATCCAAAGGATACCAGCGAGAGGCCTATAACTCAATCAGTCATGTGAAATATAGGCAATGTGTCAGCGCACAGCTTACCTGGCTCGAAGTCTGGAGGATGTCCGACAGCTTCAGAGGCACGACGCCGATGATCGGATCGTGCTGGCGGTTGCGAGAGTCGCGCACAGTGACAGTGACGATAGCTGACCGCCAGTCTCTGACGAATCGTTCTGTACCAGCATTGAAGATTGGCTTGGAGGATGCCACCTTGGTTCTAGTTTTGTATACCTAGAATAATGTTAGCTCCAATGCCAGTGCAATATCAATTGTGAAGTCCTTACCAGTTCGTCGTTGAGCAAGATTGTGCAGTAAGCAGACGGCAGTTTTTTGCCTTGCTCCTCTTTGATCTCGCCAGCATCGCGTGCGGGCTCGTACTCCTTGCCACCCTTGCGGTTACCTCCTTCTGAGCCTTTGACGTCCTCGAGCTCGAGGTTGACAACTTGGTGAACAATGACACTCAGAATACCAGAGGGCCACAGAGGGTCCGGCGGTGTGTGAGCGACAGCGTCCTCTTCAGCAGTGTTGAGAGCGCCCTTGTCGTCTTGAAGTTCCTTCTTATCACGAAGCTCCTTTGGAAGGCTCAGGTCCTTGCCATCAGTACGAAGGGCAGCCCGGAACTGAGTCTTGCCAAAGTAGCCGACCTCCCAGTGGAGCTCGCCAGGCATGCTGCTCTCGGCCTTGAGGCCTTTGAGTTTCGAGACTTGCTGGAACATCTGACCCGGGTGCTGGATCAACTTTTGCAAGGAGAGTTCAACCTTGCCAACAACGTCATCGGCACTGGACCGGTCGCTGTCCCACAACTCCATGGAAAGCTGCTCGTCAGCCTTGATGAGATCCGACGTGACGAGAAGGGCACAAGACTCTTCGAATACGGGATTGAGATCGTCCTGGATGACTCTTGTGCAGTACATGGGCTTTCCAAACTTGGAAAAGCTGACAGTGATGTACGGATCGGAGCCACCTCCCTGTGAGCCTCGGTGGTCCTGCTTGGCGAGATCGACCGCTTTATGGATGCGAATGAAGAGAACGCCCATCGCGTGCGTCTCTTTAGTGATGTCGTCGCCCTGGAGGATGGCGCCAAGATCGATGGTCATAGACTTTGGCGCAACGTACATGCCTGCGGCGGTCTTGATGGCCCAGTTGACAAAGTTGGAGATGACAGGAAGATTGAGAATGTTTACACCACGCTCAAGCATCGGAGTGCATCCAGCTTGCACCTTGGGAACTCCCATCAAAGTGAACGTGACAGACTTGAGGAACGGTGGCTCCGGAGACATCTGCAGTCTGATGCGTACTGTCCCGACGAGTCCAATCAATTCAACCCCTAATCGATTGTTAGTGGCAGGTTGGGTGCATCATGAAGAGGGGTTCAAGACTGACAAATCGGCAACGGCACACCGAACAAGCCCTTCACTCCAAGGTAGAAGATGAGCTGCATGCCCATGTTGGCGGCTTTGCCTGCCATGCCACCTCCGGAAGAGGGTTTCGCATGATAAGCGAAGGACGCCTCAAGGTTATAGTAGTCACCACCCTCCTCATCCGCCGCAAGCTCCTGCGGATCCTTAACCTTCTCGTTGTTCTTGTGCATCTCATCCTTGAGCTCTTTCATGTGTGAATCGGGAAGAGCTCGCAGACTGAGGATCCGGATTGGGTTGTTGCCCTGGTTGATGTCTGCAACCTTTACGTTCTCGATAATGCCCGGGACAGAGGCTTGCATGACGTCCTGTCTCACTGTCAGTATTCAGAATCGTGAAAACTTTGCGTGCTGTGTCTGCCCACCTCCAAAGTGTCTGCAATGCCGGCAAACATCTCGGGATTCACGAGGCCCCAGACAACACCGAGAAGCGTGTTCATCCACTCCACAGACTCCGGGATGAGGTTGGCTGTAGCATATTCTCCACGCTTTTGCTCGCTGGACCACTCGATATCTTGTCCCTGCCGGATGAGATCCTTCATCCAGAGGAAAATCCCCGACGAGATACAGACGGCCAAGGGGAATAACCCTATCAGCCGACCGCCAAAGAATTTTCCGACAAACATGATGGCGAAGAAGCTGGCGATGCACAGAATCGTGGCTCGCTGCTCGATGACCGCAAACATGGGCTCGTATGAAACTGATGGGGTTGGGTGGAAGAGGATGTTGGTCTTTTCGCCGTGGATTGGCACATCAGAGGTGGCTCCGGTAGCCACCGGGTCAGGCGGGGCGGTGACATCCTGATTGTAACGATATTCTTCTCCAGACTGTGAGGCATCTGTCTTTACAGTCGCCTCCTTGCCCAGGTTGGCGTTTGGTACGGAGAGCTGTGGCAAGAGTGGTGATTAGTGGTCAGTGGCCTGGAGCTAGTCGTCCTCGGCTGGTCTCGACTGCCATGACTTACATGGGGATCCTCGACGGCCTTCATGAAATCGACGTCGACATCGTCAATGGTGACCTCCTTGCCAGTCACGGGGTCCATGACGACGCGGCCGTTGCCAGCACCGCCATGAGCCTGGTTCTTGTGGTCCTTGATGCCAGAGCCACCAGAGGCCTGCTTTGACTTGAGCTCGGCGTCGATCTTGGCATCGCGCTGCTTCTTGTCACGGTCAAGAGCGGCGGCAAACTCCTTGATGTTGGGGATGCGGTTGCGGCCCGAGTAGTAGCCACCCCTCTGGGGGATATGGTGCTCCTGCTCGGTCGACATGCTGGGCAGTGTGGTCTCTGGTCTACAGGAGCACGGGTAGGGCAGCCAGCGCGCAGGTTGGGATCAAAGGTGAACAAGGTGGGAAGGGCGAAGCCCAAGGTGGAAATATGGCATTTATTGAAGAGACTACGAATTACCAATTGCCCCAAGCTAGCTGCCTCAAAGCGGCTCCCATCCAGAACTGTGCTGGTCGTGCCTGCCATTCCAAGGCTGTCAAAACAAGCTGCACAGCAAGTCTGTGCAATGTATGACGTAGGTGTGTAGCTGGATGCCCAGCTTGGTGTTGTGCAGATTGAGCTAGACAGGGGGCCTGCGGCGCTACTTGGACTTCACAACCCCCCTCCTGCTCGCAGCAGCACAGTCTCCGTGCTCGAATGTCTACGGCCTCAGAAACAGGAAACAAAAGCACTCAGATCATGCCTAAACCACCCAAGGACATTGACAACCTATTGGGGTTCACTACAAGGCCTCACACCATCTCTGGCGCGGCCTGCCACAGCCATGTGCAAAGGCTGGCCAGCAAGCGGTCTCGGCAATATTGAACAGTGATGACGATGCCACGACGCCATGCAACTCAGCCGCTCTTTTTCCCAGGGCCAAGATGGGACTGCGGTATCTAAAGCATATAATTATCCATGCGTGGATCATGCTAGTCTAGCTAATTGCGACACCTGCCCTCTCGGTCTCCCTGTTGCGGCACATTCTCAGCTCGCTGGGTCGATCGATCCTAGATGGATGTGTCTCGGGAGGTAATTCGTCGATCTTGCGTCATCTGGTGGATTTGACTCAGAACGCAACCCCGGCCAAGCCTTCCACGGTGCTGATCCTCGCCTCGTCCCTCAAGACAGGCTTGGACTTGAACTATGTTTGCGTTTGCATTCTGCAAGACTGAAACGAGTCGTCTCCCCACAAAATGCAGACAAGTTTCCAATAAAGTTGCAGCGAACTGTTGGACTCGGCTGATCAGTAGAGCTGCAATCTCCAAGATTAGGACGACGGAAGCCCTCCCCCCCCTGTCGAGGCTCTGTGGTTAGCGCGCGATGGCGCCTGAATCCGCCAGCTTGGCCCGGGGATAGCTCTCCGTCCCAGCTCCAAACTCTCCGCTCCATGTCTTTTAATTTTAACAATTAGCCAAACATCTCGCAGCTAATCTAGGCCGCTCCATGAGCATATCGGCCACCCCCACGTGTCGCGCGCCTCGGTATAATCAAGTGCTAAGACACCCTGCTGGACACAGTCCTTGGCCCACGTGGCAACCGTGGGAAAGAAATGCCTCCACGCGCGGCACCAACACACTTCCTCTGCCTCCCACTTGTCACCAGCATCTCGCGGCCGCAGCTGGCTCGTAGCTTGGGAGCCTTCGGTGCTGATGTCACAAGCCCAGAAAGCTTTGCCATCCCAGAGCAGGCCGTGCGGCCCCTTGGGACCCTCCACCTCACTCTCGGGGTGATGAGCCTCCAAGGCGATGCCAGGCTGGAGGGTGCCATCGCGCTTCTAAGGTCCCTGGTGCCGAGCCCGGCAGTCTCTGCCATTTTGCAGGGGAATACGCAGCAACAACAGCTGGGCCGTCCAGACGCGTTGCAGGAGCTGCCACAGCAACATCAACAGGAACAGCACAAGCCAGCACGTTCGTTGAGCATCACCCTCAGAGGCCTGCACTCTATCCAGCCGCCAGCCAAGGCAACCGTCTTGTATGCACCGCCCATCGACGATGGCGGCACCCTGCTCCAGCTCTGTCAGCATTTGAGGTCTGCCTTCCAAGAGGCCGGTTTCATGGACAAGGAAGACCGGCCACTCCTCCTGCATGCCACTGTGGTGAACACCATATATGTCAAAGGGGCTGCCAGATCGGGGCCTGGCCCCAGCCGTGGCAAGAGGAATGACAAGCTGACCATAGACGCACGCGAGATCCTCAACCGCTACGATGATTATTTGTGGATGCAGGACGTGCCGGTCGAGAAAGTGGCAATCTGCAGAATGGGAGCCAAGGAACAGCCGGATGGAGAGGTTGCCTACGAGGCCGAAGCTGAAGTAGAGCTTCGCTGATGTACAATCGACAACAACGGGCAGGTCATAGTCCTAGGGATTTACCACCTGCCCAGGACATATAAGCTCACAAGAGATGTTGTTGACTGCTTGCCTAATATAGTGGCTTCTGGAGCCAACGCCCCAGACCCCACACAACCACTTCACTGTCATCCAACCCCGCGCTGGACCGCAGCTTACGCCAGGGCCAACATGGATTGAAACCGCATTACATTTCTGACACCTTCGCAACCACAGCAACTACGCAGAAGCAACTCGCCTGGCCCTCCAAGGGCGCTCACATTTGCTACCGACTTGTCGAAATGCTGATCCTGCGAGTTTGACACCCGCCCACCAGACCTGTATCGAGCCTCTTGCACCAGCGCATCTCCAAGCGAACCAGGGACCATGCCACCGCAACTCACGCAGCTCCCTCCCGCGACCTCGTCTTCAAGTCCTTTCTCCCGCTCTCTGACGACATATGCCTATTTCTCAATATGAGTCCAACCGATAAGCGGCGTTCAGCCCATCAAGCGCCACCACCATCGTCATCATCAGCATCATCGACGCTTCGCTCTGCGAACAGCTCACGAACAAGCGCTGCCACAATCATCGCGGCGCCGCCTCGCGCCCAGCTCGGCAATGGTACATCATCGTCCTCGCCCACCGGTGCTCCCGATATTGACAACAATACGCACGAGCCGAGCAGCAGCACCCACCATCATCATCATGGCCCCACCGCCACAAACTCTGGCACCTCATCAAAGGACAGCCGAGCAGCGAACAGCAGCAGCGGCAGCAGCAAGAGCACAAAGGACCACAAGGACGGCCAGCTGCTCCGGGAAAAGGATGAAAAGATTGCGAGCCTGAAGCGCGACCTGGCCGAGATGGCCACCGAATTTGAGCGCACGCTGGACAAGCTCTCGCACAGCGAGAGCGAGACGGCGAGCTTCTGGCAGGCAAAGCACTCGGCCCTCAGCCAGCACTTTTCCCGGGCCGAGACGGAGCTGAAGCTGCTCCAGGCGGAGCTGGACGTCCGCATGGCGGAGCGGGAAGAGATGCGGGACGCCCTCGACGCGATGCGGAGGGACCTCGCAGCGCGCGAGGAAGAGGTGCTGTCTCTCAAGGGCCATCTCGCTAAGATGAAGCAGTGGATCAGCGCGAGCGGAAAGATGGAGGACCAGACGAGCGACCAGGAGTTCGCCGACATGATGATGAAGCTCATGAACGGTCTGCAGAACTGGGTCATTTCTCACTTTAAGAAAGCCCGCTTAGGTAGGAGAGACTATTCCAGACATAATACCAAGTTCATGGAGATCCGGATGGCTGATGGACCAATGATGTGCCGAGTAGAGATCTCAAGTACAGATGACGACGTGGTTGGAGAGCTGGCTCGCCTAGTGCCGATGTTTGTGCAAGTCGCCAGCCAGTCTAAACTCGCTCTGCTGCAGAGCATCGTGTCACAAATCATGGTCGAGCTCGTCTTTCAGCCTTATTTCCCTGGTCTCCCTGATGACCAGAATCGCAGACTACGCCAGCATGAGGATGACCTGGCAGCAATGAGTGAGTGCTTTGGCTACATGGTACGATATACATTATGTGGCACATCAATTTGTCTGACGATCTGCACGATCCAGTACCAGCGGAGGCCATCAACCAGTGGCGAGCAAGCACATTGGCTCTCATACGGAAACACTCGACAGAGGCCATCCGCCAGCACAGTGCATCTCTGCTAGACAACAGCGTCGCTCGGCTCAACCAAATCTTGGATTCCATCACCGATGCAAATACGACAGACATGCGTGACCAGGCTGCGCGGGCACTGCTTAGCAATGCTATGGAGCTTGCCCAATCCCTGGCGCTGCAAAAGGCCCGGTTCACGGTAAAAATCCCATCTGTCCTTCCTCAAGAGCATGTGACATATGATCAGTCCACCATGGAGGACACCGGCGGCGAGGATGATGACGACCTTATTGGTAGGCCGGTGCTGTGTATCATATTCCCCGCTCTCGTGAAGAACGGGGACGCAGCTGGAGAGCACCTGCATTTCGAAAACGTCATTTGCAAGGCAAAGGTTCTGTGTACTAGCGAGTAAGCTGTGGGCATCCACAAGAGTTCCTTGTCTACACGAAAGCCAGCATAATCCCAAGCCGTGAGATTATGAGCTCGATTCCGAGAAGCCTGAGAGTACTCTACAGTAGTCGTGCCCAAGACTGCGGTGCATCCTCTGCCCCGTCTGATGATCAGGAATTTTCGGGTGCGGTTGGCTGTACGACCTCTTGGCGCCCACGAGGACAGGCTGTTATCGGAGGTTGAGGCTCTGCGGAAATACTTGATCCGCTCCCGAAGTTCCGCAATGAGACAGCGACACGGCTGGTCGAGCTGGCTGGGCTCAACACCCTCTCGCCTATCTTCGAGCAGTCGATTGGCTCTCCAGAGAGCTTGGTTCCGACTCAAAGAACGCCCACGATTGGCGAAAAATCAAACCTGGGTCGACGAGACTCATAACACCAGCCATGACCAGAGACACACAGCCTGCATATCTCTAAGTGATGAAACAAGCACGTGGCATTGTTGTGGCAGCAGAACATGAATGAGGCAGTCTCGCTTAGAACCAGGCCCAACGAAGCGGTACACACCCATGCTGCATATTTCGCGTGATATGTGTTCAGCTCAAAGAGGTAGCATGGGATGACAGTTCTGGTCTGCGCGAATGTCCAGAAATGCCGTTATCTGTTCCGTGGGCACTTACTGCTTTTGTTTTCTCCTTGGAAGTTATTCTGCTGGTGCCTACAAGGCGATGGTTCTACGGTCTTTCCCTGTTAGCGCTGTGCCATGTGAAGATCACGAAATCAAGTCTTGGACACAAAAGAAAAAGACCGTCGCTTACGCTGCATGCCATAAATTTGGCAAACGGTCAAATCAGCGAGTCGGAGCTACCCAAAGGTAGCGAAACTTGCTTGATCGTGACCCAGGTACGCTTGCAGCCTGATGTCCACACTTCAGACCGAAAAGAAGCGCCTCTCCATGCAGTCGGGTAGCGTATCCGAAAACTTCCAACATCGACGCCACCCATGGTTATGAAACCTGCCATCGCTGCAGGCGTGAGTCACTTCTACCCTATGAGAGCTCTTCCGCTGCCGGATAAATGCCTGTGAGCAGCGACGAACTTGTGCCCCTCAATTATGGTGATCTCGAAACGTCATTGGGGTGCCGGGTCGTGTTGGCGACAAACAAGGATGTGCAGTCGCTAAGGCAGCGGTCGCCTTCGTGATAAAGGTCAGTTCAATGCTTCGCGCAAGATAGATTCGCAGAGTACAATGGCCCAGTATCGCCATGGACGATTAATTCAATCCGGAAAAAGCAGCTGACAAGAAAGCCGATTTGGCTGTGTACCGCGTTCTCAGGTCGACGCGTGGACAGCGATGGTCCTGCTTGTCGACCCCTCATCCAGTTCTGTGAGACATGACCCCAGACGGGCCGACCTCCTCGCCGGCATGTGCAGCACCCTTCGGCCCCAGCTGCATGGGGGAGATTGCGGAGCTCTATCCTCGTGTGCCACGTCGAGGGCTGTAATTCGACAACGACCATGCGCGGCGAAGGCCGAAGCTTCGTAGAGTGAAAGTCTTCCGTTGTTTGGTCGTCTGTGGCGGCTTTTGACACCATCCTTGATCGTATCTGGTACTCTCGAGCTCGTTGATGCGTCTGCGTAAATATCAGCGACACCTCCTGTTCCCACTATCACACACCTCTGCTTCGGCAACTTCATTGACCTCGTTGTTGTTGACGCCTCCCTCGATCGGTCGGGAGTAAACAAGGTATTGATGATTTCGCTTTTGTCCTGACCGTGACGCTTCAGACCAAAGATCGCTTACTGGCGCTAAGCCATAGCTTGCATCCCGAGTTCCTTGTGCAATCCTGGAGAGCCTTGCCGACCCAGCATTTCACCACTCCCTTCAGCATGCCTTCAGATCGCAGCCGACACAGACATTCGACTTCGGGTGCTGGTGCTGGTCGGCGTCCATCGACGTCGTCGACAACTAGCAGCCGCAGTAGTCGTAGCAGCATCGGAGCAAGTGTCTTTGACCATCCCGGGGCACACTACTACCAATCGTCCCGGTACTCTGTGTACACGGAGCTCTCATCCATACCATCAGAGTACCCACAGGAGCAGCTGGAACCGGATGCTGCGGTGGACGATCTGCGTGACCTCCATGTATTCTGCGAGTTCGCACAGCTCCTGAATTGCACTCAGACGTTTCGTGGTAATGAGTTTGATCAATGGTGGGCGCACACCATTAGTCATCTCGGAAACCGGTTTCCCGAACAGAGTGGCTGTCCCTTCTGTAGCAACCGATTCTTCAATTCTACCATGAGTGGCAACGCAGGAGCAGCCTTCGATGCCAGGCTTTTACACGTCTGGGAGCACCTTGTCAAAGGCGGAGTGACCGAGGCGGACTTGCGACCTGATTATCAGCTGTACCAATTCATGTACAAGCATGGTCTTGTGTCGCTGAAGACTTACAACGATAGTCTCGACTTCATGCCGCACATCCCAAACCCAGACCACGATGGTCAGACCATGCCAGTATTGTTCCCCAACGACGTTTGGAAGGACGAGGACGTCGTCGTCTACTCCCATGGCGACCGTTCGCGTTTGCGGAGAAGGGGGTACTAGGGAAAGACAGGAGGGGTGCAAGAAGAATACTTGTTCAAGGTACGTGTTCGCACAGCTGCTCAAGGTTGGGACCTCTGGCTCCGTACTGACGGCATACTTGGGAGGTAAAGATCGTGGCGGCCACGTCGGAAGCCGAACCTCAATTTCCTGAGACGGAGATACGACAAATGATAATTCTGCCAATGTTGTGGGCTTTCTGGACTTTTCTTTGTGTGATTTGTTATTGATTTTCAGGCTGAGCTCAGACAACAGCTGTATGACGCCAGATAGGCTGTTGAGTGCTTGCACAAGTGGTACTTGGAGCAGCGACAGTAAATGAGAGCTGGACCCGAGTTTCGAGGTCGTGCTGGACACAGCTGGAGCTCTAGCCGGCCAGAAATGCCGGAAGCGGGTCTCTTGGATTATGTGAAGCCACGGAGCAGAAGCGCAGGCCTATCCGGTGCTCAAGATGTCTGTTTGCGTTGGCTGTGTTGAGGTACTATACTGCGTCTCGTAGGTCATGAATAAGCCGAACTTTCGATGTTGACATCTGCATCGTGGCCGTGCTGGTTAGAAATGGGTTTTCCGAGGTGACTGTGCTTCAGAGGACACGGTGGTTGGGAGGCAAAGCAAAGACTCGCAAACGAAGGTTGGCTGTTGGGCTGGTAGAGAAGGGACTGGGGACAAGGCGGTCGTCGAGAGCACCGCTGTGCTGATGGGCCGGCTTTCTGCAGCAGCACAAGGCAGACATGGTGTGCCATGGTTCGTCTTTCGTCAAGCCAGCCTGGAGGGATGAATTTGATTTGTGACAGGCACATGTGGTTGGCTCGCAGAGTGTGTGATGTGTGCGGTGCCTGCATCGCCCTTGGTGGTAGGTAGGGGCCAGTGATGCCTAGCTCGAGGGCGCGCCCTGTGGTGGTGGTGGTGGTGGTGGTGCGTGCTGGAAAGACCCTTGCGGCCCAGGCGAACCAGCAGTGGTTCGTTGCGGAAAGTGCAGTTTGCCTGCTTTGCCTTTTGTACGCACGTGGAAAAGTCACCACTGCGGACCAGCTCACACCGTCTTGCCGCTGTGGAGGGTTGCGGTCGGCAGCGTCGAGCATGAACCCGCGTTCCCCTCCCGGTTGCAGGTTGTCATGGCATTCCTTGTGTGCATGCTTTCGTGGCCCATCCATGGATCAACTCAGAAGACCTGGGTAGAAAGTTCCAAGGTAGTAACTAGGTGCAGGTCGTGCCTGCCTTGCTGTTTGAAATGTATCATTTAGCACCTCCGTGAAGGGACTCTGAGCTTCTTCCCCGATGCACACGGTCTATTCAAGAGCATGCTGTCCACCATGTATGTCCCTCTGCCCGTGTCTTTTCTTGATCCTCATATGCCGCCATCCCAGCATGCCACCACAGTAAATGATTTGCGGAATCGAGATACCCAGCGTCCTCTCGCCATACAACCAGGCATCAATGTGGTCAGTGAAAATCGGCCTCTACTCGGCCATACCTTACTCCATCTACCTTGAGCTCAAAACCTAGTCCCGCGCTGTCGACAATCATCTCAAGAGTAAAGTCGAGGTTGTCGAACTCGACCCCTCTTGTCGTCGTCAGTCTTGTAAACAGACTGCGCGGCACCGCGCTCAGATCTGTTGTGAGTGTGCAGACATGGATCAGGTCTTTCCCATACGCGTCCGGGGGATCGTCCGCATCGCAGCCGATCAGATCATCGGTGACTACGAGCGACTGCCCGGGCCGGAAGTTGCGAGTGTAGTGGAACGCAATTGGCGTCAGTGGTGAAAGCGCCTCGCCCTGGATCCAGTCAGCATTGGAACGTGGCAGCCTCCCCAACGGAGGAGGCAGGACTGCTATTCACGACTCACCTTGGCTATGTGCCACTGCATACGGTCACTGACCATCCACCTTTCCCACAGCGGGCTCCAGTATCGCTCGCCAACATTGTGTCGGTCCTCGTCATACACTGTTGCGTACGAGGTGCCGTAGTGGTATCTCGACTTCCTGCTCACCACCATGTTGCCTTCCACGCCGCGAAGTACTGCGCCACGAACAACCGCCGTCCAGGCATACAAGGGCTGCATGACTTCTATGGACCCATTCTCCGATACCGTGGCGCTGGAATGCGTTGGCCGCTCGGTGTATGGCGGTGGAGCAGCACTCGTGAAGTGTGCCTTGAGCCGTCTGTAAAGGTACTCGCTCTGGCCAAAGCCACCAACAAGAACGATGCCCGAGACGATACCACCCTTCCGCCGCAAGCCATCCACTTGGCCCTGCACAAGGTCGCACACCTCTTTTACGACTGGCTCAAAGATATCCTTGATTTGTGCTGCCGTTAAGACGAGAAACCCTGAGTCGAGTCCAGCCTCCTCGTCATCAGGCAGTCCGGGGAAACTACGGCTGGTCAGCATTTTAAGAGACCAGAAAGGAGCCACAAGATATCCCTCGGTACTTACGGCACGTTGATTTCTTGGTGTTCGTCCTCGTTGAAATTCCGCTTGACAAACTCTTCAAAGTACTTCAACCCCATCTGCCACGTCTTGGCCTTCTTCAACTTCATCTCGTTGAAGCGTGCGATTCCAAGCCGGTTTCGGACGTGCTCCTCGAAACGATAATTGAGAAAAGCACTTCCGCACAGGCCACCCGTGCCTACAGCAGACTCTTCTACTCGCAGGGGCTTCAGAGACACGATTTTGTATGCAATCAGGCTGTATAGCGCGTCAGCTTCTTCCAAAACCTCTAGGGCACTGTGAACTGTCGTGGGGTTATCAAACATACTCGACAGTTCCACCTCCAGCGTCGCACACAATGAAGTTGTCATTGATCTTGAGGTGGTTAGGCTGAATTGCTTTCAGAGTATACACAGCGGCTGCTTCAGGCTCGCTGATCATCTGGATGTCCGCCTGCTTGCCCATCCCAGCCCGCTCTGCAGCCACGAGCGTCGTGTTCTTGGCCGTGTCAGACCATACGGCGGGGCACGTGAGCACAAAGTCGACCTTTGTCGATGCCATGAATGACTCGCCGTATCTACGAGTCAGAGTGTCGATGGTGTGTTTGTAGACCTGCGTGAGATAATCACTGACCGCATCGACGACGTTCTTGTTGTATTTCTGCAACTCGGTTGCTGTATCCTGTGGGCTGACATAGAAAGGTAGTTTCTGAGACCTGTCGAGGAACAGCTTGATACATCTTAGGCGTGATTCTTCAGGCTTGAACTGGAAGCCCCATTTCACAGTCGGCTCGGCGCCAGGTAATGAATTGACAGGCGTGGTGTACGACAACTCCGTCGGCACCTTGTCAGAAGTGATGCCGTTGCCGCCAGGCCATGTTTTTATGATTTCGACATCGTCAGGCGTGGCTGTGTACACGGCGGCAACTCTGTCAACAATGTCAGCTTCAGACCGACGATGCCAAATACTTATGGTCGAACTGGACTCATCAAGAGCCAAGCTCGGACGATAGGTCCTCCGCCAGCAGCGGCGAGGCCAAAGTGACGTACCCGGAGAACGTGGTCCCGAAGTCGACACCGACGATCAGTCTATCGTTTGGAGGGGCGATAAGATCCCGGACAGCCTCGCGGACAGGTCCATTTATGGCCTCCAGCGATGACGATGAAGCTTGCGTGTGGTTGGTGAAGTAGTTGCGGGATGCTTGGTTCCTTGACGAGCTGAAGCTGCTCGACGAGCGCAGCGGCAGGTTGATGCTCATTGTCGATTGCGACAGGCGGTGCTGTGCTGCACCTGGCCAGCTCTTCGGACACGATTCCTGTTGCTTCCCCTCACAGACGGCCAACCACAGATGGGCTCCTCACCCTGGACCCTCGTCAGCGGCTGACAGGTACAGTGTCTATGTGCAATCTGGGGCAACCCGGCGGAATGCTTGCTGCTGAATGAATCTGGTGTCTTTTCCGCGAGCCACCTCTGAGCAGGAGGATTTCGAGCTTCGGAGAACGTGTGAGACGGGACCCTCAGAGACGGTACCTAAGACGTGGTTGCAGTTGCTCAGCCGAGCGGGTGGTGGTGGCACAGCCCTGTGATGTGGGGCGGAGTTGGGATGTGGTATGTACGTATCCAGTGCTTTTCGTGCCGGGGCAGCGCTTGACGTTTGGACGCGAGGTCAAACCCACTGCAGGCGTGAGCGATTGTGTGTATGATTTGATAAGTCCCTGGGTCACTCAAGGTCAGCTTTGCCTCATCCTCCATGCGAGGGGATACGCAGCCTTCTATGTAAGGTTTCCTTTTGTCTCCCCCTTCCCCTGGAATCCAAAGACAAGGAGATAATTTTAGCGTCAGCCTAACCGGCAAAGGTGCGACCCAGCGTGGAAAAGCCTCCAAGCTTTGTGGGGAACTGCCAGAGACACTCTGGCGCAGCTCTCTCTCGTGTAGTTTATTCTGCTGCCTGGCAGCAGCAGCAAGGGCCCAAATAGGCACCCAGGAAAACAAACACAGATTCGCGCTGCTGCGCTGCAGAAGGGGGCGGCAGACGGGAGCACCCATATGACGCGCTTCACAGAGATGACGTATGCACTTCGAGTTGCCTCTGCTCACCCTTCCGTTTGTGCACAGGCAGGTCGGGCCAGGGATCGAAGGGTAGGAAGGGGGGGGGGGGGGGGGGGGGGGGGGGGGGGTTTGCTGCATTGACATCCTTGAAAGCACGTCGGGGCATTTTGCTCTCCCCAACATGGGAGAGTAAGTAAGTGTACGTAAAAGTATGTAAGGTATGTAAGCCCGCGATTCGTTTGTCTGCGCGGTTCAAAAACAGCTCATGGCCAGCACTTGATAAAACTTCACATGCAATCTCGTTTGCCTTCCACACAGGACGCCATGTACGCGATCAGTCAATTGCTAGTGGTACAGAGACACAGCCTCAAATCCAGTCTCTCATAGAAGTCTACTTGCCATGTCTATTTAATCGCTGCGGCGAGTCTCGCTGCTGAATTCTAGGCGGTAAGGTGGCTAACTCCTCATACCCAGACCATTCACGGTTCGCATCAGGGAATACCAAGCTTGAGAGGTGAAGTTGTTTCTGTATTATGACAAATGAAAAGTTTCTCTTCTTCCTTTTGGCCCCTTCTTCATCTTGCTATCTGTGGTGCGTACTGTCGCCCTTTTTCCAGCCAGATCGGGGAGTTTCGTGTTTGTGTGTGGGTGTGGTTTTATATACGTGTTTATGTCTCTTTCATGTGTTTGAAAATGTGTGTAAATCTGATGGCGACCCTGTGCTGGCCCCCTCTCCATCTTTCTCCAGATGTTGAGAAAATACTGCTATATCTGCGGGGAAAAAAGAAGTCTATATGGTATGGTAGGGGTATTTGTGCCAGAATGAGATATGTCAAGAAACAAGTTGAAGCAAAGGCCAAACAAACAGTTGCGCTTGGTGTTGACCGTGGATCAAACTCCCATGGGGGTATTGAGGATGCTGAACGTATATCAAGTGCTGCAGAGTTCGTCGCTGGAAGAATCGAATTTTCCCCGTGTCGGAGCTTGCCGAGGACGTGGGCTGGCTCCGCCAGGTTGCCGAGTAGTGCTAATAAGTACCGATAGATGATTCAAGGGCCCAAGGCGACTGGCGAACAAGAAAGAAAAAAGTAGAAGTGAAGACGCCATATAAAACTCCTGGAGGGCTCCCTAAAAGAAAATCCGGAACGCCACGCAATGACGAATGATGCAGCAAGTCGTGTTTCCAAAAGGATGACGCCATTTCCGAGCAGAACTCTAACTGGAGGGGTTTCTCAGAAGCGGTTGCCTGCAGCCCAGATGCTCGCAGAGGCAGACGCAGCCCACTCGCTCTCCTCATAGGGAGGTGTAGGCCACTTGTTCTCCACAGATTGCTTCTTGTGAAGATTCAGAGGCTTGGGTGTGACAGCCTCCTTGCCATCGCCGAAAAGCATGACATTGTTACTGGCAGATGGCGAAGGTGTTGGGTAGGGGTTGGACAGAACCACGTTGCTCTGCGATTGCCTGAGAGGGCGGGCGTTGTCCAGCTTCTTCATGGCGCGGTGAGTGGAGTTCAGGACTTCGTCGAGGAGCTCGTCCTCCTCGTCCAAAGCATCACCCGGAACGCCGTGGCCGCCTTGGGCGCGCCTCGTTCGGCTCGAGACGGGTCCAGCTGTGCGAGCTGCCCCAATCAGGTTGTCGACTGAGCGAGGCTGATGCTGAGGCAGTGAGTGGTGGCGCTTGAGATTGCTGGTTGGCGTGACCAAGTGAGCCGGCGGTGCGGGCGCCTGCTCGGCGCCCTGGACGGCCTTGTCAAGCGAATCGTAGTTGTCCACCTTGGTAGTTGAGCCGTGCGAGTCGACAACCATGGAGGACCGGTTGCTGGCCCATGGTCCGCAGCCCGCCTGCGGCTCAAAGTCGTCGTATTTGGGAGACACGGGTGTTTGGTGTCTTCCGGAGAAACGGCGCGCACGCTTGCGAAGGTGCGAGAAAAAACTCTCCTTGTGGGCACTAGGTGGTGACACAAGGCCAGTCTGGCCGTTGAGCGCGCGCTCTGCTTGCTGCCGGTGAATGTCAGCGTAGTTGTTGTTGCTCGAGTTGACCGAGAGCTGTCTGCCAATCTTCTTGGACTTCTCCTCGGCAGCCTGGATAGCAGCATCCATAGCAGCTTGGGTTCTGTTGTTCGAACCCTGTGCAGTGACCGCATCCGATAGAGGAGAGATTGGCCGGATTGTTGGCAAGATGTGGATTGGGGCACCATTTGATGGGCCGTTGTTCCAGGTGCTGCGCTTGCTGGGCGCCGGGCGAACCTTGGAATTCGACACCTCTTGTACGCTGTTTGCGTGCGCAAGAGGAGCGGGACGGGCAGCTGTTGGCGACTCCTTGACGGCGGCGGGCGCGGACGTGATTTCTGTCGTCTCCGAACGACCGATGAGAGACTTTCTGAACCATGATGGCTTACCAGAGGTCGGCGGTGTGGTCGTGCTCTCTTTGCGGCCGAGATCGGACTGCTTGCGGCCAAGAATCCGTGATGCGGAGGAGCGTGGACGCATAGGATCCACGGCGTCGCTAAAGTATTCGTGTGCCATAGCCTGCGTCGATGTCGGACGGCTCTTAGGGTCCCACATCAAACACCAAGTCACGAAGTGGCTCAGAGACGCAGGCCACTGGGGAGCCTGAAGGATAGTGTCCATGGCATGAGGAGCCATCTTGGGAAATGAGAAGCCCAATTTGCCAGCGAGACGGGTTCCTTCCTTCCAGTCGCCGCCTCCTACACGACCACCTTGCTTATTGTACCAAGTGCCGGGGCTGCCCATGATCTCACATACACGCCAAACCTGGTCGACCTCGTTGCCGCCAGGGAAAAGAGGCTTCAGTGTCGCAATCTCGACAGCCATGGCACCGACGGCCCAGATATCCACAGGGGCTGAGTACTCGCCCGCTCTGAGCAGCACTTCGGGGGCACGATACCATCTTGTCGAAACGTAGGTAGTGTAAGGCAACTTCGAGTGGGTTTCGCGAGCGAGGCCGAAATCGGCAATCTTGACTGTGTACGTGGGCGGCGTGGACGGTGGTGTCATTAGTGCTGAGTACCGCCGGAAAGAATTGGCAGAATCCATGTGCCCAGAGGTGGTGACAAGAATGTTCTCTGGCTTGATGTCGCGGTGAAAGAAGTGGTGAGCGTGGATGTGCTCGAGACCTTGCATGATCTGGAAGAGAATGCTCTTGACGCTGCTGTTATCAAGGCATTTGTGGTCGCGGGCCTTCATGAGCTGGTAAAGGTTGCCTTCCATGTACTCCATGGCAATGTGGAGCTTCTTGCTGAATGGATCGAGGAAGATGTCCAAAGCAGGGACCAAGTGGCTGTGCGGTGGAAGAGTCCTAAGAAACACAACCTCGCGAAGCTCCAGACACGGGCCGAATGACTCGTATGTCTTCTTCATTGTTTTGATGGCGATCTGTGGAAAGGTGTAAGGATAATGCTAGACATGCTTCCCGCTTTGAGAGCGGACGACTTACCACTGTGCCACGACGAGCGACACTGGCACCAGCAGTTCTCGTGCGAGCCAGCACGACACTGCCAAAGCTGCCATCGCCAATCTCCTTGAGGACCTCGAATCTGTCTTCGAGCGCCATGTTAGATGATCCGCGATGGATCAGGTCATTTGTGACGGTCATCTTGAACTCGGGCGGACAAGACGCGTCGTCAAGACAAGTGCCGTGTCCAGGTTGGTCCCGGTGTCCAGGAAGCGGACCGTAAAGATTTGAGATGGAGACGATGGTGGTGAGAAGTCCTCTATTGTGTAGCCATGCGAGCTGGCCAAGTGGTGCCAATATGCAGAGTGAGTAGGCTGGTGGCGGCTTGAAGATATGATGGCGGGCCTGCAAATGACGGATTCGGCTGTAGCGTGGTTGGTGAGCAGTCGTGGGTTTGAGGTCTTGACCGACGCACAACAAACTCGGGTCTAGAGCAGCTAGGACTGTAGAGCTGATTGCTAGACGTGAGAAAGAACGAGGCTCCGAATGGGATGGTGAACAAACGATCAAACAGGACGAGCAAGCTGCGGGACGGGTAGGAAGAGGACGATGGACTGGCAGGCAATGTGATTCAAGGGGTAAAGAGGTAGCTCGACCTGTCGCCGGCAAGGGGGTTTGGGAGAGGAAAGAGGCCGGGCGAGCTGGGGGGTGTGCGGGTCCAGCGAGTGGTGCCCAGGAGGGAGTGAGATTGGGGAGAGCTCAGAGTCTGAGCTTGTGGTAATCTCAGACTCCTTGCTAGCGCATAAATTTGCTGGTCTCGAAAAGAGTGACTGGATTGGGGACTTGTGCAAAACGCGCCAGGGCCCTGGGCACTCGAGCGTGACATGCACCGGCACGCCGGGGCAGTATCCGTGGTGCGACGAGAGGGTACTATGGTAACAGACGATGATGGCAATGTTGATCGATAGGTGGTTGAGCACGGCCAGGAGTTATGCGTCGTGACTGACCACGTCGTCGCGGCCCCCAACCATTTGCTGGGTACAGCTGATTGTGTCCGTCGCAAGGCCTGCGTCGCAAACCTCCAGTCAGTCCCTGGACTCGAAGATGGACTCGGTCATTTGCAGCGACTGGACTGGTGGGAGAGAGGCCTGGGGAATCTATGGGGGGTGGAATTATGTCGATGTTATGATGAGGACGAGGCAACGTAAGGAATATGCTCAAGGGAGGCTGGAAGGGGGCCACGAGAGATGGGCGCCACTGGGATAACACCGCCTCTCGGCTCGCCCAGGGCACAAGGCACACAAGGCTTGGGGTGGCGGGCCTGACAGGCACTTGAGCGGGTGCGGCCAGCCCTCCAAACTCCAGTACCTGCAGCAGGTACTTGGAGAGACGTACCCAGCCGCCGAAGGGTTGCACAACACCAGCGTAAAGTACACTGTAGAGTGACATTGGTCCCCTGATTCACAAGTAGCCAGTGGCCCAGGAGCCAAACTGGTTTGGTCGGGACGTGAGCTGTTCCTGTCCAGGCTTGATCAAGCGTGGCCTTGAGAAAGGGGCCTGCCCCTCACAAAAGAAGTCCACAGGCATTTCCCGCGGGCAGCCCGCCACCTCTCGAGCCGTCGATCAGGCAGGCAAGAGGCAAGGCCCACGAGCCATAGCCCAAGGCCGGCCTGGGAAGTGGCCCAAGCTGGCATTCACGGGGGCCTCGAGTCGTGCACAACTCTGTGACCCTAGGCTAGGCTCGACGACTTGGAGCAGATGATCAGTAGGGCCCTGCAGCCCGTCACGGCGGCAAGGGTTACTGGAGGGGCACCCAATCTCGCGGTTTGCTATCCCAGGCCTTGCTCTCATTTCTTCGCGTCTGCTGGTGTCCCACCTGACAGTGCGCGACCGGAAAGGTCTTGAAGGGTGCTGGCTGCGCATCCTGGCTGGTAGTGGGCGACAATGAGCCGGCCCGCGGATTGCCCGCCATGGCACGGGCACAACGGAGGACCCTGTACCTCCTTTGTCTTTGAGCGGCCAACCCCATGTCAAGGAACATTCGATTGATGGGTGGGTGCCGGGGTGCTGGCGTTGAGTTGGGATAGCAAGATGAACCGGCCTAGCCCCAAGCTTGACATGCTCTGCGGGTGGCGGGACAATGCGAGGTACGGCACGACAATGTGCCTGTTCCTGTCTCAGACACGACGGAAAGGGGAAGCCCACTTGCCTGTTCCTGGCGCAACGCTCCCACATGTCTTTGCCCGGCGATCCGAGGCCGCTCCCAGGTCTCTCCGGTTGTGCCCCTTGCAAGACACTACAGGCGCTCATCCGCACAGCATCTTTGCACATACCTGTCTAAACTGCGCCGAGGTTCGACAATGCAGCCATGACTGACAGAGAGGCTCCTGATCAGTTGCGCATTGACAGCAAGTAGTCCGCTTCGCCAGACCGTCTCCTTACCCCCCTGGTGATCGGGCGCCGAGCTATCGGGACTGATCACAACCTACTGTCCTGGTATCCATGACCGTGGGGCCATTGTCCGCGGCAGCGAGCCGGCGGAGTTTGGACCATGTCTCCTCCTTCGTCCAGCGGGAAGTGTCACCGTGATGGCGTAACGAGGAGGAAGTCACTCGCAGACATGGCGTTGTGGCCGATCGGTGCCTCCCCCCTGGGCCGGCGAGGCCCCCTGGCACGAAAGCATCACTCTCTCGGTTTGCCATCACGAATATGACAGCCACATTGTCGATTTGAGCAAACACTCCTCCTCGTGCACCTCCTTGTTGCTCAGGTTGAGCTGAGATCCTGTGCGAGCCTGCCGTTCAGACATTTACCGGCCAGCCAGTGTGCACTCTGTAGAGGGTGGTTCCTTGTCTGATGCCAACATTGTTGCTCTGGAACTTCGAGAAGACGATCCGCCTTGAGGTTGTGGGCATGGCCCCGCTGGATAATTGCCATGCATCGCGAGTGCTTGCCCTCACACTAGACTCTGTATGTAAGGAATTTATGCGTGGGCGAGTTTGTGGGTGTCGAACGAGCAGCATGGCATTGCAAGGACAAGCTGAAGCAGCCAGCACGATGTCTTGCCTCAGGACGAGGTTCACACTTGCCGCGACGCCACTGAAGTCTCTGTGCTGCAAGGCGCAGAGCGTATCAGATTGTGCCCTCCAACGGCTGCATTGTGCGGTGTTTCGTTTGTGCATGCGTGCAGGACGGAAGGTGAGCTTATTACGCCCACAGTCCGACTACTTGGGTGCTGCATGTTTGAGCTCTCCAAGTGGGAACAGGCTGTGAATGAACGAGAGCGTGCTGTGAAACCCCCGAAGTGATCTACTCCCATTCCATCGCCGAGCGCAGAACTTACCTTGGCTAGTGGCCTAACTGTCGAACCTTGTGAGCCATCGGAATGCACGGGAGCAGCCGCAGAACTCAATCCTGGAGCTGTTAGCTAGACGACCCGCCCGCCACAGAGTGCACCACCGCAAGCCGGCTTTTGAAAACGTGGTGGCTGGGAGATCAGACCCGCCTTTTTCCTGTTTGCAGAATTCAAGGGGTCGGAATTATCAGACACAAGCTTGTAATTTTGTCAACCGGTTTGGAGACAGGGCAAGACACTGAGGCCAAGACTGCCACTTTGGCCAGCTGACAATCGCAACCGAGTTTCCAGTGGTCACCAAGCATGTTGCTGAGGCTACGCACGTGGAGGCTGTGGACCAGCTCAACCGCCAGACTCGAAAGGATGGCTCGGGCGGGCCAGGATGGCAAACGAGGCCAAGTTGACAAGTGACGGTGAAGGGGCGCCCACATTGCCAGCGTGTCTGTGCATGCTTTGGAGGGACCGGACCTGGCGGTCATCGATATTGTTAAGAAGTCGGCAGGGTTTGATCCGCCAGCCCGGGAAGAAGCGGTGGGCGTGGCATGTCCACTCGAGGAAGCCATGAAGAAGCGTGAAGGAAGCTGGAGACCTGGCAGGCATCCTTGCGCATCTTGTGGCTCGTCGGTCCAGGGCGTGTCATCCTGGCGGCGTGTGTGCCCAGAGCACCAACAAAAAAAAGATGCGTTTGCGCTGCTCTGTTGCCACCGCTCCCGCCGCCGGCGGTGCTGCTTGGTTTTCCAGTCAAGGGATGATTGCGGCAGTTGCTTTTGCCAGAGTGACGTGGTGAGGTATGGTGAGGTCACCGGCCGGTGGTTTCGCCGCTGACTCTGCAGCCCGTTGTGGTTGCGTCGCGTTGCCTCGAGCTGGAGGGCAAGTACTCCGTAGACGGCAGCGTTGGATCAAGGTCCCGATGCGGGCGTGTGCTCCGGCAGGTCTGGCACCGGTGGGATCCCAAAGGAGACTGATGGCGAGGATGCGACCGGTCACGGTGGAATGGAGGAGGATGCCCGGTCAGGGTCCAACCGGCGACAGCTGTGGCGCCATGATTCGCCGACACATCTTTGGTCACCTCGAACCCCTGGCCGCAAAGGCACAGTAGTAGCCACTACCTGAGGAGGCATACAGAGTACGGAGGGTCGACCAGACAATTGGCGCGCAGTCATTCATTCGTTGATGCCCCCAACACAGACAGTCAGTGGTGGCAGCTGGAGCTTACTCTTCTCAGTGCTGCAAACGAAGGAGCGGGCAGTCGCCACCCACCCACCACATCCATTACCACCCTCTCGACCTGCCGGCATCATGCACATCCATGTTTGGACGACACACGAAACGACAAGGGCCATTCTGCGGCCGACTCGACCCATTTGACAAGTCCGGCCGGACGCGTCGCGTCCCACCCTGGCGGCCGCAAGCCCTCTGTCCAGTCGCTATCTGCTCGACGGACGGCGGCCTCCCAGCGGTTCGTTGAGTAAGCCTGGACACGTCGCAGCCGGCCCCCACGGAGCTGGTCCGTTTACTGTTGCATACTTCCTCAAGGTACAGAGACAAAAATGTCGACCAACAAAGAGCACCCCCCAACGCGCGCATCCCCTCCACCGGGGGTCCGGCGCAGCGCATCTTGACACATGCCGGTATATCAATCCTTCGTCAACATGACATGACAGCACTTCAGCGCGTCGGCGTTGCTGGGGGCCGGAATGTCCGCGGCGGCCCCATCGCGGCGGCCCCGTCGTTCCAGCCCAGTGACACAGCTATCACCAGGGGACAGGCCACGCGGAAACCGCTTCTGAAACACGCAAAGAGCTCGACGGCTCGTGGGGCAGATCAGCAGCCAAATGCAATGGGAGAAGAAGGCATACCACATACGGACCACAACTCACTCCCACTCAACAAGACCCTGCCTGCGTTCATCCAATAGGCCGGGGGCGGGAAGCAATGCGCTTTTGATATCGTAGGAGCCCCTCTGACCACGGGCAATATCATTAACCGCTTGCGATTCATAGAGCCTTCGTGACCTGTCATCCAGTCACGCAATGCCCTTGCCGCCGCCGCTCGCTAGCCCTCCCTCTATCATCCAAGCGGCAGCAGCATAAGAGAGCAGAGGGGTCTTCCCCGCCGCCGATGGTAATACTTGATAGCCCGTGCTCGGACGATCCCCCCAATGCGCTAACGTGCGAACCGTCCATAATAATAACCACCCAAGCATACATTGGTCTCAAAGCTTGTCAGGGCTAAACAGCCCTGATTTATGCTCCTGATCCTCCCGCGTCCAACTGGACAGGTTTTCTCTTTTACAATTATTGAGCCCCATGAGTGTCTCTACATCCGCATAAGTGCCCTCCCTGCCACCCTGCCAGCTATCCGCTGGCGCCATCGTTTCGCATAGAGTGCATTGCGTGCAACGCTACGGATCCACCTCGAATACTCGGGAAGAGGAAGCTTCGATGCTAACTTCTCCCGCTTCTTCTTCTCGATCTGCGGACCGAAGCAGGGGCTGGCCAGCTGGCTGTGTTGGCCGTCTGGCTTGGCAACGACCTGGTGTCGTTGTAAAGCTTGTCGGAAGGCGTCTCAGAAGAGGACCGGAACCGACAACTCGGCTTGCCGAAAAGAAAGGGGGAAGCAATGACATCCTCCTGAACCGTGTACGAAATAACAGAGGCGGAATCAAAGTGTGTCCAGGAGAAACGCACTTTGTATGTCTCTCTCTCTCTCTCTCTGTGTGTGTCTCTACGATGTCTGTGATGCCGGATCGCTCACCTCCCAAGGAAGCTCTGTGCTCTGTAACATGTCCGCCCTGGCGAATCACTTTCGTTTCTGTTTCATTCTCCCACAGGCATAGATCTCGACCGTTTCATAAAGTGCTTTTGCAGTAAATTCAAGATGTTCGGAACTATTAAACAACAAGACCGTTGGTTTCATGTAAAGCCCATCGTGAAGAAGGGAGGGAAAGGAATCAAAAGAAAAAGAACAAGACTGGCCAGACACTACATGGTCTCCGGGATTAACGAAAAGAAAAAAGAAGTCCCAATACTTAATTGTCTACGCGAGTGTGATTATGGATTGACGGCACAAACGATGCACCCAGGACTTCCGATTTTGGGCAGAGAGGGAAGTGAATGGAAAGCGCGGCCGAACCTATCGCTAAATCATGGCTTCGCTTCGTCTGTTCCAGACACGACACTGCATTCAAGTACAATCCACATAGTGCATGGATTTCGCCAATCCTGGCAACCCCAATACACTGACTTGATTGTTCGCGCGTTTTGTCCCATTTTTTATCTCCATATGTGGGACAGTTCCGCATTGGCTGTATGATCTAGAGGAATTGCCTGGCAGTGCTGATGGGTTCAGTTGGCCAGAATTAACCTTGGTGAATGGGGAGTGTTACGGCAATAACATGTAATAATTTTTCGATCCTCCTTGCCCGGGCACAGCGCGAAAATAGCAAAAAATAAAAATAAAATACAACGCATTCGCTCTCTATCTATGGTCTACAATGGATATACTACAATTCGTCTATGTCCGCCGGTATATGCTTGCGCAATGCCATAATAAAAAAAACCCTTACGCCGCGCTGGGAGTTGCATCGCACAAACATGGACTACAACCAAAAAAAATCGTCTGCGCAACTGGACAGCCCATTCCAGGTTTTCTTTCATCTATCCCTCCGCTTTTCCATGACACTATCCCTCCTCTTTCCATGGCGGGACGACGTGTCCGTCCTGCTCCCCGCTCCACTGGATCCTGAGGTCGCTGACGCAGTTGTCGTGGATGACTTGGACGACGAGGCCCCGTGCGATCTTTGAGAATGAGACCGCGAAGGTGCGGCACCGCCAGACTTTCCGCCAAGCACCTCCTCCCAGGTCGGGCCTCTGTCGTGACTAGGCGACGTCACGAGACTGTCCCTGTGGCGCTGGACCTCTGCCGCCGCAGAGGCCGCCTCGCGGGTCTCGTTCCTCTGAGGCGACTGGCTTTGTGCAGTCATGGCCGATTTAAGAGGCGAAGCTGCTGGCGGCGGCGGCGGACCAGCAGCAGCCATGCCATGTCGCAGAATGTCGGGTGAATTGTGGCGCGACACAGCTGGAGATGATGTAGTGCTGCCCGGATCCAGGGCCGGGAACGACATGAGACCCAAGCCCGTGGGAGGTGGCGGGACAGCAAGGTGTTTCGTGTTGGGCGTGGCTTGGACGCCGTCTTTGCTCGCGATCGGTTTGGCTGGCAGATAGTCGCGACTGGGCATGGAGGCTGGGAAAGGCGTCGCCGGGGCACTCCGGGATGCGCCAGCCTTGGGCACTAGCTGTTCTACTACGCTGGAATCGCCAGAGATGGACGACCTCTTGTACTTGTCGTCGGACACAGTGCCGTTAAAGGAAACGCTGTGTCGTGGTGCTTGGGACACGCCATTCTTGTCCAATTCACCGGTCCCCTGTCGATGCTCCGGCACATAACGGCGGGGATCAAAGGAGGTAATCGACGATCTTTTCGGTGGGATCTCAGTCGCTGATGTGGAGGCCTTCCGTGGGCTTTTCAAGAATTCAGCCATGGCCGAGTCGAACAAGTCCCTGGTTTCGTTATCATGCTTGGCTGGGAAGAGGCTGCGAATGAGCTCGTTTGGTAACTGCAAGCCCTCGTCCGACAGGCCCGAAGGGCTGCTGAGAATCGGGATCTCGAAAGTTGCCTTCTGGAGACGCCTGAACTCTTGCTCGGGGTAAGCCAGAAGACTGATAGTCATGTACCTGCTAAAACCTGCAGGCGTGAGTGCCGGCAGTCTTGGCTTGGACTTGGGCAGTGCCGAGTCTCGCACTAGATGGTACTCGCAGCCAAGGGCATCGTAGAGTTTCTCGATCTCGGGATATCCCTGGGTGCCCTCTGTTCGAAAGGACGTTGTCGCCTTGGGATATGGATCTGCACTAGTCGAGTAACGCTCAAAAAACGTTGCCATCTTGGCGGGCGTCATCACGAGGCCGCCCTTGGGCGCGAGCTCTGCCGCCAGATGTTTCGCCAGAGCCTCAAATAGATGGCCACACAAGGCCGTGGGCCGGCCGTTGTTGTCAAACAAGACGCCATGGCTCGTTGACTCGGATATGGATCCGGCTCGTCTCTGCCCGGCCTGACGTTTCATGATGCCTTTGGTTTGGCCACGATCACTGAAGCGAACACTAGGCTTGGTTGATTTGGTGGGAGAAACAACTTCTGATTCGGACGGCGAAATGTCGTGGAAGCTGGGCGAGTCCAGATCTACCGAGGAGCGTTGCATGCGAATCGCCTCCGCAACTAGCCATGGCCGTGAGTTAGATGTGTGCAAACTGTAGTGGTGAGACTGACGACCCACCCTCTGCTCTGATGGTTTTGCGGATTTCCAGCAGCAGTGTGTTTGATAAGCCAGACGAGACCTGCTCGGGAGGAGGTGTGGTTCCCGGCGAGAGCTCATAGTCGCTTGAGAAGAAGACTGCGGAGTCAGTCATCTCATCTACCTGGACATTGGCACTGCCCGAGCTCCGGACGGGCTGCTGGTCTCTGCAGCCGTTAACATGACCCTGATTGTCGGTCAGGTGCAAGTCGACGGGTTTCCGGGGGGCTTCCGAGAGCGCCGACGGGCGGGAGGTGTTCTGTGATGGAACTGCCATCTTTGTGGACGAGCGGCTTCGAGGCTAGAGAGTGACAGTCACACAACAAGCGACACGAGGAGGCGAGGCAGCGACGATAAAAAAGATGACAAGAGCAGAGAGGCTCGACTTATAACGGCGGATGCAGTGGTTACACGGGTTCACGAGGCGGGCCACGAGAGATAAAGGGGCGGCACGCGACATTTCGGTGGTCGCCGACGAGCCTGATGTTCGCCCAAAGGCACGGTCCTGCCAAAGATTTGCAGGCGAGGAGTGGAGGCACAACAAAAGAGCCGGGCAACGAGTGTCAAGCTTGGGATCGACTAGCAACACCCCTGTTGGTTGGGCTGCGATGGCTTGGGAACGTGCGCTGCCAGGGACAGCAGCAGATCGCGAGTCAATTGGGCATTCGCGTCGACACAGGCTGGAGACCAGAGGGGTGCAGAGGGCATCTCTGTCTCGTTGTTGTCGATCGCGGCATCACGGTGTTGAAGGAGTTGTAGGCTTGGATGGGGAGGAGAGCAGGCTGTGGTTGCGGCCTGGTGCTGCTGCTGCTGGGAGGGGGCTGGCCTATGACACGCTCGTGGCTGCTGTGCGAGGGGCCCGCCGGTAGTGCTTGGTGCCACCACAAAAGCAGGGCGAGCGGGACAACGGCTGCTTATTTGTACGAAGGTCGCTGCGCATGCGATGCCATCATCGTGGTGCTGATTAGAGAGGATAGCAGACCACCTGTTCGGGGCGGGTGCCCCGGGATGGGCTCCGCGCGGTTGCACGTCATTGTGCCTAGCACTGCGCGGTCCGCGGCACCTGCGCCATGAGGAGGGCCCATTGGCCGCCTCGAGGACCTCGAGTGACGCAGCCATTCAGGGCGCGTGCAAAGGAGGATGGTCAGCGAGGCCTGATGTTCGGATCTGATAAGATGGCATCTGCTCGCATTCGCAGACTCCCCTGTGGTCGCCACTCGATGCTGGGCGGGCGAATCGGCGGCCGATGCTTGAGGGGGAAGAGAGCATGCCCTGGTGGCCTGGACGGGGTTGCGGTTACGGTGCGCGTCGCAGCCCCACCTGCACTGCACCTTTGTCGCGATCATTGTCTGCATGTGACGCGGGCTCAATGAGTGACCGGCTCCCGAGGACTCCATCCACGCCACCTCCGCCAGACGCAGGACATGGAGTTTCGTCTGGGGGCAGCGACTTTGCTGCACCATACCACCGCTCATCCTTCGTTGCCAGGCCGCATCTTGGACATATAAGCTGGCCAAGGCCCGGGCGCCAGCACCGCTCTATCCTTGGAGGGTCTTGTGCCATCATCTCTCTCCCGATTTCGCTTGCGCAGTCAGTAATTAGACCAAGGGACTTCTCACGTTCCCTGACTCTTTGTCAGCACCACTGCACTGAAACCTGCTCCCTAGCCCTGCGAGTTGCCGGGGAAGGCGCCAGGGACCTGCCCACTAGCGCAACAACCCCATTTAACCTCACCCGAGACCCCAAGCTCAACTCCAGAGCTGTCTCTCTTTCGCCCGCGATTCCTCTTTCCTCCATCCGCCCAAGCAGCCGTCCTGCCTGTCGCAGAACAGCAATCGCCCACAATGCCCGGCTCGTCGCGCATGCCCGTCAGTCTGCGCGAGACCTACAACTCGGTCAAGAAGGCTAGGCCCGCAGATCCCCTTGCCCTCGTCAATCTCGAGCTGTATGTCCCGTCCAATTCCCACCCCAGCACCTCTAGCCGAGGTTGTGCGGCGGCAGCTGTGATCGCCGTCGACGACCTGCTCCCCGCCCATCGGCCACGCCGCCAATGCCTCTGTTCAAGCCTCTGTTGCTGACCGTGCCTTCCGGAACAGCTTCAAGAATGTCATATTCTTTCTTTTCGTCTTCCGGATAGTCCGACGCACCTGGTGGAAGCTCAAGGGCCGCGGCCTCCTTGGCACTTTTGCTGAGCTCTACCACGACGCCCGCCGTATTCTCTATGGCTACTTCCTCCGTGCTCCGGGTGTTCGCACTCAGGTCCGCAAGCAAGTAAAGGAGAGTCTCGCCAAGCTCGAATCCAAAATGGTGCCTGCCGACGGCACGAAGCTTTTCGCGCTGCCCAAGGAGGGCTGGACCGATGACGCAGTGCGCCAGGAGCTCGAGGCTCTCGCCAACATGGACCACACACGATGGGAGGATGGTTATGTATCAGGCGCCGTCTACCACGGAGAGTCTGAGCTGCTGGCCCTCCAGACCGAGGCGTATGGCAAGTTCACCGTCGCCAATCCGATCCACCCAGATGTCTTCCCTGGCATCAGGAAGATCGAGGCCGAAGTGGTCGCAATGGTCCTCAACCTCTTCAATGCGCCAGCGAATGCTGCCGGTGTCTCGACAAGTGGCGGTACCGAGAGTATCCTGATGGCATGCCTGAGTGCCCGCCAGAAGGCCTATGCCGAGCGCGGTGTCACGGAGCCTGAGATGATCCTCCCTGAGACTGCCCACACAGCATTCCGCAAGGCGGGCGAGTACTTCGGCATCAAGATCCACCTTGTTCCGTGCCCGGCTCCTGCGTACCAGGTCGACGTCCACCGCGTCTCCCGTCTGATCAACACAAACACAATCTTGCTTGTTGGCTCGGCGCCAAACTTCCCCCATGGCATCATCGACGACATCAGTGCCCTGTCCAAGCTTGCCCTGAAGCGTCGGCTGCCCCTTCATGTCGACTGCTGTCTCGGTTCCTTCCTTGTGCCATTCCTCGAAAAGGCTGGCTTTGAGACGGAGCTTTTCGATTTCCGTCTCAAGGGTGTCACTTCCATTTCCTGCGACACCCACAAGTACGGCTTCGCCCCCAAGGGCAACAGCACAGTGCTCTACCGGACCAAGGAGCTCCGCACCTACCAGTACTTCGTTTCTCCCGACTGGTCTGGTGGTCTCTATGCCTCTCCCGGCATTGCAGGCTCTCGTCCTGGTGCTCTCATTGCTGGTTGCTGGGCCTCGCTTGTCCGCGTCGGTGAGCAGGGATATGTCGATGCCTGTGTCAAGATTGTTGGCTGTGCCAAGAAGATTGTCGAGACCATCCAGAGATCGCCTACTCTGTCCGCCGAGCTCGAAGTCATTGGCAGGCCCCTGGTGTCCGTCGTCTCCTTCACGGCCACCAACCTCGACATTTATGACATTGCCGATGCCATGAACGCCAAGGGCTGGCACTTGAACGCCCTTCAGAACCCTCCGGCCATGCACGTCGCTGTGACCATGCCCATTGTCAAGGTCTGGGAGAAGCTCATGGCTGATTTGGAGGCTTGCGTCGAGGCGGAGAAGGAGAAGGAGCGCATCAGAATCGTCGAGGGCAAGGGTGCCAAGGGCAAGGCGTCTGGTGACACGGCCGCGCTGTACGGTGTCGCCGGCAGCCTGCCCAACAAGGCGGTCGTGACTGATCTCGCCCAGGGATTCTTGGATCTGTTGTATAAAGTATAAGCCGGAAAGTCATCGGTATCTCCTCATCATCTGTTTCATAGTAGCGTGTTCATTCTTTTCATTCAGTGAGTCGATATCAGGAATCTTTCCATGTGCAGTAGACTACCTAGCTATTAGGCATGTAAGAGAAGCATATGTGCGTTCCAGATCATCACGATTCCCCTTTTCCCATAGAAACTCTGGTGCTACTAGTTGGGCCGACTGTGATGGCAGCAGCTTCAGTCAAGCCTTTGTCCTAGTCTAGTGGCTGACTAAACGGCCTGGACTGGGCCTGTCAGCCAGGAAGGTAACACAGCTGGCCACTACGAGTTGCGGCCCATTCACTACTCAAAGGGAGGCAGAACATCAAACTTCTTGCGGTTGTCGCCCTTCGGCCACTTGCGGGAAGACTTGTCCTTGGTGCTAGTGCTACTGCCACTCACGCTGGTGCCGCCGCGTTGCGATATAGGCGCGGTACTCGGATGGCCGTAGGCGTGTCTGTTGAATCTGCTTGACGGAGCAGAGGACGTGTCTCTGGCGCGCGAGTTGATGGCAGAAGAGACGCGGGAACTTTCGGCAGCGAAGGAATTGCCGTGGCTAGATTGTGACAATGCTTTGTTAGCTTTGGCAGATTCATAAAGACCAAGGGGGGGTTTTTCTGGCCCCGGTCACGATTTGGTAACACTTACAGCTTAGGAGGAGCGGTTCCAGAATTGGCGCGGACTGTTGCTCCCGGGAGATTCTGCGTAAATCTGGGCGCGGCAGGTCCCGCGGCCTGGGTAGGCGCAGACTCAAAGCGGCTCATGGTGGGGATTGAGTAAGATGCGGTTGAGCTGTAGTGAGTGGCCTGACTTGGGTCATTAGTGACTTTACCAACATCACGCAGCACTCACACTGAACTCACATCATCGTGACCATCGAAGTCATCCGCATCGTATGGCAAGCGAGGGCGAGCGTTGGCGGCGGCGGCGCTGGAAAACGAGGCCGTGGATCGCTCCAGGGAAGGTTGTCCCGAGTCTAGCTGTGTAGTCGTAGGAACCACTCGGGCGATTGTGCCAGACTTTTCGTGGGATCGCAGAGCGTGATATCCTCCGGGAGGCGGCGTAGGTATTGCGTCGCCGGGATTGATATCACGCCATTGAGTGCAAGCCATGCACTCGGGCTCGATCTCACGGCGCTGGGTTTTTGAGAAGCGCGCGAGAGGCAGCGCCTTATGGCATCCGACGCACTGGAGCGTCGATGCCATTGCAATGGCGGGTTGTTGCAGATGCGGAACAGCTGTGGGTGTGCTGGAGCGCAGAAGGGCTAGAATGTGGTTGCTGTCTTTGGCTTCGTCTGTATTCCAGAGGCACGATGAGAGATGGCAGGTGCGAACGTACTTTCCCCGTTTGAAGAAAAAAAGTTGTGCACTTGTGCAATTCAAGAAAGAAATGGAAGAATGATGTGTTCAGATTCTGAGAGGCTTGTTGTTGGTTCACTCTGCTGGCTGACTTGTGGGGTATCTCTTGTCAGGTCAGGACGCAGGGTTCAGCCAGGAGAAGTCATGGTCCTCCGTGGTGTTGGTGCCGATGGCGTGTGAGAACTGCTGTTGTGGACGTGGCTGCTCGTTCTGCGCAAGCTGCGTTTGCGCTTGAGCGCCGACCACTCCGCCTTCCACGTCGAGATGCTCTCCCGCAGCTCAGCATCAATGTTTTTCGGCATTTGCACCTCGATTGCTTTCATGTGAATCTGCAGATTCAAGATGTCCATCTCAGCTTCGTCGCGCTCGCCCTCACTAGCAGAATCGTTAGTTCCTAGGTAAGCTACCCTCGGCATGGGACTCTCGGGCAACCTACAGCTCTACCACCCTCGTCTCCAGGCGTACAATCTTGTCGGCAGCTTGCTCCAGGCGAGTGAGCAGCATGGCGTGAATGTGCTTCGTATAATCGTTAGCATTTATATACACGGTGTCGAGGTCAGGGGAATGAGCCCACCTCGGTTTCCTCCTGTCGTTCCTGTAATGATCTTGCAACAGCCTCCATCTGGGCAGAGATCTCCCGTGCTTCCTGGGCGATCCGTTGCTCGCGGATCTCTGCCGTCACATGATTGCGCCGTTTGTGTTGTTGACGGCGACGAGCCGGCGCCGTGTGAGCTCCCTCCGCTGATCCCACCCCTGAGCCCCAAGGCCGGTCAAAGCCGGGTGACGATAAGGGCTGGCTCTCTCGAGTGCCTGGCCGACTGTTTTCAACCAGAGTGTGCTCCATCCTGTCAACCATGTTGTGCAGGGTGGAGATCCCAGCGCCGTCCACAACAGAGTCGCTCCCGATACGAGAGATGAGTCCATTGAGACGGTGAACGAGGGCATCTCGCGGGTCAATACCAGGAGAGCTGGCCCCTGCAGGTTTTGGTGACGACCAGTCGTTGCTTGGCCATGTCGACCTGCCCCATACCTTTGAGGGCGACGTGTCTGGGAAATCCGGGGACGGAAGTAAGTCTGGGAGAACTGGAGATCTCGTTGGCCATTCATGACGCGGGAGATCGTCTTCTTCCTCCTCCTCATCAAAGCCTTGCTCAAACACAGAGAAGATGTCCTGGGCGGCTGAGCCTCCAGGCGTTGGCGGCGGCTCCATCTTCTTCTGAGGCGAACGAGGCGGGGATTATATCGAAGTCAATATAATGAACGCGAACACAAACGATCTTACGCTCGCTGGCGACAAAGGCTATCACGCGACATTGTGTATCGCGACGGCTCAAATGAAGACGAGGATGAATCTCAAAAGTCGCGTCCTGTCAGCCATTCACATTTGCTGATAGTGACCCTGTAAAAGTGGGGCCATATCAAAGGTCGCTGATGGGCCAACGTGACTGGCTGACGCTGACCACTTCGGACGAGACAGACCTTCGAAACCGCTCAGATCTGATCATCAATTCTCAGCCCTGCCTGATTGAGATGCAACGAAGACTATTCGTCAGACAGGCAGTCCGTTCTTGCGTCTGCAAGCTTCATCTGCCGGTTGGACCCTTTATGACGTCGACGCAGGCGCGCATTGATGGCAGACTGCCCTTTGATCGTGTCGCCCTAGCCCTCAGTAACCATGGTAAAGGGAACAGAATGAATGCAATAGCTGATGGTTCAGGCTCGGGGGGTTTTGTTGGCTAGACGCTCAAAGTGTCGATGCTCATCCGCTGCCGCTCCAGGCACAGCCATGCGATTGGCAATCAATCTGATGTTCTCAGTCACATCCAAACTTGGGGATAAGGGAGGGGGAGAACCCACGTAGCCACTTTCTGGCGCTTCCCTGGCCGGTCTCTGCGAGATTACGACGAAAAGTTTAAGCTGTCACTTGACCTTGGGAACACCCTGAGCTCGCAAGAGAAGCACCCACACCAGCCGCCTGCACGTCGAATCTGGGGAAACCCGGTCCAAGCACGGCAGCAAGGGGCCAGGCTGGGCGGTGGCAGGGGTCATGCACAATGGTTTGAGCGCGACATGCGTGCGGAGAGTGGCTCAGGAGCGGGGGGCTCCTCTAAGCTCAGGGCTCGCTTTTGTTCAGTCGACGACGGCACACTGGAGCTCATGCACGCCGCGCACTTTTGGGTATTGCCAAGAGCTACACAGCTTCGTTGGCATGTTCCAGTGGAGAATGGAATGCCCGGTCGTTTTGTATCATGCTGACCGTTGCCTCACGTCATGGGGGGTCCATCCTCCTCCAGAACCCCATTCAGTGGGCTCCTCGCGGGCACTTTCAGAAGCAAAAGACGGCTGACAGTGACGGATACTGAGCTGCGCACTGTCTCTGGTGAGTGTCTAGCACTGGCAGCGACGTGGCCAGCCAAATGCTTGTGTGGATGGTGCAATTGATTCGAAGCCACCTGGAGTCTATGCTGTCACATGGCAAGGATCCGGTAGTATGCATATCACCGGAATGCTTGGTTGAGCGGGACGCAGCGTGTGTGCTGAAGGTTTTGCCAGGCGAGAGTGGCCTGGCATGGCTGTCGATAGCCGAGGTCAACCACTGGGAGCGCTGGGCTGGCTGGATCCGGCGGGCTCAGAGCCGACAGGTGCGGGAATGCCTTACGTCAGTCATCGTGTGCGCTCCGACGTCCGCGTCCTTCCGTCCGAGCTCCAGCGCAGGTGCCCCGCGGGGTCCTCCACCCGCGCGCGCGCTCGCTCGCACTTGAGCAGTGCCGTGCCGGGCTCCAGCTCCCATCTCAGGCCAGCCCCGGTTCCGCAATACACCGAGCCAGACCCCCATCAGCCACCGCCGCTAGCCACCATCTTCGTCCGTCCGTCCTGGCCTGGTTCCTAGACCCTCCGCCATTGCTTGTCTCGTGACTCTTCGTTCCGCTACTGCTGCTCTTCTCGTCGTCGTCGTCGTCGTCGTCGTCGTTGTCTGCGAGCAGCTTTTTGACTCGATCGGCCCTCTTCGCCCCCGTCATTCGCCTTTTTGACTTCACCCACGTTCCTGCCGCCCTTGCCCTTTGCTGCGTCTGGCTTCCACCTCTACCGCACCGCACCGGCGCATGGTGTCGAGTTGCCCGTCATGTCGTGGAAGGCATCCGAGAGGTTGATGGACACCATCAGGCATTATGCCAACTTCCCTGCCACCGGAGTCAGCCTCCGCCAGATGGTCCAGTTTGGCGAGAGGCCATCAACAGGTACGTCACGCCCGCACCCATTGGACTCGCCCGGCCGGCTTGAAATTCCTTGCTTGCTCACACGAGGCCCGCTCCGATATAGGCACCCTCTTTCGAGCGTCGCAATTCCTCGCCGAGGAACTCCCAATTCGCCTGGCGCATCGCGTCCAGGAGCTCAACAGTCTGCCCGATGGCCTCAACGAGATGCCCTCTGTCACAAAGGTCAAGGACTGGTATGCCCAGTCGTTCGAGGTTCGTCGCCTGGCAGTGTGCCTGCACCACCCGCCCTCGTTGACTCACGATTGACATGTGACGACCACGACCACAGGAACTCACCGAGCTCGACCGCCCAAAACTCCCACGCGACGTCAAGGAGCGTCTAGCGAACCCGACAAAATCAAATGGCCGCATGCTTACAGAGGCGACACCCAATCCCAGTATACGAGAAGGCCAATACTCATCATTACAAAACGGCTCCGTCGGCAATGGAAAGAAACCACATGCCGCCAGGAGATATTTTGCCATGGTCGACGACTCGAGCGATTGGCCCCCGGAGCTTCGGTCATACAACATGCGCTTCGCCGAGGCGCTCAACAAGATCAAGAGGCGGCACGACGGTGTTGTCACGACAATGGCGCAGGGCATCCTGGAGTACAAGCGGAAACGGCAGCGCATGCAGATTGACCACAACATACAGTCATTCTTGGACAGGTTCTACATGTCGCGTATTGGCATTCGTATGCTGATTGGCCAGCACATCGCCTTGACCACTGATAACCACCACAACGACCCTACCTACGTCGGCATCATCTGCACAAAGACCAATGTTCACGATCTGGCCCAGGAAGCCATCGAGAACGCCCGCTTTGTCTGCGAGGATCACTACGGCCTGTTTGAGGCACCGAAGATCCAGCTCGTTTGCAATCCGAACCTCAACTTCATGTATGTGCCTGGTCACTTGTCGCATATGCTCTTTGAGACATTGAAGAACTCCTTGCGCGCAGTGGTGGAGACACATGGGCAGGATAAACAGGACTTCCCAGTCACCAAGGTCATTGTTGCTGAGGGAAGGGAGGACATCACCATCAAGATCAGCGACGAAGGCGGCGGCATTCCGCGGAGTGCTATTCCGCTTGTGTGGACGTACATGTATACCACTGTCGATCGGACGCCGAACCTAGACCCCGATTTCGACAAGAACGATTTCAAAGCGCCAATGGCTGGTTTCGGCTACGGATTGCCCATCTCACGCCTCTATGCACGCTACTTCGGTGGAGATTTGAAGTTGATCAGCATGGAAGGGTAAGTTTCAGTTGTCGGAGAGTCCGTCGACGTCGGCTCAAACTGACATCGAATACAGATATGGCACGGACGTTTACCTCCACCTCAATCGCCTCTCGAGCTCCTCGGAACCCCTCCAATAGCAATCAGCAGTCATGAGGGACTGGTTGACCACCCCCAAGGATTGGCGCTGAAGGGAAGCAAGAAGCGGCTCAAAGTTCACGAGATATCAGAACGCAAGCAGGTCGGAGACGCAGAGTCCATGATCAACGAAGAATCTGGGCGCAGGCATGGCCACGATGGTGACAATGCTGAATTATAGCAACGACAGTGGGCCGTGTGGCTATTCTCCTGGGTTACATGTATCCTGGGGTTTGGTGGCTATTATGCCACTGCGGGGTGAGTGGGAGGGAACAGCTGATGAAAACCATATATGCTGGGCTGGGACATCTGCAGCCGGCACAACGGACATGTAACAGTGCCCAACAATCAAACTCCAAAAGCACATCTGGAAGAGACGGCACAGTTGTGTAGAATCGATTTATGCCGCTCATATTGAAGTCGGCAAGCCGCCACGTTAAGTTCTACAAGCAGGATGTCGAAGGCAATATCCTGGATAGTCTAGCACGCGTTGTGCGTTGAATGGAAAGCGGTATCACGACACAATGCAGCCGAACAGTCAGGTGTGTCTACAGACACAAGGCCGGCCTGGTAGTGAAGGGGGCTGCGAAATGCCAAGTACAAGAACGAGGACTGTCGAGCTGGGGACAGCCCCGTCACGACGGAAACAATTGGCAAATGTGCAGGTTCTTCTTGCCAAGTCCATTGTCTGCCAGTGCCCAGGAAGCTCCTGCCATTCACCCACCACCACACGCGGTTGCCCGAGAGACGCGGCTTCCCAATATTTAAAATCCTTCCTCTTGCATAACGTGACGCAGGTCAATCTTCCTTTCTCCTCCTCCATCATTCCTCCAGCCTCTGGTTTTGACCCTCGTGCAGCACAAGCAATACCAACCGTCAGATAGGACGACCCCGGCAAGTAAGTGCTCTTCCTCATTGAGGTTCTTCCACCAGTCGCCCAGTCCATGGTGCTCTCCCTCCACCGCTATCATCAATACCTCATCGTTCTCGCCAACCCCCCTTCCGCACCATTCCAGCACAGGATTCAGGTTAGACGATCAGGAAGACCGCCCGCGTCAGGCTTGACCCTTGCCACACTGGAATCTGAGTCTCCAAACTTCCGAACCTCTGGACCTCTGGACCTCTGGACCTCTGAACCTCTGAACCTCTGGACCTCTGAACCTCTGGACCTCTGGACGTTCACACCTTGTAACGGCCCTGAACCAATCTCGAGAGCATCTATCACTGATTACTGACTCCCTGTATGCAGAGGTCTTCCAGCTTACAGTCCGACTTCAGCACTGGTGCAGGCACTTCACAATGACCTCACGTCCACCTCACACCAGAAGCACCCCGGCAGACCGGCGTACGTCCCGTCGTCAGAGAGTAACAGTCGGCACCGCAGCGGCACAGTCAGCAGACCTAATTGACCTCAGTAGCGACTGTGAGCAGCCAGCCCGAAGTCCCGAGGCTTAGGTAGCCGGGCTTGTGCAGGAAGCACAGCGTTTTTATGGAGTCTCTTTTTCGAACGACGACATGAGCACAGCCAAAGAAGACTTCATGACATCGGTCTTGCAGCCGATCACTCTTGAATGTGAGGAAGCTTCAAATGTGAGTCGTTAACATCGTCGTCCCCAGTGGGCACTACCTCCAACTATCTCTCTCCATTCACACTTGCAGTCCGCTAAACAAGTATTGTTTACAGGATGGGCAGCAGCAGGAGCCATCTCGGCCACAATCCCAGGTATCAGCGCTCTCGGCCATGGCCTGCACTGATGTGCCTTCCAGCCCTATTCGTGAGCACACTGGCCAGCCTGAAGCCCTGGCACCATACTGTGGTTCCCTACGAGAACCACCCCAATCCGGCGTACCGACCCGGCATAACGTGCCAGCGGGATTGCCACATCACACCGTACCGGCTGGGGAGGACGAGCAAGATGGACCACCTTCCTGTTCACGTGCCGAGGCGGAGCTTCTTAGTGATCTTGACTTGGAGCTGGGTCGAGTCCAAGCTGCGGTACGCGATGCGCAGGAAGCCGTGACACTGGCAATTAGACGCGCTGAAAGTGCTGGTGACAACGACGACTGTGCACAAGCGGCTCTCTGCATGGTGCAGTCAGACCTCAACGAAGCACGCATGGCCGTACAGGCACATCGCGAGTTCAGCAAGGAAACGAGAGAGATTCTGTCGCCCATGCCCATGGTGCCCCCATCTGTCCCAGCGCCGCAAACGGCGACTGCTCTCGCAAGAAGTATACAGGTAAGCCCAATGCTGGTGCTGGTGCTGCGGCTGTTCATGTTGCCATACAGATGCATCATTCTCCGTAAAAGCATTACTGACTGTCTCTGTACTCTCAGTTGTTTCCTCCTTGGCCGAGATGGTAATCCGAGGGAAGCCATCCCATGTCAGCCATGCGACTCGAGCTGCCCTGGATCTATGGAGGTTTGAGTCAATAACACGGTGTTGACGAAATATGTTTTTCTTCCGCTAGAGTCAATCTTGTTTTGGATGGCGCACGTAGACGATTCAGCCGGCCAACAGGTGACTGGTCCTGTGTGTTTTGCCTTGAGCATCTTGGTCCGCATCTGCTGGGTCATTCTCGAAGTCATTTATCTCTTGATAGGATGAAGACTGCGCTCGCCATGGCAAATATGCATCATGCAGAAGCAAGCATCTGCTAGCACCAGTAAGCATGTGCCTCTTGTTCTCGAAACATGCATTGCATGTTGTGAATAAAACTGAAAATTATCGTTGAACAAGTCATACATGAAGGACGTGCGCCAAATCATGCTGTTGGTTTCCCCGCCCTCTCGACGCTCTCTATGATGGTCCCTGGTGACGCCTTGAAAATACCAAATTATCAACCCTGCCTTGGTCCCGAAAATGCCGGCTAGCTCGACGAGCGAGCGTGAGACTCAGCCTTGTCCTTGAACATCTTTGCCTCCGATGTACAGCTGCCGCTCCCGATGCCACCACATCCCTTGAACAGCACGACCAAATCGCCGTCCTTGTATGCCTTGCCGTTCTTTGCGGTTGAGTAGCTGGAAATGGTGTTCTGCGGCAGGACGGCAATCCTGGCAAGCACAGTCTGGTGCCACTGGACGACGTGGGAGAGGGCATGTGTCTCTGCGCGCTGGAAGCGGTAGTGCCGGTACAGCTCGTTCCACATGGTGTCCAGGAGGAACTCTGCATAGTCGCCGTTCTTGAGGATGAAGCTGCCCGTCGCCAGGCCCTCGTTGTCCTGCGTGATGGCCAGCTCGATGTCCTCGCCGCGGAGGTTCGCGTACGTGTGGATGATGCCGTCGGGCGGCGCGATGGGCTGGTCCCTGAGCATGGTGGCCTCGAGGTTGGCGGGGCTCATGATGTCCTTGTCGACGGCGACGTCGAGGTTGGTGATGAGCGCGTTCTGCTCGAGGAACCACAGGTACCGCGCGTCCGGGTACATTGTCATTGCGTGGCGCATGGCGGGGATCTTGGCCCAGGAAGCGGGCGCGTTGTCGAGGTCGTAGTCCTTTACGTCGGCGAAGACAGTGCCGTATCCTGGGGGGAAGACACAAGAGGTGGCTTCATATTAGCAAAGGGGTGTCGGATGTCTTTTTCTTGTGTTGTTCTCTGAGGTTGTGTTGCTAGGTATCCCTTTTTTCTTTTGGAGACCTTCCAGAACGTTCAACTCAAAACCTCTTGCAAGATCGACTCACGAAAACCTCGTGAAAGCACAGTCTTCAAAGAGGATACCGCAGAGCCAACTAAAGGGAAACCCATTCTCAAAGAAGAAGAAAAAGGAACACTCACCGTGCTTCTCCGCATACGCCAGCCGGTTTTCCCGCAGCAGCTGGACATACTCTGTGTTCTGTTTGTCGTCAAACACGGTGACGAGCACGACGGGCGGCTTCCCGGATATCGAGCGGCCCTTGTACGCCGTCTTTGGCGTCGACAGCCCGCTGCTATGCCTCCGCCCCCCGGAGGTGTGTGAGCCGCCGCCGCCGCTGCGGCCGAAGAGCAGCCACAGCAGGAACAGGATGCCCGCGCCCGCGAGCGCAACCGTCTTGAGCTGCCGCCGGCGGTAGAGCGGGATGCGCGAGCCGCGCGCCGGGCGGAACGGCGGCGGGTTTGACGACTTGCGGGGTGGGTAGGCGAAATGCATCGTGGTCGTGATAGCTATAGTATATATGTGTGTCGTGTGTACGTGTGTATGTATGCCCTCCTAGACCGGGGTCGATTAGTCGAGCGCGAGCCTCAGCTAGGCCGGCCAAGGAGCGAAGAAGACGAGGCCGTCGGTGTCGTGGTCGCTTTTTCCGAGGGGGCAGGACGTCAGTTTCGTGGGGGGTCCAAGAGAGGATATCTGGCCCCTGGCGAGACGGACGGGGCCGATGTCTGCTTGCCGTCGATTAGTCGTGGTCGTCAGACTGTCTTTGTGGATCGCGCAGCACCCGCAGAAGAAGAGACAGTATCGTGGTCGTGTTGAGCCCGGGCAGGGCAGGCGGCGGCGGTGGATTGGGGAAGTGCCGCGTGGCAGGCTGGACGTGGGAAAGTTGACGATCTCGGATTAGGGGATCGCGGAATCGCTGAGCAGGGGGGGGGGAGAGGCCGTTGCTGCTGCGTTGCGGCTGCAAAGGAAGGAGGGCCTTGGCGAGGTGAGATGGCGGGACCAGATTCGTCAATCGCAGGAGGGCCTTGATGAACAGATGTCCTTGTGCAGCCTCTGCTCTCTGGCTAGGCCTACCTACCTAAGTAATCTTCTAGCAGGCGATACGGTCACGACCGTCCAAGAGCCCGGCTGTCGTGGTGCTTGCAGCTGCACGTGGTCGTAAATTAAGCTCAGTCCAGACAATTCGATCTCGTTGCGGCACTCCCCGACCAACTGCGGCCCCACTCTGGAATGGAATTGGGCGTTGGTCAAGCCCATGCAGATCACATCTCCAAGTTAATGGGATTCAGCTGTGTTCACCATGGCTGGGATTGTTCTGCGCTGTCACCAATACGCAACTGCCGTCATGACGAACATTCAAGCTTCTCAGTATCAGTCATGATTAAACTACAGAAATCTACAAAGAAAAAATGTATCAAGTCCAGCAAGAGCAATGCTTCCGCCGGCGGAGTACCCGCACGCGGGTGGAAAACCACCACGACTGGGTTGCAGAGGCTTTGCAGGTCCATGCACGACAACCTTTGCAGGCTGTCGAGAGATTTGGACTGGGACGTGACGTTCCCGGTTCGTTCTGATTGCAAATGTGAACAAGACGCTCGTATCTGCCAGACACCCCCGGGACTTGATCTCTGCACGCAGACTAGTTGACAAGATATGGAGGAGGATACTTCAAGGCAACTTAAGAGTGTGCAGGAGCCAGCCGGCCCTCAAGAGACAAATGCAAATCATATAACGTGCCCCCAAGGCACGGACATACTGACCCATCACTGGTCCTTTCGAGACTCGCTATCAGCAGGCATCGCGTCTGCACCGGTCTGGTCGTCGTCGTCGTCGTCATCATCTTCTTTTCGCACATTCAAAATGTTGAAGCTCGCTTCGAGCTGTCGCTTGTTGATCCAGGCACGGGTGCCTTTCCACACAGCCTATGACATCGTCAGCACGAAGGGCCCAACACACCGGAAAGGCGGCTCAATACGAACCCATAGAAAAGTAAAGACGCCAATGACGACGAAGGCAAGATTGATGTTCTCGACACGTCGTCGTCCTGTGGCGCCTGCCCGTCCATATACAGTGGCGGAGGTACGCAGATTCCACCATTGCCACGGAGTCATGGCAAGGAAAGCCTTGACAAACCCCAGCAAGCCTAGAGACAGGAGTCCCTTGACGAAATGTAGAGCCCAGCTGTCCGAGCCCAGGTCAAAGTCCATCTCCTCATCAATATTCAGCCCGCCAGTGGTGACAGAATCTCTAATGGTTCCTAATGGATCCAAGTAGAGCTCGAGTATGTAGTCCCCCACGTAGCCGAGGAGGAAGGTCGTCACGACGAAGATGCCCAGCGTCAGCAGGAGCGTCAGAAGCGGGCTCTGAATGCGAGCGGCCCACGTCAGCCTTTGCATCTGGTAGGTGTAGCCGCAGGTTGGGCACTTGAATGCGCCATGGTTCTGCATGTACTCTTTGAGACAGCTCTCGTGGATGTACCCAATGGAGCCCTTGCACAGGCACGGACTGAGCAGTGGACCTGTAGACGGGTCCTTGGGAATCCATTTCTTCCGGAGTCGCCTGCGACGAACGCCGTCTAGGACTGAAGGCTCCTCATACGTTGGGAACTCCTCGTCATGACACATCCAACACTGCCTACTCTCAGTTCGTGGCCGTGGCCGTGGCTCTGGCCGATGCTCTGGCTCAGCCTCGGATTCTGTCTCTGCTGTGGGTTGCTGGTAACTCGACTCTCCATGCGCGTGGTTGTTTTGCTGAGTGTCCTTGTCCTGGAAAGTGGTGAAGTCATTCTCCGCAGGTTTGGCATTGAACGTGCTCGACTCAGGCACCGGCGCAGAGGTGTCCGGCTCGTCCGCCGGAATGCCGTCGAAGTTCCACGTTCCTTGCATCCTGGATAGTTGAGTACCTAGTGGCCCCAATAGGCGAGAGGCTGATCAGGATTGACGGGGTGAAAGTGGCGTCGTGGAGCTATGTGCCACGGCCAAACAGGATGCTGATTCAGCTGGTGCTTGTTGTACCGTGCGGGTGAATCATAGCTTCCAAGTGCCCACAGCTGCAAGTGTTTACGAGCAGCGCAGGACGGCGAGCTTTGGGTGACAAACACAAAGAGGTGTCGTGTCGTGTCCAGGAGACGGGACGAGGAAAGATGTGGAAGGTTGACGAACAAGTGGCATGGAGTCCCGGAGCTTAGCACTGCCGGGATGCCGGAGCTGTCGCTGACCAACCGTGAAAGCGCGCTTCAGGCAGCTTGGCTGTACCTGTCGAGCGGACTTACCTGTGGATGCCGCGCGCAAATGTCAGACAGCGCTCGGCACCTTGGCTGTTTGAATGGGCAATTACTGCCTATAATCCCCAGGCGGACGCGGGACTGCATACCTGGAACTCCTCCCAGGAGCAGTCCACAGCGCACCGTGTTGCAAAGGTTGAGAAGTGTGCTCCTGAGCCGCAGATTTTCGTGATTGAGATACTTTGGAGGCCCTGGCGGGTCGGAGCCCCTGCCTCTTCTTATCGATACAATGTGGGGTGGAGGAGCTACAGCCACAGGCCGGCCGCTTCAGCCACCCGAGCAGTTGAGCTCCAGGCCGCTACCAGACGCGCAACAGCAGGCGCACCCGTAGACCCCCAGCTGCCTGGTGACGGCCCAGAGCTCCAGCAGCTACTGTACAGAGGTCCCGCAGCCTTGCCCCAGCTGCACCTCACCACCCGCATCGTCACTCTCGAGATCCCACGTCCAGCTTCGCCCGATCACGAACCTCACAACTGCCCCGAAACACCAATCCGTGACGAGCTCTGCGTGCCCGTAGCTGCACCCTAACCAGCCATGGCCGACCGCTACTCCTTCTCGCTCACAACTTTCTCCCCCAGGTAAGCTCCTCATCCCGCTGTCCCACCATGTCCGCCGTCCCGCTTCTCCAGCATTGGCTAACACAATCACAGCGGAAAGCTGGTACAGATCGGTTCGTTCCCCCTCAACACGGCCTCGCATCCTGAGACATCCATTTCCACTGGTGTAAACCGCGCACTGCTGCTCTGCTGGGCGGCGCAGCGTGCAGCCGCGGCAACATGGGCTTGCTAACATGCCCCTCCTAATGCAGAGTATGCCCTCAACGCCGTCAACCAGGGTGTGACAGCACTCGGCATCAAAGGCAGGTCTACGATCCGTACTAGAACCTCGACTCTAGATCTCATTCTAACAGTGCTGCAGCCACCAATGGCATCGTCCTTGCAACTGAGAAGAAGTCATCCTCGCCTCTCACCGATCCCTCCTCGTTGTCGAAAGTCAGCCTCATCACGCCTAACATCGGCATGGTCTACGCAGGCATGGGGCCCGACTACAGAGTACTGGTCGACAAGGCGCGAAAGGTCACCCACACTGGCTACAAGCGCATCTACAACGAGTACCCCCCGACCAGAATATTAGTCCAGGATGTCGCGCGCGTCATGCAGGAGGCTACACAGTCTGGTGGCGTGCGGCCGTATGGCGTCAGTCTGCTCATTGCGGGGTGGGACGAGGGTATCTTGCCAGATGAGGAGGCGGACGTCGAGGGAGAAGGCGAGGATGTCGCTCAGAAGAAGAAGCTCTCGGGCAAGACAGGTGGCATTCTTAAGGGCGGACCGATGCTCTACCAGGTCGACCCCTCAGGTAGCTATTTCCCCTGGAAGGCCACTGCAATCGGCAAGAGCGCGACGACAGCCAAGACCTTCCTGGAGAAGAGATACACAGAGGGTCTCGAGCTGGAAGATGCGGTGCACATTGCGCTTCTTACGCTGAAGGAGACGATCGAGGGTGAAATGAACGGCGAGACGATCGAGATTGGTATGTTGTCGACCGCATATCCAATTTGTGGACAATCAGGACTAACTGCTACAAGGTATCGTTGGGCCTCCAGCGGACCACCTCCTCGGCGTCGAGGGTGTGCCCGACGCCACGGGCCCGCGGTTCCGGAAACTGACCCCCCAGGAGATTGAGGATTACCTCACGAATCTGTGATCAAAAATTCACGAGAGCTCGTCACGCACGCAAACACCATCGTTCCCAGCGACTCTACTTTGTACCATAGACGGGAATATGGAATGTAGAGGGAGATTATGTGCCAGCCAAGCTTGGCCAGTCCAGCGTGGTCATGGTGTCGATGACTTGACCAAAATGAATGAGGTTCTGCCACCTGCTCGCACGCCCGTTATTGTGCCATGCTCCCTTAGTGACAGCGACACTTCCTCCCATGATTGAATCTTCTTTGCTCTGGGTATGCCCAATTGTCCGTTTGTGTTATCTCCTGTTACGTAAAGTCTGCCATTGCTGGTAAGGGCTATGGCATGCTGGTCGCCCACGCCGCAGTCCACGATATCCTGGCCGTCGATGTCGACAGCCATAGGAGTCTCTGATATCTCATGTATGAGAGTGGACCAACCAGGATGGCCGCCCCATGCATAAAGATCGTTGCCCTCTGTCACTGCAAGGAGGATATAACCACCGGCCGCGATCTTACGAATAGGCCCGGTAGGCAGGTCGACCAGGTCCTCGACAAGTCCGGGCTGGTCTGCTGGGCTAGAGGGAGTGTTTGTGTCAGGGAAGCAAAAAGGAAAATGCTGTAGAACTTGCCCCAAGAGTCGAGGGCAAACGTAAACCCTGCTGACAGCCCTGGGGAAAAGCTGGTTCCGCCCGGTCACGGGGAAGGGGTGTGATCCAAGCGGAGTGACTACTCACGTGCTGCCTGTGACTTGCCGCCCGAGACAGGCAGAATACCGTTCATCGCCCCACGTGTAAACGCGGCTGTTGCTGTCGATGGCGCCCGCGCTCAGAAGCGCGAAGCCGGTCTGGTAGGCAACTACCTTGAGGATACTGGGTTTGGAGAGGCTGGTGCTGCCCGCTGCTGCTGATGTTTTTGGTATGGTGAAGACCTGCTCCGGCGGTGACCCGGCTTCCAGGGCTGCGAGGGTGGGATACTGCAGGACTGTGTCTGGTGCAGAGATGACTGGAGAAACAAGCATGCGTGGAACGTGTTAGTCCTGGGGGCCTGTCCTGCGAATGTGTCGTGGGAATGATCTGTCCTCCCAGTCGTGGGATTGACTCAATGGATAGGCGGCAAACCTGCGACCTTCTCGTTGCCGGCGATGGCAAGCTGATGGGTCAGGAGCTGGCGTGTAAGCGGCCCGTCCTTGGAGAATGGCGACGGGAAGCCGGCGGACTGAACACCATCGGATGTCAAGACTAGGCCGGAGTTTCTATGGGTAAGCAAGGCTGCAGCAAGAACTACGAACGTCGCGGTTATATCAAGTACGGTAGAGTTCTCACCGTGAGTGCTTGCCAATAAGGGTTGGAGGTCTGTGATAGTAGAGGTCTTGAGAATGCTCGTGAAAGTGGACAGGTCCTGCGGGTCCGTGGCGAGGGACTCGGGCGAGGAGGGTGCGCTGCTGAAGTCGAGCTGGCCCCAGGCGTTGAAGCCGGCAGCAAAGACCTGCATTGTTGTTCTGTCATTCATTCCTCCGATGCTGTACTTGCGTCTGGTGGTTGCAGCTGGGGCCAATACAGTAGATGCGCGAGGTGCAGCGCAGCAAACGGTCACGACGGGACTGTTGGTTGTGGGACTGCACTATCACCGGGCACATCCTCCTCCTCCTCAGGCACGGCTTCAGTCATGGCAACAACTTCTTCACGACTGGATTTCTAAGTCCCTCAAAACCTTTGTCGTGTGGCTTTTCTCCTGCATGGAAAGCCTCTTACTCGACTTGCTGCATCAACCTACCACCTCATTTCAGGCACTTCCCAGATTACCCCTCAGTGGTTGGTTGGCCTCCTGCGTCGTTCAATACAAGGCCGCGCGACCCCCAATGTTGAAGCACAAAACGACCACAGGATCTTGCCGTGTTCCTGCCTCAAGTCTCTCCCATGATGTCCATCTCATGAATGTTGCGACACCCGAAAAGACTCATTTCTATCATTTCACGAACTGAGAGCACGTCATTCCCTCATCGCCGTGTAATTCCTTGCCACGAGACCGGGAACTCTATGACATTCGCCATGAGGGTTTATCGCAGCTCATCGTCTTCGTCTTCGCCCTTATCGAGCTCAGCTCCCAGCGACGACGGGCAGTCCACTTCTTCAAACAATAATCAGGACAAGCTGCGGCGCAGCCCAGATAAAGGCCACACAACGGCCGATGTCTCTGTCCAGCATTATGCTAGCTCAAACGGCGATGTCAAGGCCTCGACCTCACAGGACTACGAGCTGCTCAATGCTCGCGCCTACCAAATCGAGATGTTTGAGCTGAGCCTCAAGCAAAACATCATTGTTGCTGTAAGTCTTACTTCTTTGAACCAGAAGGTCTCAAGCATGTATTGGGTTCTTCAGGCTGACGTGCGACCAGATGCCTACTGGCAGTGGCAAGACTCAAGTGTAAGACCTCTGGGATATCACATGATCTCGACTGGATCATCTCGATGTTGTCACGGTGATATTGTCCTGGTTGTTGCTAATCGACTTCATAGGGCAATCCTGCGAGTTCGAGCAGAGATAGAGCGAACGCCGCCCGACAAGGTACGCTCTAGTCGATTCAATATATCTAGTAAAGCTTGCTGATGTTTTCCAAGATATCGTGGTTCTTGGCCCCGACTGTTGCTCTTTGCCAACAACAATATGCAGTCTTCGTTCAGCAAACCCCCGCTGTTTCGATCAAGCTTCTCACGGGTGCGATCGTGGACAAGTGGTCCGACACCAAGACATGGGATGATTTCCTGCATGGCGCCCGAGTCGTGATCTCGACATACCAGCTTCTCTACGACGCCATCAACCACGCTTTCGTCCACTTTGACCGACTCACACTGGTGGTAGTTGATGAAGGTAGGCAAATAGAAATTCTTACGATTGTTTCCTCAAGTCGAGCACTAAGCATGTCTCACAGCCCACAACTGCCGGGGAAAGAGCCCTGTTGTCATGATTATGAAGAGATACCAAGAAGCCAAGGAGAACGGCTTCTCCGTGCCTGCCATACTCGGCCTTACAGCAAGCCCTATCATGAATTCAAGGCTCGATGGCATCGAGAAGATTGAAAGTATCATGGACGCTGTCTGCAGGACTCCGACCATACACAGGGAAGAACTCACTAATCAGGTCAAGCTTCCGGAAATGCAATGCGTATCGTACTCAGCGGTACCAGAACCGGTGCCGCATTCGATGCACACCCCCTCGATGCGTAATCTCCAAGAAATTGCACGACTGATCCAGCAGGACGTGTTCAACGACCCCGAGGTGTTACAACTGAAGAGAATAAATGACGAGAAAAGCCGTGAGAAGCTTCGGACGATGCTAGTCAAGAGAGACACTTATGCAATTACCGAGATTCGGACTCTGGTCCGTAAAACCCACGAGGTCTGCCGCCAACTAGGACCGTGGGCTGCCGATCGCTTCATCGCGGAAGCCATTTCACAATACCAGGGCTTGCTGATGAATGCTCCCCTGGGAAATGGACGCGACAGCAAGCTGTACCTGTCCCTGTGGTTGCATCGTGTACAGGCTGCTCCTACTGGGACTGGGCCTCTCGACTTCTCAGAAAAGGTGCAACGTCTCGCTCAAGTGCTGCTAGCAGGTCCCAGCGACACAATGGGCATCGTCTTTGTCGATCAGACCGCCACAGTCACCATGCTTGCGCACCTTCTCATGCAGATACCTCAGCTGCGAGCTCGCTTCCGTGTCGGGATGATGGTCGGAACCAGTCAATCGAGCAAACGGACGCAGGGACTTGGCGGATTTCACCGAAAGCTTGGCGACTCCCAGCTCGAACAATTTCGGCTCGGATCACTCAACCTCTTGGTAGCGACAACTGTGCTTGAGGAGGGTATTGACGTACCCGCATGTAACCTGGTCGTTTGTTTCGACCCTCCCCGAAACCTCAAGTCCTTCATTCAGCGTAGAGGGCGAGCTCGGAAGGGGACTGCAAGGCTCGTGTTGCTGTTTGACGACCAAGCAGACCAGGATCAACATGAGAGCTGGCTGGAGCTTGAGAACGAGATGAAGAAGCGTTACCAGGATGATGTCAAACATGTCAAGGAATTGGAGGATGTCGAAATGCCTGAAGTTCCTCCATTCCGCGTCCCAACGACCAGAGCCGTACTTGACTTTGACCAGGCAATATCACACCTACAGCATATCTGCACTCACCTCTCGACGCGACCAGATGCGGCCTCGACACCCTATTATCTGATACACAGAACGGAATCATCAATGTCGCGGCAGTCCCAGATCACAGCGACGGTGGTTCTGCCAGCTTCCTTGCCGGACCAGTTGAGACGGTTCAAGTCCGAGAACTCTTGGTATGCCGAAAAGAATGCAAAAAAGGATGCTGCATTTGTTGCCTTCAAAGCTTTGTACGAGGCTGGCCTCGTCGATGACAACTTGATGCCTCTACGCGCGAGGCTGGACGCTTCGATGCCCGAGGTGAGACCTGGAATGACAGACGCAAAGGAATGCTTCAACCCGTGGGTTGAGATCGCACATGCTTGGACGTCACAACCAACCCCACCTATCTTCTCGCGAAAGCTACGCTTGCTCGATGCCAACAGTGAGCTGATCAACGAAGCAATCTTGTCAATTCCAAAAGACTTCCCAGATATTCCTGGCTTTCCGCTTTATTGGGACCAGAACACAACCTGGACTGTCCGATTGGACGAAATCGTCGATGAAGATGTGTATATGGGCGCCGACCAGGACCAAAGTCGCCCAATTTTGGATGTCGCTTTCGGTCACCGTTTCATCATGCAGGAGCTTCAGCACATTGTCCACATCCGCTTAGTATCCGACAGGCAGCTCAGTCTCACACTGAAAAATGAGCCTGTTGCGGTGACGGCCCAGATTATCCAGAGTCCTCAGTGCAGTCAGTATCTCATCCGAGATGAACACAACTCACCATTCTTTTTTAGTAGTTGGCTTAGTCAAATAACAGAGCCAGACTGTAATACCGGGAAAGCAAAGAAATATGTGGAATTGCACGCAGATCAGCCGTGGCTTGTTCTGCAGAAGTGGCCAAAAAATGTCAACTTTCTGGGTCCATCTGGGTCAACACCGCCAAAGCGTCCAACATTCAGGCCTGTGGTCACGTGCCGGCAGGATACGATTCCCTTCAAGACTATCCAGCTCGGAGCCATCCTACCTTCGGTTTTTCACATGATGGAAACGCACTTGATAGCTCAAAAGCTGAGCACTGGTCTGCTCGCTGGAACTGGACTAAGCGATCTCAGCCTCATAGTGACGGCTATTTCCTCATCCCACGCCAATAAGGAAGCCAACTACCAGCGGCTGGAGTTTCTAGGGGATACGATATTGAAGTTTCTGACCACGGTGACCTTGTGCGCTATTCGTAGGTCCATCAATATCGAGCTATAATGAACTTCACTAATCCAGGTAAACCGATAGGACCGAACTTTCCTGAAGGCTATTTGACCTTGGAGAAGAGCAGTATAGTCTCTAATGCGCACCTCTGCAATGCCACTCTGAGAAGCGGCCTCGATGAATACATTCTCACCGAGCCCTTTACCGGGAGGAAATGGACACCAAAATACGTCGAGGACCTTACCGGGAGCAGTGAAGCCACGGAGCCTCGAACGAGGTCCGTATCAACAAAGACTCTTGCCGATGTCGTAGAGTCGCTGGCGGGGGCCGCTTACATTGAAGGTGGATGGGAGAGTGCAACTAAGTATCTGAGGAAGATGCTTCCAGAAGTCAACCTCCACACGCCCGACGATGCGCGCACCATTCTGCAAAGCCATCGACCTGTATCGCACGAGCTCAGCTCGCCGCTCGCTCCACTCGAGACCCTTTGCGGATACCGATTCAAGAACAAGACGCTTCTTGTTGAGGCCATGACGCATACATCCTTCAGCGCTTTCGCCGAGCCTCCCCCGGATAGCAGCACAAGTCCTGCAGCAGCAACAATAGCAGCAGCCACTCGCTGTGCAAGCCTGGAGCGACTCGAGTTTCTTGGCGACGCTATACTGGACACGATTGTCGTGCAATGCCTGTGGCACGCTACGGACAGGAGCAAGCCACTATCCCATCAGAAGATGCACCTGCTACGGACGACAGTCGTCAACGCGGACCTGCTAGGTTTCCTCGCCATGGAATGGAGCATCACCCAGGAGCGATCGGACATCTCCCCTACCGACCCAGCCAAGATCATCACCAAGCCCAGCCAGCTGCCACTGTGGAAGTTTATGCGCCACTCGAACCCGGCGCTGGGCCTCAAGCAGCAGGTTGCCGAGCACCGCCACCGGCAAGGCCGCGACTTCATCTGGCGTGCGCTGTTTGAGACCTCAGGCACGACGACGACGCCGACGACGACCACTACCACCAACACCACCACCACGTACCCGTGGGCAGAGCTCGCGCACTTGCACATCCCCAAGACATTCTCGGATCTCGTCGAGGCCCTGATAGGTGCGGTATGGACAGATTCGGGCTCGCTTGAGCAATGTGCTGCCGTGGCGGAGAGGATCGGGATCTTGCCCCTGCTCAGACGGCTCGTGGCTGATGGCGTCGATGTGATGCATCCCAAGAACAAGCTCGGCGAGTTCATCCGGGACAGGAAGGTCCGGTATGAAGTTGATGTGCATGGCGGGAGTGCTGGAGGAGGCGGTGCCGATACGATGGAAACACCGGCACCCATCCTGGACTTACTTGTCCAGGATGGGGAAGAGGGCGAAACACCCAGCACTACTGTCAACGACGACGATGACAACACACCAACGAACCCGGCACCGGAACTGTCGATGTCGCCACCACCACCACCACCATCGCTCAGCCCAGACCTCGAAATCCCCGCGGCAGTCCAGGCGCACATCAACAGGGCAGATCAATATACATGCAATGTCTTCGTCGACGAGGAGCTCATCGTCCAGGTCGGCGGCGGGCTGGGCAGGGAGGAGATCATCACCAAGGCGGCAGACAAGGCGTATTCGGTGTTGCTCGCGCGGTGGGGGGCCTCGGGACCGCCACGGACGTCGCCGAAAAGGCAATGAAGTTGCGGCGCAGAAAAGGAATAGTGGGCGCGAGTTTGCACTCAGTATGAGGACGTGGCGGCCATGTACACGGCGGGATTTTCTGGCTGTATTGAACGGCTCGCGTTGGTCCGTTTATGGCTGATCGTGGGACTGGGGAGTCTGAAATGTTGGTCAAGCTGCTCCGTATTAAATGGTGAGAACAAACAAGGCCAGTCTTGACGATTGCTGCTGAACATTGGAATTTCAGCCAGTCGGAAGTAGTCGTGATGGCATGTGACGACAGGGTTACATATCAACCAGAAAGCCGTGGCAATGCCACCATGGAACAAAGAGATTATGAGACAATTGTGAAAGCCCAGCACTTGAGCCTTTTAATGGATTGGAGCGACGAGCTATTCAGATAAAGCAATGCTCACAGCGACAACACTGCTTTCCATTCTCCTCGCAATTCAAAACAAAGCCTGGGTGGCCCCGATGCCTTCTAAACCTGATCCCAAGTGAATCATGCCTAGCCTTAGACCAAAATGTACACCAACGCCTTGAACCCAAACCCTTACATAGAAAACGCCACAAACAACAGAACAATCGCCGAATACGAATGAGTGAAATGAAGAATAGCAACAACTTCCTTGAGGTTGGCCAGGGAGCCCGGGGGCCGTTACTGTTGAGAAATAGCACGAAGGAGTTGGTTGTGATGTGTACGTCGACGTCCAAGTGACGTCAACTTAGAACGAACCGCTGCTCGATCCGGAGCCAGATGATTTGGGGCGCAGTTGCGAGGCTTCGGGGCCACTTTCCGTCGGCGAGGGGTAATTCTGCTTGATCTTTTCATCCATCATCGAAAGTAGCCGCTCCGAGTACTGGTCAAGAAGGCCATTGAGCATGGTATCAGTCATCGCCTTGCTGCGCGTCACGCGATCGCCCAATGCGACGGCTGTGAAGCGCAATTCTTGATCGAGCTCTGCCAGTAACTCCTGGCTGATTGGCTCTGTAGAGACAAGCTTTTTGCGATAACTCCTCAAAGTTCGGCAGACCTGCTCGGTCGCCATGTTCAGCGTGCCATAACCTCTCAGGCTGCCGGCGCTTGCCTTTCTGACAGACTCCCCGAGGGTTTGTGATGACGCACGACGCGCAAGGCGCCCTTTCGGGCTGGTAGGAGGACTGCTATATCGGCTGTCGTTCGATGGCCGCCGGGACGGAGTGTCTTCCGCAATAGAAAGACTCGGACTTGACTGCAGAGTTGCGAGAGGGGTGTGGACCGAGCTCGAAGATGCCAGGTTATAGATGGAACGTCGTTTCGGCAAAGTCCGCGGTGGAGAGCGTCGGGCTATTGAGCCCGCCGATGACGGTGGCCGCTGGAACTCGGCAAGTTCAGCTTTGGACAGGACTCTTCGAAGTGGTGTCCGCCGCACTGTAGATATCTCCTTCTCAGGGGATGGGTCACGATCGCCGGCCCCAAAAGACCGCTGCTGCAAATCCATCTCCCAGATCATAATTGTTCCATCTGATCCAACACTGACGACTCTCCTCTCGTCATTCTCGCCTTGCGCCAGAATGACTCCATTGATTGCCTCGGTATGTCCCCATTCGCGGTCCAAGAAAACCCCGACCTGGGAATCGTAAACTCTGATAGACTTATCAGTATTAGATATACCGAGCAAGAACGGCGGCTCCTTGTCATTCCCGGGCCGGGCGATGAGAGAGTCTAAGACCACGGACTCGATTCCGCATTCGTCAGTGCATTTGAATGAGCTGTTCGCCTTCCCAGTATCCAGTCCAAAAGCGCACACTGATCGATCGAGAAGTGATACGAAGATCGACTTGCCGTCGGGTGCCACGGCCATCGATGTCGGTGAAGCCTTGAGCGGTACGCTCTTGGCAGTGATAGCAGCCAAAACATTCGGGTTATCCTCTCTACTGACAATGTCATGGAACTGCAGGGTTCTGTCAAGCGAGCATGTAATGACCTTCTCTGCAGAAGGCAAGAGGACTTCGACAACTTTCGCAGCAAATTCGAGGGTCTGGAAATGCTCAAACGTGCCATCCGGCATCCTCTGGACCAACTGAGTGATTCGATCTCGTCCACACGAGGCAATGATGAACTTCGAGTCCGTCTCAAACGAGGTGATTGACTGGCAATCAGATGAGTGAACCTTGAGCACTGATACGCATTCTTTGCTTGACGCAGCAATAACACGTAGGACACCGAGTTTGTCGCCAGTGATGAAATATGCTCCACGAGGACTCGCCTTGACAACCGTAAGCTGGTTGACAGCGTCAAGCTCACTCTCAAAGTAGGCTTGCTCCAGAGGCACTTGGAAGGACGACTTCATTTTGCCATCAACGTCCCAAAGGATCATATTTCCAGATCCTGACCACGTGCAGAATGCTGCGCCGGATTCTTTAGGGTTTGCCAGGCTCTCTACGCCCAAGATGGATTCTCCATGGCCGGCCATGGGAACAGCCGGGAGTTCAAGGTCGAATTGAGCTGTACTGTCGCCCTTTTTGCGGATTTCGATAGAGTGTTTCGAGTCGAGAGTGACCAAGCCGTCGTTCACGAAGCCAAGAGCCATAATTCCCGCAGTCGCACTACAGCTGGCGCGAATGCAGTCACCGCTGCCGTTTTCGAAAGCCGCAATATCGAGGATCATAAAGGCGCCATCTCTGCCGCCAAGATATAAAGCGCCATCTTTGATAGAGGCACAGGTGATTGCCGACCCAGCCTCGACAACCTTGGTTAGCTTCATCTGTTTCTCCGAGTCATCGAAAAGACACACGTCGCCCATCTCGGTGCAGAGCACTGCCCTGCTGCTGTCCATCACAGCCGCGCAGGAAAATGTGGCTTCGATCATGTTGCCAAGAAGAACGTTTCTGCCCGGCAGCGTCTTCTGAACCTGAGCGGGCGAACTGTTTTCTCCGTTCATCCTTTTGGTGGGCGACGCCGAACGGCGCTCTTCGACCCTCCAGATCTTGATGTGCCGCACTCCAAAAGTGAGGAGGTTGCTGCCGACCCATACCATGCCTTGCACAAAGGAAGTGCATCTATTCTGCTGGAATAGCCTTGCCGCTCCCGTCCGAGGGTCTATCCTCCAAACGTATAGAAACCCGTCATTTGCCGATCCTAAAGAGGCGAGATACTTGGAGTCCGGCGACCATGCCACTGCGCGGACTCCATAGGTGTGTTCGCTGATGGACACCAGCGGCGTGGTGGAAGATTCCTCGTCGAGGCCGAAAATCAAAACCCGCGGCGCGTATCCAGTCTCACCAACGGCGAGGAATCGCCCCTCTCGACTGAGCGATAGGCATGTAGCAGCCTTGATGCGCTCCCGGCTAGTCCACGTCTTGGAAGAGGGTGACTCTGAAGACCAGTCTATCGCTCCATACGAAGACTCGCGCAGTGAGCTTCGATTTCTGCTGTCATTTGCCTTTGGAGTTGAAGGCATTGAAGGCGAATATGGCAGAGATAGTGTACTGTAGACGGGCACGGCAGTCGGCCTCGCTCTGAAGAACCTTTGCTGACACTCATCGCTGCCCGCGTCTACCACAACGGCCGCCCCACCAGCGGTGTAGGCGAAGGAGGAGCCGACAGTGTCAAAACCAGTCGGCGATGCACAAGTTGTGCCGACGACACGCTTAAGGCTGAAGCGAGACGGCGTCTCTGGGAGCGTACGGCTGCGTAGGGGCGAGCGGCCCCCCGGCCTGGGAAGAAGGAATGGCGAGTTGGACGGCGTCAGCCTAAGGCGATTTGAAGGAGTGGAAGCCATTGTCGTTCCATTGACGGAGTAAGGCGAGGTCTGAGTATATGACTGGAAAGAGATTGAGGCACTGGAGTGAGCATGCCACTCGTGGGCGCGTATGTGTTCGGCCTGTGTTGACAGTTGAGGTATTGAAGACGTTGGGTTCGCAAGCTATGGGTGTTTTGTTTGCAGAGGATATATGGTGATGCTTGCTTGTCGTGGTGGGGTACGCTGAAAGTATGCTGGGACACCAGACGCCCGATTCGAGCCAATGATGACGGCCGCGTTCCGGGAGATGGGTAACCAGGTTATAGCTGGCTGGATATAATGCAGGATGCCTGAATTGACTCGCAATGTGCTGTCACAATTACAATATGAGTTGCCGATAGCTTGGTTGGAGAAAATGATGCTGCACGGCGAGCTGCTGTCAGTGCGCGGCTGCAGCAAGTCGCTGCGGGGGATGGCAGGCACAGAGCATGGGTGGGCAGCGCCTACCAAGGTAAGAAAATGGGAGCAATGAGCGTAGAGAAGCAATGGGAACCAGGAAAGAATGCTTTGCGGGCGTGGTTTGGCTCAAGCCTCCATCGTGGTGCCGCGGGGACGTGATTTCGATATGATCGCAGGTTGGAGCAAAGTTCAGGGAGGCACGAGCCCGCCGAGCGAAAACTTGCGAGCGGATGGAAGATGCAGTGGAGTCGGACTAGGCATTGATGATAAGATGGATCTTGGGAGAAACACTCCTGCTAAGGTAAGTAGGCTTCGACCGTCATGCGGGCTGTTTGCGCTCGAGTATGGTGGTTGCATGAGCGCCGCCAATGCTGGGTAGCAGTCGTGGTGGAAGATGGCACGAGAATCGTCGTGATCAACAGGGGCACGGCACACACACAAAGGCGAGGCGCGCTTTTGCTGAAAATCGACGCGGTCTGCCAGAAGATAATGAAGATAACCAACGTCGAAAACGTCAGGGAGGTCATTCATTCCCTTGCCGGCCTTGGCTGGACTCCTCATCTGCAGCCCTGGATCTGCTCTGGGTGGCTTGTTTTGGCGCCGGTCCACCGGTTCAAGGTTTGTTTGGGCGCGGCTGGGGAATTGGTTGGACCAGGGGGTTGGCCAGGGGACTTCAGGCACGCCAAGGACCCCAGCATGGCACTCTCCGCTTCCAAGGTTGCCATCAGCTCACTTGTGGTGGCTGCACACAAGAATGTCACTCCAACGACGGGTCTTCTTCCTTGATTCACTTGCATCTTCTCACCAGGTGCGGAGACACGCAAGCAACGTCGTGAGCTGCAACAATTCAATGCGCGTGGGTCAAGGTCGGATGTGTCAAAGGCCCTTCCCTGTCCCGCCCTAAGCTCGACTAATAACAGCTCTGCGAGTCCCAACGCGGCATCGCGGCACCCCAGGCTCGCGCGACCCTGGCCCGGCACAGCAGGCCGTCACCGTCGCGTTTGGTGGACTCCAGACTCCGATCCCTGCTCTTTCAATTTAAATCACATCCTGTCACATTACCGATCTTCACTGACTTCAGGGGCCGTGTTGGTTCGAGGCAGCTACAAGCAGACGTGTGTAACGGCAACGAGCCCGTTTCTCAATCGACATGAATAATGGGTGCATCACTCCATGCTCTTCTCGTAAACAGGGATGCCGCTACTGTTGCTACATGTTGTACATCTGCGCTGCTGTCGAGCCTATCACACTAGATTATCGCCAAGCTTCTTATGAGGACTCTCATTCTCCTCCTCAAGGTCCTCCGCTGGCCGTTGCGGCATGTACGGATACTCTGTGCGCGGGCCTGACCTCTTCTGGTTCCAGCTCGGGTCTCGCACAACGCCCTCCTTGCGCCAGCGCCGAGGCGGCTTCTTGCCCAGCTCCGCCATGTGGCCCCAGATACGCTTGCCGCGCTTGAACCAGCGGTCCTGGCGATCAATGTCCTCCTCCGTGGTCGGCTGCCACTTGCTCTTGAGGATGCGGCGAATCGCTTCGGCCGAGACCTCAAACTTCTTGGCGAGCACCTCGGTGGTATATTCCTCGGGAAACTGCGCGTGCAGGGCTCTGATGCCGTCGAGCGCGTCGGGAGACAACCGTTTTCGTGGACTCCACCCTTCGGGAAACTTTTGCGTCAACGCAGTCTTCTGGATCTGCCATGTTTCCTTCTCTGGTCGCGCCTGGTCGGCCGTGACATGCTGGGTCTTCTCCTCCTTGGGCAGAATCTTTCGTCTGTAGAGTTGACTGCTGTTGCCGCTACGTAGCTTTGGTCCGCCCGTGTGGTCATCGGCGAATTTGCGTGGGCCTCGTTTCCTGTCCGAGTATCGTGGTGTGCTTTGGCTCAGTGCCGAGATTGATTCGGGTGACAAGTCTAGAATGGCGCCGTTGGCCATCCCTCTGTCTAAGAGTTCCGAGGAGACAGGCAGCTCTTGGCTGGAACTGCTGGCTGTCGCCGCATGATTGCTCGCGTGCCCGTCTTCTTCCTCCCCAGACCCATCCTTGTTCTGTGTTCTCAGCGCGGTGGCACCAAACTGTCGGGCGATGGGAGGACCAGCTCGCAGGCTCCGGAAGGCCGGCTGTGTCCTTTGCGGATTCAGCGCGGGGAATAAGTGGCTGGCGGTGGTGTTGGACACTCGGAGGCCAGTTAAGCTCCGAACGAAAATGCCCAGAGTTGTTGTTCGGCAGGAGCAGCTCATGGCGGAGTGGTCCAAGGCGAGCCCTCGGAGGGCCGGAGGAAATAGTGATAACGTAAAATAAGAGGCGAGTATGCTACTGGATACCCGACATGGAAAACGTGCAGGAGCAAGTTGTCCTGTTGCGAAAGCTCGAGGCAGTCTGCAAGCAAAACCCGAAGAAATTGGTTGCGTGAAAGCACGATAGCCGCGCGACTCTGCACAATGGCGGCCACGGATAAGGCAGCACGATAAGAAGTTTAGAGACCTCTCTCCGCCATGGAGGCTTACTTAGCCTACCCCACTTCAGCATCCATGCTCAACTGTCATGGCGAGCGAGCCGATCGCGGGTTTAAAGATATGACAGCATTATGGAGCTCGGAGAATGCGGTTGCAGAATGTGGCTCAACTTGCGGCGGCGCGGGACTACTTGGCAGTGTGCAGGCCGAGAAGTGCGCGCATGTGTCTCAGAGATCTCTCTTCACGACTGCAAGTTGACTGGGCAGAAATCCTCGATCTGGTGGCTGAAGCTAGAGCACGGAAGAATGCAAAATACCCCGGTGTCTCGCAGACTTCATTGTGCCAGAATCATAGTAACGAACCGGGGCAGAAAAGCCATTGCAAGGGCCGGCACCAGCTCAGCTTGCAACCAACAAGATGCTTCGTTCCGAAAAGACGGCCACGTGAACACCGTGGTCCCCTGTGAAAGTCCTCCCCGAGCGATAGCGATTCGAGCTTGGGGTAATTATGGCGGTCCGGCACCCGAGTGGTCATCGTCATCCATTGCCTCCGCACCCACACCACCACTACTGATAACACCGTCCAGTTCCAGAGGCGGCCGCGCTCAAGTGCCCTGCCGGGCGTACTTGCACTGGTCATCCATAATACATACTTGCTATTCAACCCCGCTGCCTCTAGGCTCGATGTGACCGCGCTGCTTCCCGCTTTCGGCAGCCAGCAGTTGCTGGACCTTGCAGTCTTCGCGATGCTATCCCCATGCAACGACATGTACTCTTTAAAGCGGCGGCCGTTGTACACTCTCGCAAGGCCTGACCCCTCTTCCAGCACAGCCATAACAAGCACTTCTTTTGCTCAACCATGAATGCATGAGAAAGAAGACTTGTATTTGACATTCCAAGAACGAACCTGTCCACTGGGCCCCTCTGGATATAGTTCGACGTGCAAGCCCGTCATTGAGCATTTCCATGGTATATTCCAGCATGTAGAACGCTGCCACCAGAACGCATTGCCATAATTCCATCAGAATCTGCCTGTCTTACAATCAGGAGCAGCATTTAGCATCCCTGACTTACAAGCCAGCATCTTCATCCACGATGCCGCTGAAAAAGTGGCAGCCCATAGACGTCGACACGTACGGCTGGAAGGAGCGCTGGGGCGCAAAGTTCTACTGGACCCCCGAGCATCACAGGCCAGAAGATCTCGAGAAGCTCATCCACTCGTACGACACAGTTGCCGCCGAGGCCCTGGATCGACTAGACGAGCTCGTGCCACCACCCTACGCCAACAAATCCGTCGACACCAACATCAGGGAGCACAACATCGAGGGCGGCCTCAGGCCAGATGGCGGGAAGAAGGAGCGCAGGGACCTGTACGAGCTGATGGGCAAGTATGCCAACGAGGACGAGAAGATTGGGCGGTTCTGGAGGTCGATACACACCGTGCCCGACTGGGTGGACTGGGAGCAGATCGAGCGTGGACAGAAGGTGTTTTGGCGATATGGCGGGCCGTCACTGACAACTGTAAGTCGCTACATCCCCCTTTCTAGATTTCACGAGTTTCTTCCCCCTTTGGTCCAGATGATGCGTACTCTCCAACTTCCACCATGACTGACGGAATGACACAGCTCACCTTCATGTCCCTCCTCGGCGGCATGGGCAGCGGCAGGACCGTCGCGACCCTCGACCGCACAGGAGGCTTCTCCGCCAAGGTGGTGAAGCGGCGCCTCCTCGAGACAACCCAGCACACACTCAACGTCCACAAGGACCTGGCATCCATCCAGCCAGGAGGCGACGGCTTCGTCAACTCGGTCCAAGTCCGCCTCCTGCACGCGACGGTGCGCCAGCGGATCCTCTCCATGGCCGCCGAGCGGCCCGGCTTCTACGACGTGGCGACGTACGGCGTCCCCGTCAACGACCTCGACTGCATCGGCACAATCAACACGTTCTCCTCGACAGTCGTCTGGCTCGGCCTGCCCCGGCAGGGGATATACATGCGCGAGGGGGAGATTGCCGACTACCTCGCCCTGTGGCGATACATTGCATACATCATGGGCACGCCGGACGAGTGCCTCGCCACGCCAAGGTCGGCGCGGATCATGATGGAGTCCCTGCTCGCCTCCGAGATCAACCCGACGCAGTCGAGCGCCGTGCTCGCCAACAACATCATCACCGGCATGTCGGGCACCCCGCCCACGTTCTCGAGCCCCGGGTTCATGGCCGCCCAGGCGTACTGGCTCAACGGGAGGCCGCTGTGCAGCGCCCTGCAGATCCCCCCGCCGACGCCGTGGTACAGTGCCCTCGTGCTCGGGCAGTGCATGCTCTTCGTCACCATGACCCAGCTGAATCGATGGTTTGCCAGCGTGGACGAGTATAATATAAAGGTCAGTACAGTCGTTCAGCCCGTTCATCCATCCAAACCCAAAACGTTCGTTCTTGCCGCGCGACAAAAAAAAAAAGTGCTCACGATTTCCTGCTTCGCTCAGATGCTCAAAAAGATCCTTTACCACATCATCCTGCAAGACAAGTCTAAAGGCGGCCTCGGCTACACGACGCGCTTCAACTTCAAGTATGTTCCGCATTTCGACAGGATGAACACCGAGCAAGGGGTATACGATCTGCCGCCGCGCTCGATTCTGAAACCTGGCGTCGAGCGCACCGCGCTCATTGGGCTTGTCATGGGCACAAGCCTGATGTCGTTAGGCGTTGTGGGCGGTGTGAAGATCGGTGGATGGCTGCTGTCAAGATTATCGACGCCGCAACGTTAGAACTGTCATGTGATGCAGAGCGATCAGAAACTTATCCATTGGCCCAACCTTACTTGAGGTTTCTTCGTGTGTATTCCAACGTCCCCATATTCACGCCAGGATCTAAAAAATGGCTGAGTGATGCTGAATTTCGGTATGAAGTTCTATGGCCAAACCCACCTCAAATCACAAGCCCCATCATCGAAAGTGCTGTGCATATGTATGCTTGATTGCTTTTATACTATTGACTGCCGGGAATTCCCACAGTCCAAGACCATTATTTAAAATGCTACGATCGCTTCCCAAAAGCCTTGATCTCCAACGCCTGTTCCAGTCAAGGGATATTTGTATGTACATGCTACTCGCGCAGCTATGATGGCTCGAGAATAGAGCGGCCATCTAAAAGGGCTTTACAGTATTTACAGATTTTTAAGTCGAGAGAACCCTCGACTGACGTCGAATCAAGCATCAGCCATCATGAGCTCGACAGGCGGTCTCGAAGTATGAGCCAAGATGGGCTTCTCGATAGGGCTCAGTGCGCCAGGTGAATCAGTCATGTCATCAACTGAGATGGCAGGCAGACCAGGGCTGCCACCGTGCGCCTCAGGTTGGTAGATCAGAGTGCTGCTCCTGCTGCGTGTCCGGCCACCGAACGAGGCTGCGTCAACCGGTGAGACAGGTGTGACCTCGGCCGCATCGGCGGTCGGGCGATGGTGCAGCTTGGCAAGGGCATCCGCGAGATCCTCAGCATGGACCATGGTGTTGGGAGCATCCTCAAGCTTCTGCTCCCAGCCGTGGGGTGGCGAGGGAGGGGGGCTGATGAAGAAGAGCTTGCCAGCATCGGGCAGCTCGAGGTGCTTGTCCTTGGCGTCCTGGTTCAATGGCGTGGGCTGTCCGAAGTAGACCCGGGTGCGCTCGCCCATGATCAGTTCGTTGTCCCAGATCTGGCGAACGTTGATCGCAGCCTGCTCGTCGTAGAAGGACACGATGATGCGGCGGAAGGACTTGAGCGGCGACCAGGTGTAGACTGGCGCAGTCTTTTCGATAAGACCGCGAATGGTCTGGAGGTTGTCGGGGCGGAAAATGTCTACGTCGTCGAGGTTGGTGATGAGCAGGGTGTTTGTTGGCGGAGTGGGCTGCTGGAGGGGTGGCAGGTTGGTGAGGTCGAGAGACAGCGACTTGTTGGACGAGGGGCGGCGGGCAAAAATGGGCCGCGTGGGCGAGCCCAGTGACGATGTAGGTGATGAGGTTCCAGACATGGCTGTGGTGATGTATAGTCGTGGCGACAAGACGAAGTTGCTCTCCAGTCTATCTAACGTGGGCAGGCCAGGGTGACGCCGAGGCTGGGTGGCGTGTAAGTGGAGGCCGATGGTGGCGGTGGGATGTCGCAAAGTGGGATAATGTATGGGTGAAAGGCGCCGAGTTGTTTTTCTGATGGTGAATGCTCACTCGAACTGGGTTCTGTGTAAGTTTGAAGAGAGCTGTGGGCAGGTGAGGCGAGAAGGAAAGAGAGCAGCAGGTGCGGCGGCGTTATATCGTGTCGATGGTGGGCGGAAGGGGGCTGTACAGTCGATGGCAAGAGGAGGAGTCGTCGAGGCGAGGAGGAGCAGCAACGCAGGTGGAGCAGGGCCAAGTGACGGGAAGGCGCACATGGCGCTGGCGGCGGGTCCGGCGCAGCTTCACTGTGGGGGGTGGCAGGGAAGTGACAAACAACCTCGCAGACAAGCATTGGCTTCGCATTCTCCACAAGGGCAGAGGCTATCGGCGGAGGACCGACAGCACCCAAGCCGGCCTGGCTGGCTTGGCCCTCACTCTCCTCATGCCTCTTTGAGTCTCGCTTCGTGGCAGTGCAAAACCACAGTCACTCCTCCTCCTCACGCAAGGGGCTTGTCCGTGGCCGCCAAGGTGTGTCTCGCGACCGTCGGCGTAAAAACTCTGCAAATTCGCCGTCTCTGGCCGTCTCCCGCGCTCTGCTTGACGAAACTGACTCTGTTATCTCGCACAGCGCTGCAGCTCCATTATTCAAGACGTCCAGACCACACGAGCCTGCATAGCCGCCCGGCCCTAGCGTCTGGACTGCACCAATACTGTGTGGTCCTGGCCAGGAGGACCTTCCTCGCCTTCGTGTCCTCCAAGGCTGTCCCTGGCTGGCTGGTGGAGCTCTGCGTTGTGGCTCTGCTGCTCTCCCGGCGTTCTGCGCCAATGCGAGGCGGCCTCTTGTGCTGCCCGTTGAGTCCGCCAGCAGATCACTGCCGGCCTGGGAGACAAACACCTGAAGAGCCCCCTCCTGAGATGCCACGCTCTGCATTCTAGACCAATGTTGGTGCGTATGTCTCACCTGCAAGCTGATAACGGCGGTGGACTTTCTCTACCTGCGACTTGGAATGTCTGGATTTCCGGCTGCAGGCATGGGGCAAGTTTGTGCTCTCCTTTACCGTGCAGCACAGCTAATATCCGCCTGGTGATTCTGGCGCACGCGCAATACGGCTGTGCAGCGTCTTGCGCGTCCCGCACTTTCCCTCCTTCGTGTTCATAATCTTATTACCGTGGCCCGGCTGACTGACGAGCAAGGCGAAACGAGGAGGCTCAGCTGCTCGTCCTTTGGTGAGGCTTGGCGTGAGATGGAACAGTGTGACGCGGGAGGCTTGGGTGCCGGGTCTTGTGCATTCCACCCGCGACCACAAGTTTCGAGTTTAACCCCGATGCCATCGCCACAACAATGCCGTCCGGCCAGCCCTGTCTTGTGGCCTCAGCAACGTCATTTCCAGTGGGCGGTCCAGCACAGTCAGGACCAGCAGTTTTCCACCTGACCTCGCTGGCTCCCTCCAAAGCTCACCACGCCAACTGAACGGCATATGGGCTCGGAGCTCTCGTCATTTCCCCATTTTCGCCGATTCCGTACTGCGCCGCGCGAGCACTGCCAGACGTGATCGCCCTACCCCGTGAAACAGTAGTAGTTCAGTTGGATCAACTGCGCCTATCGCAAAAGCCTCCGCAGGCAGAGCGAGCCCCTGGCTAACAGCACCGGCAATGGCCACCAAGCTTTTGTTTCCTGCTCATCCTTGCCCTCTACGGTCCCGTGTACGCACAGTCGATCCGGGGAGGGCGCGGCAATTTGTCACAACCCCGTCCGGCCGAGGCTAGCTGTCAACTCCGCCCCGCAGCTCTACAAATGTTCATGATGTTGGGTTTACTGCGTACCTGCACTGCCAACGGCGGCTCCCCTACGTTGCCTCGTCATTTCCAATGCGAGGGCCAATCTCACCGGAATGAGTACGCACAGCTGCCGCCTGAGCTTTCACTCGTACCGCTTTGGCGCAGCACGTCAGCCGATCACACAGCCTCGCTTTCCCCATGCCGCTTGTTCTGCGTACAATGCTGCATCACGCTCGTGATTCTCCCAGGCATCAGTAGCGTAGAGATTCTTCATTCTCCCAATAGGACCTTCTTGATCAGCGCTGATTGCCGTCAACGATGGCACTTAAACAGTGAAAATGGTTCTCGAAATACATGCACGTCTGGCAGGTATTGCGATTCCTGACATGCGCTCATTTCTTTATTTTATTACTTCCTCGATCTCGACAGATTCATACAGACATACATCTCGTTTGACTAGAGAAGTGCTAATATCTTACACAAATGGGGCGACGCTGAGAGCACACTGCCACCACCAAAGCATGAATGTGAACTGGTTCGAACTGCCTGGTCCGAGGTAAAGGTGCAAAATGCCTTGGAGTTTGACAAATGTAGGCGCACATCGGTGATGGCGCAGCACACTCCTCAGCATCTTGTGGTACCACACGGCCCTTACCGAATCTCGACACCCAGCTGCTCGACCAGCGCCGCCGTGACGGCGTTGTGCATGGCGTTGGCCTCCTCGTGCGTCAGCGTCTTCTCCAGGCTGCGGTAGTTGATGCGGTAGCACATGCTCCGCCGGCCGGTCTTGGGATGCGTGAACTCGTCGACGAGCTTGACGTCCTCGACGTCGTCGCCGCAGAGGCTGCGCACAATCTCCATGACGTCGTTCTCGTGAAAGTCGTGCGCGTTGGCCTTGACCGCCCCGCCGGCCGAGGACGTCGACTTGAGCCAGAACGACACGTCCTTGGCACACCCGGGATACTTGGAGAACGGGGTGAAGAGCTTCAGGGAGTCGAGGTTGTCCGAGACGCCGCGGAACTGCCGCGTGAAGCGCTCGTCCTGGGACCAGAAGAGCCGGATGTCCGGGATCTGGAAGAGCAGCATGGCGATGCGGTCGAGGCCGATGCCAAACGCCCACCCGAGCTGGTCCGGCACGCCGGCATTGTTGTACAGTGCCTGCTGGACCACGCCGCTGCCCAGCACCTCGAGCCAGTCGCCCGCATAGTAGACCTCGAGCTCCCACGACGGGCTGGTGAAGGGGAAGAAGGCCTCCACCCAACGCACGGCCAGCGGCTCGTCGTTGAAGTCCGGGTCGGCGCGCTTCGCGGCCGCCTGCGCCCGCGTAAAGATCTCGACGACCATGAGCTCGAGCGAGCGCTTCAGGTGCGCCGCGATGGCCTCGGCCTCGGCCTCTGAGTGATACTTGCTCTGCAGCGGGTTCCTGTCCTTGTGGAAGGGCGGGTTGGGGTCCTCGACCTTGATGTTGTGCTTCGGTAGTTTTTCTACGTCCGACCAGACCGCGGCGGCAATGTCGCCATTGGGCACCTTGGTGCGGTCCCAGCTCCGAGCGCCCTCCATCTGGTGGAAGATGGGGTAGTGGCTGCGGTCGACCTCGTCGCGGCGGTAGACATCGGCGCTGACGAGGTAGCCGTCGCTGAGGTTGGCGCGGAAGGTGTCGGCCTGGTGGGCGCTGGTGTGGGTGCGCAGGAGCGTGTCCTTGTTGATGTAGTATGTGTCTGACTTGGCCCTGCCGGGATGGTCAGGCGCGAAGCCCAGCGAGTCAAAGTTCTGGTGCGTCGTGACGACAGGCTCAAAGTTGTTGTGGTACTTGTACGTCGGGCTAGGGAAGACGGACTCGAGGATCTGCCGGGTGATGCACACGGGGTGGTCTTTGACGAGGTGCAGCTTGCGGGGGACCTTGTCGATGATGTTGCGCGGGACATTGAACCAATCGTCCGTTGTGTATTTCGTGCCTTGTATCTCGACTGTGCCTTTATGTTGCTGCTGCTGCTGTGGTGCTGCTGCTTCGCTCGACAATCTGGTCAGATGCTCAGGTTTCTCAGGTTGCGGGTGGATCAGACCCTGCAAATCGCCCGTTGGGAGACTGACCTGCTGAGGACACCCACCGCTGCCGCAATCGCGCCGGCGGCGGCGGCGCCACAGCTGTCCTCCATAGCGATCGCGCTGTGAAGCTCACAGGAGCTTTATGTTGGCTGCGACAGCTTGTCGCCAGCCGTGTTGCCCACATCGTGGAATCGTTGTGTAGGGCATGCGAGGAGCAGGCGCTGTCGTTGAGCTAGAGCATTCGACGATTTCTCATCCAGCATTTAGGGTGGGGGGAACAGTGTCAGTGCCCCCTGGCACTACCCGGAATGCGCCGGCGCAGTGCCACCTTGGCTCCCCCAACTGAACGTCTGTGGAGATCATACAGGATCAGATTTGGAGAAAGCCCCAATTCTTGCTGGAATGTCGTCATGCTTCGAGCAGAGGCTAGTATTGGTTTGACATGATTTTAGGTCGGCTATTGTTGCCCGCGAATATGGGGAAACAGACGGCCGTTCGCTATACTTTACTGAGTCCATTTCCCAATCCAACCTTGGAAGCCTCGAGACTCAGCGTTGCGTTGGATCGTCTGGCATGCAACAACATCCATATGCGCTGTCAGGACATGCAGCATAGGACGGCGAAAAGTAGTAACATGGTTTTAAAGATACTAGAGCAGCCGCTTTCCTGTGAAATGCTGGCTACCAGCACTTCGGCGTGACTGGAAGATTGACATCTGGCCCAATGAGCATGGCATGGAGCGAGACCTTGACCCTCCTAGACACGTATTCATCGGATCATCTTGGCAAACAGCAGCAGACTAGGAGGAGCCCTTTTCGATCTCTGCTCATAGGTATCTGCTTGTACTCGCCAAGTCTTGGGTGTCCTAAATCACATGTCTTGTTGGGGGTTCCATCGGGTGGTCCCTCCCCCGCGGTGCCTGGTGCGGAGGAAGAACCTTAAGAAGATGCCCCAGCTTTCCAGTTGGAGACGACCTGGGCTGACGCCTCGGGAGAAAACTCCGGGCCGCAGACAGCGCGAGAAAATCTATGGCCGGTGGTTGCCCCCACGCACGCACGCCGCCCTGCAGGCCCACCCGCGCGCAACCTCCAGGGCTCGACGCTTGGCTCGCTTTTTTCGAGCCGCTGTCGTCACTCGTCGATTTTCCGGGCTTCTCTACAGGTGCCTTCCTCGACGCTGTCACGACCACCACTCGCCCCTTGCTCTCCGTGCAGTCTGCAGACGGTCCTCTCGGCATCGGCCATTCTTTTCACAGTCGAGCGTCAATCTCACACCTGCCTGTCCGTCTCCAGTCTCCCCGCCGAGCCGGTGCGTTGGATGAGACACTGCCCAGCAATCCCCGCAGTGTTAGTCGCCAGTGTAGCTGCTTCAATGGCTGGCGCGAGCTCGCTCTTTCTCCCATAGATATGTCAGTATCCCCGTCGTCTATTGAGCTCTGGAGTTATCGTTGCCGAGTTTTGGGCCCATATCAGAGGACGAATTGTCTTCCGGCATACGTTCCCCTTAGACGAGCAGACACGAGATCACACCGCTAACCTTGTCCGTCAACATGTCAGCCCTCTCAATGCCCGAAACAACAGCCCCCCCCGTGGCCGCGGCGGAACCGCCCGCGGCGCCCACGACAAGGCCCAGGAGACAAAAAAAGACACCAGTGTTGCCCAAGCAGGTCTCTTATCCGTTCTGGTTTGGAGGAAGTGCCAGCAGCATGGCGGCGTGTGTGACACATCCCCTGGATCTGGGTATGTGTGACCTGTGAAAGTGCCCCAAAATCGACCACTTCCTTGTGGACAAGATGATTCCTGCTACTCCTGGTCAATGTCATGTGCTGACATCGAAATCATGAATGTGATAGTCAAGGTTCGGCTACAACTACGCGCCCCCGATGCACCAAAAAACATGACCGGCACCTTGATGCATATCGTCCGGTCAGAGGGTGTCACCGGTCTATACCGGGGTCTGACAGCCTCCCTCCTGCGACAAATGACCTACTCGACCGTCCGCTTCGGCGTCTACGAGGAACTCAAGCGCCGGGCTGTCCCCGAGGGCGAAAAGCCATCTCTCCCATTACTCATCGGCCTGTCCGCCTTCTCCGGGGTGCTCGGCGGCATATCCGGCAACGCCGCGGACGTCACCAACGTGCGGATGCAGCAGGACTCCGCCCTGCCGCGGGACCAGCAGCGCGGCTACCGCAACGGCCTGCACGGCATGTACCGCATGTTCCGCGAGGAGGGTTTGCGCTCGTGGTTCCGCGGCGTCGGCGCCAACAGCATGCGCGCCGCGCTCATGAACGCCTCGCAGCTCGCCAGCTACGACACGTTCAAGGTCATGCTTATGACGCACACGCCCCTGGGCGACACCACCACGACGCACTTTGCCTCGTCCCTGCTCGCGGGCTTCGTCGCCACCACGATATGCAGCCCCGTCGACGTCATCAAGAGCAGGGTCATGAGCGCCAGCGGCAAGCAGGGCATCGCGAGCCTGCTCTCCGAGATCTACGCCAAGGAGGGCGTCCGGTGGATGTTCAAGGGATGGGTGCCCGCCTTCTTGCGTCTGGGACCGTAAGTACAAATCATAGACCTCCCTTATGTGTGGTCTTGTTGAAGAAAGACGTCTCTGTCCTTCAAATGAATCAAGATGGACGACAGGAGCTCATTCAGCTGACAATTCGTTCCCAGTCAAACAATCTGCACATTCCTCTTCCTTGAGGCCCACCGCAACGCGTACAGGAAATTCAAGGGTCTCGATGCTTAAGACACCCGGCCCTCCTGCCGTCTGGCGTGAAAAGACTAGGCGGTTGCGCCGGGCGGGACTCAGGCCAGTGTGGCAATGGAGACAGCATGGTTGATTGGACTTTGTTTGGATTCACATTCAAATAGGGCACGGCGTTCATGGGGGTCACTTTTTTTCCCATTTCTTTTTGGGGGTTTTCTTTTCTCCATAGACTTTGGCCGTGCAGTTGTGGTAGCATTGCATTTTTTCTTTACCCGGTGGTGCCAGTTGAGGCAAGCACCCCCCGGGAGAGGGAATATACGCATAGAGATATATATATACCAGTATACAGGGCAAGTCTCAGGACGTCCAAAACATTGCATGGGAGCCAACAAGTAATTCACGTGAGGCGTGGCGGGATTATGACCATGCGCTGCTTGTGGCTATTCTATTATGCAATGACCTTGTATGTACAGTTGGGCCTGGATACCTGCCTTTTTGGTGAGCACGCCATGCTATCTCCTTGCGCGACATGACTTGTCGTGGACACTGGCAGACACCAGCTACCTGGATGGCTCAGAGTAGTGCTGAGGTATTTCGTGTCGCCTTGTATTCATACTTCATGGTGGCGCCCTTTCCAAAGCCCAACCAGGACGACTAGGACGCCTCATTTTTCAATTACCGAGGCTGTGCCATTTGCTGTACACCGCATCAAAGAGCAGTCGGCATGGTGTGACAATGCAGCCAGGGATGCTTTCCACTTTGTGGTCCAGACAGCCCACCGAATATCTCGCAAAACGTGACGGGCGTCTCAGCCCCGACCGTTGCATGGCGAGCCACGGAGGCACCTTAGCGGCAAGGACGTTCATGCCCTCCAGCACATATGACCTTGCGCGCCGCCTAGCTCCAGCCAGTACCACCAGAGTTGCCGTACGGCGTGGTTCCGTACGCGGTCGCACCACCACCCCAAGCACTTTGATTTCCGGTGTTGCCGTACGGTGTGGTGTAGCCCTGGTCTTGCCAGCCGCCTCCCGCATCCATGGCGTCTGGACTCCTGGGCCCGTCGTAGTCCCCATTCGCGCCGTCGTTTCCTTGCAGACCTTGTAAGAGCTTCGCAAGTTTGTTTTGTAGCTCTTGGATGCCTGCCTGCACAATCTGGTTGGGCGCCATGCTGCCTACGCCTTCTACCTCGAAATAGAACCGCGAGGGCACCGCATCGTAGTCGAAGGGCTCCCCTTCCGCCGGAGGGTCTTCCCACTGCGCGTACTCGCTCTTGGGCCTGATGTGCCATATTAGCGACACGTTTCACCAACAGCCGAAAGATAAGGACTCCTGTCACTGACCATTCCTTCTCCGCATCCTGCTCATACCACAGATCTATGTGGTGCAGCTTGTTGTGCGGATCATATTCGAAACCAACAGCAGCGGTCGGTGACCACTTTGCGTGCTCCTTGGAGATGCCCTTCTTCGCAATGCACGTGAGCTTGATTTCCTGTCCTTTCCGGAGCTTGCAAAGCAGAGGACCCTGTCCTTCAGGATCGACAATGACGGGATTGCCGATGGTCTGCGTTACTCGCTCGTGGCCGACCACTAGATCTCTGGCATAGACTTTGGTGATCTCGTCCGAGTTGCACTTGGCGTGCAGGGTGAGGAAGATGGCGCACTTCTCGCAGGTCGAGTCGCAGTTGGTGCAGTCGCGCGCAAACACCATCTGGTCAATATCGGTCGAGTCGAGAGGGATGAGCCCCATTCTGTGTGCGATGAACTCGTCGGCGAGCACTGTTGTGTTGATCTCGATGTCGACGAACTCGATGGCGACGGTCGGCACCTCTCCTTGGATCACCCGGCGCAGGGAGTTGGCAAAGGCCAAGTCGGTATTGCTAAGCTCGAACTTGATGCTTGTCGCATCTGCCTGAAACATTACAGTCATCAGCGACTCGTCCAAAACATACCGTGTAGCCAGCAGAGTTCGCCACATACCGCCGAGATCTTGACGTTGGCACCGAGGTTCTCCTCGATCATCATCGCGTCGTAGTCCATCGTGCCTAAATGGGTGCAGCCCGGTGGCTGCGGCGACTATGTGGCCCGAAGGTCAGAGTGAAGGAGCGGACGACCGAGAGGAGAGTCGGGACGGCGCCAGCAGCGTTGTGTGGGAGAAGAACGTGGCGGTGGATGTGGTGTCGGGAGGTTTGCAAGCAGGGCAATGAAATATCCAGAAGATGCGACGCCCGCAACGCAACCCTTGGGAAGGCAAAAGGCAAGCCACGCTAGTACAATTTGGGATGGTCTGTGCCTTCCGACAACTGCTCAGCATCCGGCAGGCAATCGCAATTAGCATGCCATAATAATGGTGTCAAGGCAGCAACACTGGGCGGAATTTACAAGGGTTTCCCAAGAGATCGGGATAGAATCATGGGCTATTCCCCAACGTGACAATATTTTTTTAATTTAGGTAGTGGCAAGCTTTGTATACACGGTATGAGAATTCGTCACAACAGCTTCAGGTGCCTCCAAGGCACACGAGTGCTCGTACATAAGAGAGCTCTATCACAAATGACTCCATCCTTTCCCAGCACGCTTATTGCTCCTTGCGTGCATGTTGTACTTCTCCTGCCAGCCTGTCCAAGCCCAGACACGATGAAGCTTGCACTATTGGGTCATCACAGGCATTGTCCAGAATTATCAGCCCCATCTCACACCGCCCTCACGAGGAGATGGTCTATTGACTTGTCACACCAACAGCTCTTCTCCACAGCCCTGGTCCAGCCAGAGACAATGATGAAAAGGGGGTTCGCGTCGCCTGGAGGCAGTGTAATACCAGGGACACGGTGGGCAGCGATCATGCGCAAGCACAGAGGACCGCACCCGGGTGATAAAAATTAGATTAATATTGATTGTTCTCCTTAGAGAACTTTCAGATATTAAACTGAAAAGAACAGATACTACACTTGATCTAAGCCAAAAGGCAACTGTGAGGCATTGTTAGCACCTGCGTGCGAAGAGTCCCGGAGACCCCAAGTATGGGGGTAGGGTTGGTAACTTACAGAGAGCTGAAGAACTCGAAGCCAATTTTTGGGAGGGTGCCTGGCGGTTTATATATTCTGCGGACGGCTGCCGGGCGGTGTGGCTGATGGCAGCCTCGCTGTTTCTGCCAGTGCAGCCGGGGAGCAGCCCCATCAGTCTCCACTCACTTGTGAGCCCAGGCCAGGCCACAGCTTCAAGCTCGACAGTTGCAAGCCTCGAGGGCCACGGATTGGGATGAGCCAGCTTGAGAGTTGGCAACAAGGATGGGTGACTGCATCTGAAACCATGAGCTGGACTTGCAGCGGCATATTATCGCCGAGTGAACCTGTGCATCACAATAGTTGCTCTCAAGAACCGCCCAGCCACTCACAGATCCCACCGCTGGATCCTGTCAATTCCTCTGGCCCGAGCCGGGGCTGCCCACCCGCTCAGTGGCGCCCCGGCGCCGGGACAGCTTTTGCCATGGCCTTCCACCACATGCCGCACCTACAGCTGTAAATCTTTTACGGTGCAGTGGCGGCGTCACACTCCTTCACACGACACCATCCACCGCAACCGCTCCTACTTGTCTCAACCGCAGCCATACCCTCTCTCTTGCAGTTACTGCGTCCCCTGTACAAGACAACATGTTCAGACAAGCCATCAACACCTCTTCCAGAGCGCTGCGCTCATCCTCCTCGAGGCTCGTCGTGCGTTCCCCCGCCATGCGCGGCCAGTTCGCCCCAGCTCCCGCAGTTTCCTTCAGACCCGCGTTCGCTCCCCAGTCAAGATGGTACAGCGAGCAACCCGACAACACAGCAACCAAGAAGGAGGGCGAGGAGGCGAAGTCAGAAGAACCCGCTCCGGAAAAGCCTGCCAGCGGCGAGTCCGAGGTCGTCGCTGAGCTTAAGAAGAAGCTTGAGGCCAAGGAGAAGGAGGTGCTCGACTGGAAGGTGCGTTACCCAGTTGTGATGCAGTCCAGCGACTGTCCCTGTGCATTAAGCTAACAGCTGTTACCAAATCCAGGACAAGGCCCTTCGCACAGTAGCAGACTTCCGCAACCTGCAGGATCGCACAACGAGAGAGATGAAGTCAGCACGCGACTTTGCAATCCAGAAGTTCGCCAAGGATCTTGTCGACACCGTGGACAACCTCGACCGCGCGCTCGTGATGGGTCAGGAGAAACTCAAGCCTGCCGAGGGTGGCGAGAAAAACGCCGACCTCGAGGCTTTCTACGAGGGCGTCAAGATGACCGAGACCAACATGCACTCCACGTTGAAGAAGCACGGCCTCGAGTTCTTTGACCCTGCCGGCGAGAAGTTCAACCCCAATGAGCACGAGGCCACCTTTATGACCCCTCAGCCTGACAAGGAGGACAACACCGTCTTTTTCGTCCAGCAGAAGGGCTTCAAGCTCAACGGCCGTGTTTTGAGAGCCGCCAAGGTTGGCGTCGTCAAGAACTCTTGAGCACCCTGATCACACGCGTGCATCACCGGATGATGCACTACTCATGAGTCAACACTACTCGGAAAACCACACCACTACTGTACAACACATATTATTACCATGTATAACCACCATTCACCATCTTGAGCATTTGACGAAAAGCACCTTGGCTGCAGCAGGGACTGGCGCTTGGGTACTCGCCAATTACCAAAACGAAACGGATGCTCTTCTAACGAAACCTCTGGTTGGCGGATCTTTTTAGTCATGATGTTTTTGGTTACTGTTTCACCACGAAAAGGAGACACCGGCGATCAGGTCTTCATGACGATGCAAGATATGTACTTATTAGACCATAGTTGGGGGGAGCGAAAGCGAGGAAGGCTCTCATGTAGTTGATGCCGCAGGGTGTTTTTTCACCAAACCAAAATACCAGGCGCGTGTCGAAGCATGTCACATCAACTCCGCATTGGGAAACCCCCCTGGGCCGACATCCACCACCATATTGTGTACCCTGGAGTAAGGCAGGAGACAGCTAAGTTGCACGCTAGATCTGGTGGAATATAGTCAGAACCGCTCTTCACTGTAGACACCTGAGTTGGGCGAATCAAGACTGCTCGTGACGCAAGCGGCGCCAGGCAGGCGCAAGTGATGCCATGGCTGTTGATGTGCTCGGGGCTTTCGAAGCTTGTCGCTGGTGATCTCGTCTGCCATAAAAGGGGAGCTGGAGTGTACATACTGTACATATTTACTGCCACTCTAGCGCAAACGGACTGAGAGACATGCCCTTGACGTCGTATGCTGGGGTTCCGGCTCCACTCGCTCAGGGCGGGCTGGCCCTGGCGCAGCCTATCGCAGCTAGCCTCGGAGCTCAGGGTGCCGCATGCTCGCTCACGAGTCGGCAGCAACCTCAAGTCTGGACCAGACCTGCCTCCTTCATTCATTCCTCCAGCATCACAACAGACATCACCTTAGCGGCATGCCGACACAATAGTCATCCAATAGACCTCCTTCTGCGAATCCTGCCGGCGCGCTACCGTTCCAATTCGACCCTGCACCCTGTGGCCCTCTGACAGCCAAGATGACGCTGCAGCTTTCTGAGTCGTGAGCTCCTGCACCACCTCGCCTCCTGATCGATCTTCCTTTGCTCCGACGACACGATCCAGAGTGGTGGCCAATCGCAACGGCCAGCCAGTCACCATGCCCCCCGAATTATCCAGCAACATCCGCGTCTTCATCCGCTGGGACGACCAGACCGTCTTCGCCGGCGAAGACATCAAGTGCCGCATCACTTTCCGCAACGTCGCCCCGACCTTCAACCAGCCCACCCCGCGCTCCGCATCAGGCCCTCAGGACCGCCACAGGCAGCAGGCTTCGCCGTTGGCAGCTACTGGCCGTGTCAAGTCGTCTTCTGGCCTGGCCGTGCAAGCCGGCGGACGTGGACACAGGACAACCCTCTCGCTCAATGTGCCCACCAACAATAGCTCCCGTTCGAGAAGCACGACTCTCCCATGGACACCACCTCAGCCACCACCCCAGCGACCAGGGCATACTCATAAGCGATCCCTTTCTATTGTCTCGATAGGCTCGACCGCGACGGTCGACGAACACCACCAACCACCACAACCGCCACAGAGTAGCCATGGCGGACCGCCTCGAACCCAGCGTCCTGCTCGGGGACATGGCCGATCAGCCAGTCTACAAATAGCACCGCGGCACGGCTCCATACCCGGGCCTCAATCGGCTACGTTTCCTCGAAGGCCGGGCCCCGAGCCTTCGCCTGTATTCAACAACCATTCCTTTCCTCCAGCACGTAATGGCTTTGGGCGATCTGGTGCCTCAACTGCTCCAAACACCCCGAGCTTGGGTGGCCCGCCAACACCACGGCGTAGGAGTCCGTTGCAGCCGATGCCGGACTGGAAGTTCCCGACCAGTGTCTCGCCGTCGTCGGAAGCCGGCGAGACGGTCATCAATGGCGACTATCTCTCTGCTGTGCCTACAGTGGGATCACCACTGCACCCAGGTCAGCGAGCCCACCTGCCGATGCGCGCAAGGGACTCGATTCCAGTCATCAACGAGCACCACACCAGTCCAGCTGCCGCCCGCATACTGTCAGAGACAAGTATGGGAAGCGGGACACCTCGCAGCAGTGGCGAGTTCTACTCGATGAGCAACAATTCGTCAGAAACACTGGCGTCCGAATATGTGGCGAATCCTGCGCAGAACATGCGACGTCCTCCGCATTTGAGGAATCTGTCCATCATGACGCAGTCGAAAGCCCCAGAGATGCTCATGATGGGTTATGCTCAGATCCAGGGTTCGTTCACCCTCGATGGCTCCCTCGTCAGCCTCGCCCCTTTCGAGGCTGTGAAGCGCAAAGCAGTACTGGGTGGCCAGGGCGGCGGTGTTATTGGCATTGAGTCGTCGAAACGTTCAAGCCTATTGCAGGGATTTGGCTGGTCCTCGTTCGGGAGCTCGCTTGGAGAACTCCTTGGAAGTGGCGAGCAAAGCAGTATCAAAGATATGCGCGGTGCCGCAAGCGCCAAGTCAATTCCGTTACTATCGACGCCACAGTCGGTCCTCTTCGTCGATCTGTCACTGGCGCCTGGCGAGAGCAAGACGTACGAATATACGTTCAAACTGCCCAAGGGATTGCCACCTACCCATCGCGGAAAGGCCATAAAGATCGTCTACAACCTGGTAGTCGGCACACAAAGGCCTGGTAGTGCTAAAGGACAGCAAGTACGCACAGTCGAGATACCATTCCGCGTACTGGGCAGTGTAAACAGCTATGGCGAGATCCTCGGGCATGATCTGCTCTCCCCGTACATCATACTTCGAGATCAAGCAAAGGTGAACACGCTGGACAAAGCAACAGAGCGCACACCATTTCACAAGAAGACAAAGTCGACGATACATGCCTCATCCATCAACGAGTTCTTGCACTACGTCGACGAGCTGCTCGAGCGCCCACGAGATGGTGGTGGTTTACTCTCTCCAACAGCGACAGCACCATCGTCGCGCCGACCGTCAGTATTTGGCGAAGATGCTTCAACAGCCAAAGATGCCATTGACTTGGCCATTATGCGCTCGAATCTCTCGGAGCACGGTCAGAGTAGCAATCGTTTCGAGATTGCGCGCAATGGGCAGCGGATCGGCGTCATTATGCTGGCTCGCCCTGCTTACAGGCTGGGCGAAGTTGTGAGCATGGCCATCGATTTCGCTGGAGCCGAAGTCCCCTGTTATGCGGTTCATGCCGCCTTGGAAACGACGGAGCGGGTTGATCCCAGTCTAGCCCTGCGCAGCGAGGCCAGCGTGCATAGAGTTACTCGCAAGGTATTTGGCAGCTCGAGCGAGTCGACGCTGTATGCTCGCCGGATCGTGTTCACCCCCACGATACCAATCAATGCGACACCCGAGTTCGTCACGACCGGTATCAATCTCGAATGGAAGATTCGGGTCGAGTTCGTTGTTCCCTCGACCAAGAATGCCGAGTCTGGCGACTCCACGCCAGCCACGCCACACCACCTGCTCGAGGAGATTGCACGTGATGAACGTGGCGGGCTTGTCCTCGTGGCCGTCGAGAACCTCGAGTGCGAGAGTTTCGAGGTGGCTGTGCCCCTGCGGGTGTACGGTGCTGTCTGTAATGGCTTGGAACGTCTGGAGAGGGATGAGGCCTTGGATGAGGGCCTTGTGGTGTAGATGCGGATGCTCACGGACATCCTATGAATTTGGCAACCCCGACACAAATAGTTGCCTTGTCCTGTGAAGGTGGTGGAGACAGGCATCTCCATGGCACGCGCGGACGGACGACGGTTCAGATACATAATAAGGCGAATTGTCTGTACATACAACTGGATATTGAGAAACCCTACAAACAGGCATGTGGCCTAGAGCACAAATAGAGGAATCGAGCCGCTGTGTAAACCTCATCATCTCACCTCTGCCGTCGTGTCGTGTCATGTCTACAAAATCTTAGTGCCGATGTACTCGGCGGCTGTTCGCTCCTTGTCCAACACTTGTTCCATTTGCAACACCCAAGTTTCTCGCGCTAAGTCCTCACGGTCAAAACATCTCGAAACTCAGATCACCTTCCTCGCTGTACTGGCCGACATCCATCCTGCCCATCTCGGAGCCGACATCTCGGTCACCCACGACCACAGCAGCAGCTCCATCACGATTGTGGGCGTCACAGCCTGTGTCGTCACCAGTGTCGTCACCAGCACCACCGCCACCAGCACAACGGCTCTCGAACTGCATTCTCTCGCGCAAGACGTCGGCCTCCCGCTCCAGCAACTCGATCATGAGAGTCGCGTCGTCGGCTTCCCGCCGCTCCGCCTCGACGTGGGCACGCACCATGTCCAGCACCATGGCTGCATCGCGGGCGTGTCTTTCCAGTGGGTGGTGCTCGTCATGGTGGTGACGGCGGTGGTGGTCGTGATGATGGCCGCGGGAGCCATCGGGATCTCTGCTTTCCGGTTTGTGATCTGCGTTCTTCCTTGCGTTGACGCTATCGTCGTCATCGTTGTCCGTGGGAAGCGATCTGTTGCTCTGGGTGATGATGCTGCTGCTGCGGTGGCGGCGGTGCTGCTCAGCTTCTCGCCGGCGGCGGAGCGCGCTCATTGCGTCCGTCTCTGCGCGCAGGGTCTTGATCGTCTCGGTGAGCTGGCGTTCCCGGTCGTGCTGGGCGCTGCGCCTTGCCGCGAGAGCAGATTCCTCGCGTTGTACGGTCGCGATGTGAAACCATTGCTCGGCGATGTGGTCTGCCAGGTTGCCCCTGCCAGGAAGGTTGCCTTGAAAGCCGAGATGGGCAGGAAGTGCGGATGTGCTGTGGTGAAGGCTGTCATGGTGAGGAGATACACTGAAATCCTTGCATTTTCTGCTGCTGCTGCTGCTGCTGTCGCTAAAGTGTGCGTCCAAGTCTCGTTGAGGCTGATACCCAGGTTGCTGTAGGTCTCGTTGGAAATGTACACGCGCGGATGGAGTGAGCAACAGCGAAGGATTACTCGGAACCCGATAGTACGGCGAGATTTGCTCGCCCGTGACCTGGTCGTACTGTGCAACGGCATGCTCGTAATCGTCTCCCGGCCGTCGAGCCGCACAGTTGTCGCGTATGCCTCGTGATGGAGACTCTACTCGCGCTTCTTCAGGCTCAAGTTGTCGGTCACATCGCTGCCAGTCGAGCGCCTGTCCTGCTGGGCGAGTTTGTGTGTCCCGTCCGGCTGCTGCTTCGTCACCATCCATGATGAGCGACGGCGTCTCCAGCACCCTCTTTCCCGGCCATTTTGCACAACCTTCCGTCCAGGCGAGAAAGGTACACGGCGACACCCGACCAGACGGTAGGCCCTGCTCTTCGTCATCGACGTCGTCCGGGTCAAAGTCAAATCCAGCGCATGACGCAGTGAGCTTGTGGACAGACAAGTCTAGGTCTGGCGGCGGCACGATGTGTCCGACCTCCACGGGCCGGCTCATCTCGAAGACGGCATTGGCTCGCGGCGATATCTGCTGGGCCAGGCCTGGGTCGGTACAGAGTTGTGCTGGTGCTCGTCCACCCGCAGATCTGCTCGATGTGTGCGTCCTGTCAATGTTCTGGAGCATCCTGCCCTCAGTACAAGATCAGTCATCCATCCATTCGACATGCTTTCACGTCCAATGTGTGAGCGGCGACCGGGTCTTACCGACTGATGTCCTTCTCTTCAACTTGGGAAACGCCTTTCTGGACAAGATGATCTCCATCCTGCAGCCGAATCCACTCAAAAAGCGGATCGCCATGGCCGTAATGCTCGGCTTCCAGCGGCTCCGGCCCACGCATGGCAACATAGGCTCGCATCATCGTGTTTGTGAACACCTGCCGTTGCCGGTCTGGCGCGTTCGCAGCGGCGGGTGCAGCTGTGCAGCCCGGCAAGTACACTCCCTCCGCTTGTAAGGCGAGTGTAGCTGAGAGAGAGAAGTCCCATGTCAGCTTGTTGCTTTTGGTCTTCATCGAAAAGATGGGACAGAGCATCACTTCAATGTCCGGACACCACCGCAGCGGAAAGCTCACCTGTTCCATCTTGATTGCCCGAGGGTAGACTCGGCGCACCATAGTAGCCCTGCATCCTGAGTGTTGTTTACGAAAGAGACATTTGTACTTCGTCAGGGTTGAAGCTTGGGCTTGAGGCTGCTCTCTATGGTGCAAGACAGTACGCGGTAGTCTTGCAGTCAGTCGTGTATCACCGTGGAAACCAACACTGCTCGACCACATGACAACGCGGTTCATTTCATAGGAGCCACCCAAGTAGGCTGCCTGCGTGAAAGATATGTTTCATTGGCCATTTAGCTATTAGCCTCGTGCCTGTTCGGGTAGTGAGACAATGTTGTTCATTAGGATGTCTAATGATGCGTTCTGTGTCAGAGCAGCAAGTCATACCAATCATTCCACGTCCACCAGACACTCCTTCACTTCTTTCCCTTCCCCTTGGGAGCCGCCGCCTTTGCCTTACCACGTGCTTTTGGCTTGACGTCCTCGTCGTCCTCGTCCTTGGCGGCCGCCTTGGTCGCCTTCTTGGTGGCCTTCTTCGCTTTGGGCTTTTTGATATACTTGTCCTTCTCGATATCGCCATCGTCGTCATCAACCGCATCTGCTGCCTCGGCAGCCTCTTCACCTGCGTCGTCTTCCTCGTCGATGGCCTCCTCAAGATCGGGCTTCTCTTTAGCCGCGGCACGAGGGGCAGCAGCCACGTTACTTGCCTTCATAAACGGAACTGGGTGTGCCATCGCGTTGTAACTGACTTTCCGTTAGTCCAGATCCTCCCAATCGGTTGTTCACTGACTTACGTTCTGGTGAATGCGGCTTTGACCTGCGACGGGATCTCGATAGTTCCTTCGTCCTGCGGACCGACTCCAAGCTCCTTGATGAAGTCAAAATCATCTCGGGTGAGGTAGTAGCTGTCCATCAGCTCAATCACCTCTTCCACGCAGTCCTTGCCTTCTTCATTTAGACGCTTGATGAGCTGATTCCAGAGGACTGGCAGGTACTGCTGTCGGATCTCGTTGTGGTCACCCGAAGACTTGAGGCGCATGTGAGAGTGGATCTCGCGGTTGTATCTTCCCAGCTTTCCAAGCTTACTGTTGTTGCCCAGCCAGCTTGTGAAATTCGACCCCATCAGCTGACCTGCAACGAAGCTTGACGGGCGCACAGTACTGAAGATGGCATGGGTAGGCATCAGGCTCCAATGCTGTTGCGGTCCGTGGATCATTCTGTCGACCAGGTCACCGTCACTGATACTCTCCGCGGCCTTGTCGAATAGCTCCAAGCACTTCAGATTCATCTCCCGACGATTGTAGTTCTGATTGGTGAGTGCCATTGGTTTTGTGCGGAGATAGTTTTCTTGGATCATCAAGTAGCTGAACTCGTGATCGTTGAAGTAGAGTTCGATCTTGTCGTTCAAGGTCGCCTTGCTTGCTGGTGCAAATAGACCACCGCCAAGCATCTTTTGGCAGATGTCCCATGGCTTGAGCACGATCGACTTCTCCCAGGCCTTTGACATGCTCTTGCTTTGGTCGTAGTCCATGGAGGTCTGGTCAAGCTTGACTGTGGACAGCATGTTGATGGTCTGCCGAATATCCCGGTTGCTGCCCTCAATAAGGGCATCAAGAACCTGTGGAGTGAGCTTGAGGCCCTCCCGATGGCAGATAGTCATCATTCGTGAGCGAATCTGTTCGATAGTTGGCTTTTGGAATTTGACATCAGTGGCGACAAAGTCAAACGGCTTCATCTTGGGAAGTCTGCGTTCGTTGCAGATCAAGATGAGTGGCACTTCGGTCTTCTTGCAGTACTTGGCCATGGCGCCCACGCCTCCACGATCACCGCCGGACATTCCATCAACCTCGTCCATAATCAAGACAATCTTCTTCTTCGCGACATCAATCTTCTTGCCGTCGCCAGCGAAGTAGCCGTTCAATGAGGTGTTGTTCATGACCTCGCTGACGCCAGCTTCGACAAGCTTCTTGCTGCGAGCATCACTGGCATTGCTCTCCAAGACATCGTAGCCCTCGAGCTTGGCCGCAAGATGTGCCGCCGTTGTCTTGCCGATGCCCGGGGGACCTGAAAGAATAATGGCACGAGCACCACCCATGCCGTCTGCCCCGCGCTTCTGGAAGTCGTACTTGCGTGCCTTCGGCCAGCCTTTGAGCCAGTTCTGAATCTTCTCAACCGCCGCCTTATTGCCACAAATGTGGGATGCTTGTGTGGGAGCATACTTGGTTGTCCATAGTTGGGCCGAAGTCGGCGTGCCTATCGCTGGAGGTCGCGCTGAGCCGCGCGCGGCGGCAGCTTTTTGGGCCTTCTCTTGTTCGAGCTTGCGAAGCCTCTCCTGCTTCTCCATTTCTGCCGCATCCTTCTTGATCTTCTCTTCTTCTGCCTTACGCTTTTCTCGCAGCTTTTCAGCCCCTTTGCCACTTCCACCGCCGGCGGGGAGCTTACGAATAAGCTCGAACAGACCATTCTCGTCAATTGTCTTGATGCCGTGTTCCCTAATCTTCGCGAGTTTGCTTGGGCCTGCATCATCTCCCAGCACGACAAAGTTGGTCTTACTGCTAGGAGCGCCGGTAATCTTGCCACCATACTGCTTGACAAGGTTCTGAGCATCCTCCCGGGCAATGGTTGTCAGCTGGCCGGTGAATACAAAGTTCAGGCCAGCGAGACAATCCTCCTCGCCTTCAGGGAGTTCTGATGTGGGATTTGGAGGCGGTCCGGCGTTGCCACCTCCCGGCTGTGCCTTTCTCCAGTCAAATTTCGGTGCATTAGGGTCTTTCGGGGGCGGTGTTGGAGCCCGGACTGTAGGAATATTGTCGAAAACAGCCTGGATCTCAGCATCTTCTGGCTCGCCGGCCTTCTTCGCTCGTGGTGCTCGTGGTTTTTTCGGAGCAGGCTTCTTGACCTCGACAACTTCGTCCTCATCCTCATCTTCTGAATCAGGCTCTGGGGTTTTCCGTTTCTTGCTTGTGGCGGCTGAGGACTTGGCTTTGGTTGAATTGCGAGCTGAGGCTCGGGCAGTTTCGTCTTCATCGTCGCTAGCTGGGGTCTTCTTGGGCCTACCGCGAGAGGCGATCCGCTTGGGCTGTGGTTGAACGTCCTCGTCACTTTCTTCTTCGACATAGTCGTCGTTCTTCCTCTTGTTCCGAGATCTGGCATCGGCAGCGAAAATATCGTCGCCTCCATCTTGGTCGTCGTCCATATACGCATCTTCGTCGTCGGGCACCGCGCGTCGCCTGGTTGTAGAAGGAGCCTGGTTGTTTGGCGCAGCTTTGGCTGGTGCTGCGCTTGTCTTCTTGCCGCGAGGGCTAGGGCGAATCTCGATCTCGCTTCGGATTTCGACCTTTGGTTGACTCTTGGCTCCAGTCTTGGGTTTCGGTGGATTGGATCCAAAGTATTCGCTTGCTGTGGTCTCGACTCCTTGCACCTCTTGCTTTCTAGAATAGAGCAGGTCGTGTTAGGAGTCTATTGAAAACAATCCCAGCCCAGCAGCCAGGAACAACTTACACAGCCTTCTTTCGTGGCGTCGTCCGCGTTGCTGGCTTCTTGGTCCTTTTTGCCATTGTTAGTTTTCTTGTGGTTGCCCCTGCTTGAGGCACTTGGAACTCACTCGACCACAGGCTCGTCGTCGTCACTATCGTCGACCACCTTGCGAGCCTCTTGATTGGATGGTCAGCTTTTGTCAGCGTTGGATGTGCATGATCTACGCACTGGTTCTTCGTTTCGGTTCATCTTCGACCTTAGGCTCGGCGGGCTTGGGCTTGGCTGGAGCTGCACCCCCCTTGGCTGCGAAAAAGGACCGGATGTCCGGCATGGCGGACGCGAGGCTGCAAATGAAAAGTGTACGGACTTCAATGCGCTATGCGAACGAATTCTGAAGCAGAATTGGGTCCGAAATCTTCCTGCCGGCTAGATGTCTGGAGCATTCGGCTCCTGGTGGGATGCTCGAAGATGCTCAACGCAGGGTGCTTTTGGTGTTCTAGCATGAGATCCACAGCTGCGTGGGAGACGCGCCTGGTGGTAATGACGCGCTGAAAGCACTTTAGCTGGCGGCAGGTTCGTGTTGTAAGTGTGCAGGGATAGGCAGGCAGGCGCTGTGCTGCCTGCCCTGCCTGCCCCTTCAGCGGGGCGAGACCGCCTGGCTCCACCCGAGTTCAATCGGGTTTCTTGATTGGCTGTGGGGGGGGGGGAACTACAGCTGCAAAAGATGTTCAACGGGCATCGATAGTGGGTGGTAACAACGACTCCCAATTCCGCCGAGCTCCAGCTATTACGACGACCCTCCACGAAAGAGCGCAATAGCGGCCGGCAGCCAGCCACGGTCCTTTGCCATTACACATCGAGAGACGAAGGCGACACTCGACTGCCGACATGATGCGCACGAGCGCGCCCTCGTCCCTCGCTGGCGCTTTCAGGGCACTTGCGATATCCTCCAGGGCCACCGCACGGCCATCCATCCTGCCTGCTCAGTCGACACAGTACAAGGTGGCCAAGGATGTGCGATTCTTCTCCGCTACGTCTTCCGCGGGTAGCTGGCTCGAGCCGAGGCTGGACCGCAACAAGAAGATGATGAAGGGTCGTGTCCGAGTTGCTACGGGTGGTTCGACAAAGGGCACCACGGTTATTTGGGGCCAGTACGGCTTGCGCATGACAGATCACGGCAGGAGGATAAGCGCGGCTCAGCTCAAGGTTGCCGAGGACACCATCAAGGCTCGGCTGCGTGGACAGAAGTACCGATTGTACAAGAGGGTCAACTGCAACCTCGGTGTCTTCGTCAGCGGTAATGAGGTCAGTAACGAGCACAGCACTTTTCATGGCGTGGACATTAAACACTAAAGTCTTTCTCCACAGATTCGTATGGGTAAAGGAAAGGGCTCTTTCGACCACTGGGCAGCTCGTGTGGCCGTCAACCAGATCTGCTTTGAGCTGAAGGGCCTTATCCACGAAAAAGTTGTCCGTGATGCTTTTCGCTTGGCGGGTAACAAGCTCCCAGGTATGTTGCTCCGAAGCCGTAAAATGACCGCCCTTTTCCCATTTGCTAATAGTACAAAATCATAGGCCAGTGGGAGTTTGTGATGAAAGGAGAACCCCCTGTTGTTGGCATCACAAAATTGGATGGTATCACACTCGAGGAACTGAAGCGGCCAAGACGGAAGATTGAGGGTTCAGAGATCACACCGTCGACAAGCTCGGAGAGCCCGCGAGCGCCGCTTGATACCCCGTGAGCAGACGTTGTATCGTTGTAACAATTAGTTGTATATGTACACCACATCTATGCACATGACCATCACGAGACACTCGAACATGTATTGCCTGGCAGCATATACTCGTGGGCCAAAACAAAACTGTCCAAAACAAGCAGCCGACATGCGAGATACACGGTGCTACCGCTGTGTGGCAGTGCTTGATATAATGTTGTGCATAATCTTCGTCCGAGCAGGCTGCCCGTGACCAACAAGGCAAGTGCAGTCAAAATGGGTGGCACCTGCCACAAACACAAACCTCCAATGCCCGCCTCAGAGAAGCTACGTTCCAAGCTCTGAATGCAAAGCAGGCCTCATTGTTCCGCCACTACGCTTCGTCCAGTGATTGCGCGAGCGATTGTCCCTTCTCAATGCGACTTGGGCATGGAACGCACGAAATGCTTGAGCTAAGTTCAGCTGCCTTTGTGCTGACATGCACTCGTTCCGAACTTCAACTCGGCGTCGAATCGGCAATCTTCATATCTGAACGAGCCGCTGGGACAGATACCGTTCTCGACATGGGCCAGCTCCCCAACCTGCAAGATCTGTGGCTGCAGTCACCTGGGCGTTGCCAGTTGCAATTTTGTGTCAAAAGAGATGGCGACATGCTTGAAGACGAGTACACGCTGGACCATATAGCCCGCAAGATCGCAGCGCATCCTGTGCGTTTTTCCAGTCCTGTGCCAGAGAGAACCCAATCAACTTGAGAGCGTCGCTAAGCCATAACATGGTAGGTATGGTCAGAGCTCTCCCTGTCCGTAGAGCTCGAAGAATGCCATTATGAGGCTTTGGCGGGGGAACCAAACCTGTACCTCACGGTTGAGCATAGGGATAAATCAAGCGCTTTGCTGACGCCTCCTCATATGCCGGTTGCGCATATGTCTGGTCTACATTGCAGCCTCGACTTTAAAGGCAATCTACACCCCCTAAAACACGAGCATGAGGAAATAAACCACGACTCGAATACCGTGCAGCACAAAGCTCGTCATGAGAACAGCCGCGCGAGCCATCTCCAGCACATCGAATTCGATCAGAGTTGCGTCGATGCTATTTGGGACCGCATTGATAACTTGCTCCTGAGCGCAATACGAGAACTGCTTGGCATCCGAAGGAAGCTTTCCAACATCAGGCTGAGGAGAGTGGCACGAGCGCCGAGCCTGGTACAAACTGCACCCGCAGCATGGAACGGAACTTATCTCAAGGTCAGAGGTCTTCCTGAATCAAAGAGCTCCAGCTGACTGACCCCTCATGCCAGCATATCACCGCACATTCTGAACAAATTCCATTACTTTCAAAAATACTTTCATCTTATCGCACAGCACAGAAACCCTCGCTTCGGACCAAGATCGACGAGATCGCGAGAGATGTCCATACTGTCACCATAAAAGATCTTGAAGATACGATGTCTGTGAAGCTATGGGATACTATGCTGAAGAATACGAAAGTGTCACAAACCAGGACTTTAGTGACTGAGAGGCAGAGGCGCGTCGATTCAACGCAGACACCACTCACATTTCGACCATCCATGGTGCCCCTGAATAAGCGTGCTACTGCCGTCGATTTGATCACGTCTCCGATGTCCTAGGAGGGCACGCCTAACCTCGTCAGCTTGGTCGAACATGGTCACGACCTGGAGCAAGATAAGGAGATGAGTGATCTAGCCCACTGGTAGCGTCTTTCGGTGGTAGCGCCCCATGAGAGTCAACACAATCGCAGGTCTACCATGATATCTATTGACACCAATTATGAACAAGCCGCCCGCACGATGGCCATCGACCACAAAGACAATGGTATTCACGTGAATTGTTGCCAATCGCCGAACATGTTCGACCTGAGCTCTACACGAACCACCGGGAGATACAGCGAACCTCCGTGGTTAGATGCTTGACTTTGGCACCGACAATGAAAGACTGGTGTTATTGAAAAGGTATTTCGATATTAACATCGCGAAACGCACGCTGTGTCTCCCGTGCTGATGTGTTCTCTATACTTGCAAGTGGAGCCAAATGGCCCCATTGCATCGCTCTGCTGCAACCAGATGAAGCATTCCATCCAAGCACTCTCTTGGAAGTCTCCTGATACGTAGGACAGCATTGGTGCTGTGGCCGACGGTCCGCCCCCAGGAGTGTCGAAAGAAGTAGGACGACCCCTATAACCGCTCGTTGCCTTATGTCTGTCACCGTCTGTTTATCGTTGCGCTGCTGGCTTGCCGCCCTTGGCCTTGTTCTTCTTATCCTGTTTGGCCTTCTTGGCGTCCGCTTTGGCCTTCCTCTGTTCAGGCTTCATTGTGGCGTAGTGGATGTACCAGTGGAGTGTGATCTGGAGGGCGATGCAGACAATGACGACCATAAGGATGGTGAAGATGTACGGCTGGTCGTTGAGGACTGCTACAGCCTCGTCCGTGGCGCCCAGCTTGGACATGAACCCGAATTGTCCAGACATGTTTGCAGAGAGCTTTTTGATCTATATATGTGGGCGGCTTCGGCGACAAGAGTGCTGTGTCAAAAATGGCGATTCTTGTTGGCTGGCCACGGATGAAAGTCGCAGCGAAGGGGTATCAATGTGAGAGAAGGCTTCGAGAAAATGCGCGACTGCAGGTGATTTGAGATTCGAGGGTTGCTGGAACCAGCCAGATGCGAGTTAGACGAATGCGATATTAAACTGCGTCGAGCAGGTAAAGGAGAAGTGGTTGAGAGAGCGTGAATGTATGTTTGAAGTGAAGATGGTGATGGGTCACGGCAGCAGGGGTCACGAGAAACGGGAGCATTCAGAGAGGCGACGGGAGCGCAGCGAGCGACCGGTCCTTTATGAGGACCAGGGTCGAGACAAGCCCCACGAACCACCGTGGGATAGGATGCAATATGTATCGAGCAATGGGGACGAGATCAGGCCAGGGTTCCAGACCACCGCAAGACGAATAATCATGCCATCTCGTCGCTGCCACTGCCCACGAAGCGGCTGGCGTGGTGGCTCGTGAAACCAGGGTCGTGTTTCAGCCGTGTGAGAGAGCCTGGCCAGGGTGCTGGCGGGTACATACGTTGGCGAGGATCTTGAACTGCTCCGCGCAGCCCGTCTACCTCTAGGCGCTGAGGAGGAACGCGAATCCAGTGAGCAGACGGTATCTGATCAGCTGACAAGAGCTGCCGAAGCTCAGCAAGACGGTGTGGCCATGGAGACTCCGAGAGAAGATACAACTGGAGCTTTGTTTCTAATTCAGAGCGTTGGAGCGCCCCTGCACCAGTAACTAAAAGTCTTGGTGAGGCGCACGGCTGGCGGCCAGCTGCAGACCACGAAGTCCAAGGAGAGCCATCGTCGCCCCACATGAAATGCCCGCGGGCCCAGCGGCCGCCTGCAATTGACCAATGGCAGGAGCAAGTGGTGCTAGGAAAATAATTGCACCAACGACACACCAGTCGAGCTTCAGCCAGCCCACGCGACAGCACCGTCCACCGTCGAGCACGACAGCCACCTCGGACCCCTCGTCGCCCTGCCGGACCGCCCGTGAGATGCGATGAGCGCGGTACGCTCAGCTCCGTGCCTCCGGCTGGCCACCGCCGCCCTCGGCGCTCGCCCGGCCGCGACTGCAGCAGGCGCTGCGCCCGCCTCGAGAGCCGCCCTCCTCCACACATCCGCCAGCCTCAACGGCAAGCCGCGGCGGTCACGCTTCAAAAATGTCCACCTCGACGCCATGGGCCTCTCGAGCCCCGAGAAGATGCAGCAGTTCACCGAAAAGATGTACCCAAAGTACACCGAGCAGGAGCTCAAGGCGCTCAGCGAACGTTATACCCCAGAGCAGATGGCCGCCATCGAGGCTGGTGAGGCCGCCATCGACCCCCACGACCTGACGGTACAAGCCCGCATGCGGAGCGACCCGTACCGGCTGCCCTACCTCGACGACTTCAGCAAGATCCTGCCCATAGTCGACAAGAGGGTGCGGACGGCACCGCTCCCGGACCCCAATGCCAAGTTCATGACCGAGTCCGAGTTTGCCGGCGACCTCATGACATGGGCAAACGAGCTGATCCCCGAGGAGCACAAGCAGCTGCTCAAGGGCGCGGGCCAGAGCATGGACGAGGCTCTCAAGCCGCAGTTTGCGGCCCTCGAGGCGAGCGGCAAGTCCCGCGGCGAGATCGAGCACGAGAAGAGCAAGCTGGTGCGGCAGTGGCGCAACGAGGAGTCGGAACGCCTCCGGCCGCTGGAAAGCGCGCTGACAAAGTCGATGCACGACGAGTTCCCCAGGCTCATCTACGAGCGGTCGCCGTTCAAGGATAACAACCGCCCCGCGCACTCGCCCATGGCGCCGGGGCTCGGCTCCAACTTCCCAGACTCGGGCGTCATGGAAGGTCGGGACCCCGGCGATGAGGCCCTCGACCCAGAAGGAATATGGAGGCAGACACAGAAGGTCACTGGGCTTCCCCTGAGGGACCTGATGAATATGAGGGTCAAGCCGCTCGTGATTCGATTCGTATCAAACCAGACCCGTCTTGGCAAGATTCGAAGCGCTTCTGTCTTGTCAGTCGCCGGCACATTAGACGGGCGGCTTGGTGTCGGTGTGGCCAAGTCCACCGATCAGTCCACGGCGACGCAGAAGTCCAAGTTCCTGGCTCTCCAGAACCTCAAGCCGATCAAGAGATACGAGAACCGCACGATATACGGCAACGTCAGGGCCAAGGTCGGCGCGACCGTCGTAGAGATCCGTGCTCGTCCTCCAGGTATGTCAAGTTCTTTTTCCTCACCATACACGACAAGTCTTAAATACTAATCGACTGAACTTCCTTGGGGCAGGCTACGGCATCCGCGCATCCCATAGACTATTCGAGATATTCCGTCTTATCGGCATTCACGACGTTTCGGCGCGCATGCCACGCGGCCGGAACCCGATGAACTCGGTCAAGGCGTGCGTCCAGGCGCTCCAGAGCCAGAAGGATCCAGGACAGATTGCGCTCGGTCGTGGCAAGAAGATGGTTGATGTACGAAAAGTGTATTTCGGCGAAGACGTCCGGACGCAGACGGCTTAGCACAGAAGACGGTTGTCCATCACTTACGCTTTCATCGTCGATCTCCTATGTAGCAAGAGGCTTGACGTTATACTTGTCATCGTTGTGAAGCGACGATGTTGTCCTATATGTACAAAACATCACAATGTAGAAATGATACTAGAGCATTCACGAGAAGTTGGCCTACGGCGAATGATCAAACTTTTGCATTTCTTCGTATCACACACTCATGCGTGCCTGTGAGTCGCATGGGTTCTTGCTTGTTCATCCCCTGGGGACAGTCCAAAGGAAGCATCGCGCATTCTCCTCGCTACAAGATCCCAAGCTGATGCTCCGTTCTTCCCTGCCGCTGATATGAGAGACCATTGCGACCGTATATCCGCCATGCAGCTCTGGCTTGGCCAGTATCTCGTCTGTCATGGTGACCTTTGCATCCCCAAATTCCAGAACAACAGGAATGCCAGCCCCCGTCCCCGCACGTCCACATCATCTGGACCGGCGGGGTCTCAAGCCCGCGCGTAAGCTGGTGCGGGCGCGGGCGCGGGCGCGATGCTTGTAAAGTGCATGTGCACCAGCGCAGGGGTGTCTCGCCTTGATCCGATCAGAGAGGACGGACGGACAGTCTTGCGCGAAGCAAAGGACGGTGGTGGTGGTGATGGGGCCCGCTGGATTCGGCTTCGCCCAGCAACGTAGAGCTCTCCTCCTCTGACGCTGCTGGCAAAGTAATGTCTGTCGAGCGTGAGCCGGGCTGTGGCGGCAGTAGTGCGTTTAACGTGTTCGCGTGGAATTGATGGAAAGTAACGATGGCATGTCCAATGCCGCCATCTCCACGCACCCCCTCCTGTCAAGCAAAAGGGAGTTGTCCGCACGGCAGAAGCATCAAGCATATCCCATCGCCACGTAACCCTGCCGCCAATATCTCCGAGTCCTCGAGCAGGGCTATTCCTTTTCGTCGGATCTCTCTCGTCCCTTTTCATTCCTCGCCTTTCCTTCCCTTGTCTTCTCGCTTTTAAACTCCCTAGTTCCATCATCGAGCGTCCGTCGTCTTCGCCTCCTCCTCCTCAGCGATTGCCCCAATCAATCTCCTGCTGCAGCACAATGCTGTACACGCTGGCCTTGAGCAGCGTGAACACGAGGCTCGTCTTGCGCTCCAGCTCGCGCAGGCCGTCCAGGATCTCCGTCGTCGGGCGGTCCGCCATGGCGTCCAGCACAGAGGCCAGCCGCCGCATGTTGTCCGCGAGGCGCTCGTACTCGTCGAGAACCTCCTGCTCGAGCGGGGTCAGGTCTTCCGCTGCTCCTGCTCCTGCTGCTGCTGCTGCCGGAGTCAGGCTTGCGGTGTTGTTTGTAGACATTGTTGTGTGCAAGAAGTTTGGCGATGTTTTTTGGTCCCTGGTACGTGCGAGAGCTGTTCGCGGTTTGAGCCCCTCCCGTCCGTTCGTCTGATCAGGCTAGGGGTTATTGAATAAAAAGAAATACGAGGTCCCCAAGATCTATGTTGGAGTGTCGGGGTTGAATGCGTTACAGACTTGTAGACTCAATCCTCGTCTTCAGACACAATAGAACAAAAAAGGTTTGGGCAATGACAAAGAGATTTAGAATCTCGGTGAGGTTGGTGATGTGGGACAAGTCGCGGTTGTGACGCGCCGCCGGAAGTGTCTGGCTGTGTGCCCCGCCCCCACAGCAGCCGGCAGACCTGACAGCACTTAGAGAACGACGCCAAGCAAAGCCGTCGGGATGAACTAGGCGAACTGCATACAAAAGACAACCAGATTAGGCCATGAGGTAGTCCAACGGAAAGCTGAGCGAGTCGTTCTGCAGGAGAACGCCTGCTTCATTAGATGCACACATAAGTCCAGAAGTTACAAGTGACCAGGATAATGCATGTGATATTGTAGTATGAAAGTCAAAGTATCAGATGGAAGCGCTAAAAAATCATTTCATGGCCGTTCATGTTCCAGGCCTTCAGTCAAGCTGCTTTTCTTCTCCCATCGCACCTTTGCTTCTACATGGGTTTGCTACAATTGGGAAGGACTCATCACATACTGGGTGTTTCGCAAAGAGCAGAGAGAAACAGAACGCCGTGAATGGGAACAAGCGCAGAACAATATATGAACGCCGATATGTGATGAATTGCAACCATGCTGGCCTTTTCTTGGTCGTGGGCAAAGCTGTCTGTCTGTGTAGGTTTCGTTTCAAGTGTATGTTGTAATGTAATGGCAGTCGTTGATAGAGAATGTTACAAGGATCAGCCTGTCGTCTGAACATCCCGTCGAGCCTGTGCACGGATTTCGGTCGCGACAAGGTGAATGTCCTCGGCACTAGGCTACCGTAGGCAGGAATCGTCAAAGCCTTCGCTTCGACCCATCACTAACGTCCTACCGATGAGAGTCCTGGCTGCTGTACTGGTGATCGTCCCCGTCATGGTGCAAAGTGACGCTGTTGAACTCCTCAAAGGGGTCTGCGAGCTCGTTTCCTGGTGTGGCCAGCCCACTGTCTAGGGGAACGCCCTTGTGCAGATGAATTTGGCGTGATCCGGTGATGTCGACACTCTCGCTCTCCTTGACATTACGGAAGTTGATCGTGTCGACACCGCGACCCGCATGGGGAACGATGGGCGGCTTCATGTGCCTGATCAAAGCCCACTGAGTCTGTCGGAAGAATGGGTGTGCCTTGATGTCCGAGGCGCCTGCGCGGGCGCCAAGTCTACGTGTCTCGTCCTTGATCAAGAGTTTCCGAATGAGAGATTTGCAAAGACTGCGTGGTTCATGGTTAGCATGATCAATCCACGGAATCACGATGAACAGGGTTTGACATACTTGGAGATTTGAGGTGATCCTGAATGCTCTGGGAAAGGAATCTCCTCCCGAAGGATGTTGGCAAAAGTGGCGTTGCGGTTCTTCCCCTTGAACGGTGTGGTGCCGTATAACATCTCGTAGATCAAGATGCCCAAGGTCCACCAATCAACAGCGCTGGTATGCCCGCTTCCCTTAATGACTTCTGGGGCAATGTACTCTTCGGTGCCGACAAAGGAATTCGTCCTGAAGTTTGCGATACAGGACTTTGTATCGATCGTCGGGAGTGAGGAGGTGCTTGCGCCGTTCTTGCCCATAATCATCGTGGGCTTGCCGCCTGGATCCGACTGTTTCGACAAGTCAAAGTCTGACAACATGATGTGTCCAGATTGATGCAGCAGAATGTCTGAAGGAATTGTTAGTACGTCGCACTGCATGCCAAGGGCGATTGAAAACTCACTTTCTGGCTTTAGATCTCTGTAGATGAAACCCATGAGATGCAGATATTCCAAGGCAGCTGTGACCTCGGCGGCGTAGAAACGAGCATCGTCCTCCGGGATGCACTTTCCTGGCCGAGTTTGCAGGGCCCTGAAGAACTCTCCGCCACTGCAATACTCCATGCAGAGGTACAGATGGTCTTCGGACTGGAAAGAGTGATAGAGGGTGACAATGAACGGGTGATTGCTCGTCGCGAGGATCTCTTGCTCGGCCAGGGCTCTCTTGATCTTGTTGCGCTTAATCATCTCCTTCTTGCTCAAGACTGTGTGTTGATGGTGTTAGAGGCTTTGTGGCAGAACTCGGGTATGGCGGGAACAAACCTTTCATGGCGTAGAGCCGCGAGCTCTTCTTCTCCTTGACCAGATATACCTTGCCCACGTCTCCTTTACCAATCAACTTGATCTTGTCGAAAGATGAAGGCCCAACCTCGACATCGCGTACCTTGATCGAGTTGGAACTGTAAGTCCTACGGAAAGCCAGGTTGTTACGAGGAGCAGTCGGCAGAGACCCGAGCTCGTCAGGGTCTGGCACGGCCAATGTCCCAGGCTCAGTGGTTTTGCTATCAACGAAGCCTAGCGTGGACAGGTTGCCGCTTTGCATCAATGGCTCCTTGCCCAACTCGGCAGTCGCAGGGCGTTCTCCGCTTCCTTTGGACTTGTTGAAGAGGCCTTGAGCATTAGGAGCACTGGCGACTCTGCGCAGTTTCCGTGCAAGTTCTTCTTTATTTGCATTTGTAGGCTGCTGAGTGACGCCGTCAGGGCCCTGGATCTTCAGGCTGGGGGTATCGGGGGGGCTCGGTGGGACTGAGCCCTCGTTATGATGCCGGAGGCCGGGGTGGCCTTGGTGAGCGAAATAAGGGTTCGCGTGCGCGGTCGGGCTCATTGCTTCATCAAGGGGGTTGCCTTCGCTCGCTGTGGTAGTGGATCTGAGGCGGCCGACCGTCGAGCTGAAGAAGCGGTTCTTGGATTGACGAAGCGTTGACCGAGGATCGGCTTTGGGACTGGTCTGGGTGTTGCCGGCGGTGGCGCCGTCCAAGTGCTTCTCCTTCTCGGAATGCGTGGCCGAATTGATCCGGAAGAAGTTCTTGAGCTTCTGGTTGAAATGGCTGTTGCCGCCATTGCCCGAGGACGGCTTGACTGGAGTTTTGACAGGCATGGTGTCTGGTGTTGCCGCCTGCGAGGGTGTAGGCAGGAAGGAAGGCGAGGTCCCTGTCTGGGGTTCAGGAGGTGGAGTGGCAGCTTCACTGCTTTGGGCCGTGGTCTCGCGCTCTGGGGCGAGAAAGGAGTGGTCTGAGTTCTGGCGACTAAAGATGCGGTTGAGGGCAGTGTTACTCGAGCGCTGCCATGATGTCAAACGGCTCTTGATGCGGAGGGAGGTGGCAGTGGTGCCAGGGCCGCCTGGGTCCGAGTGCGGGCTTGTGGAACGCGGCGGAACGGGAGCAGAGTCGGCGGTCACAATGCTGCTGGGAGGACTCTCGTCGGCTGGAAGGAGGGAGTCGAGGGCGGCGGTGCTGCTGTCCTTTGCAGCGGCAGGGGAAACGAGGAGGATGTCGCTGGCAGCAGTGGTGCTGGTGGTGCTGGAGCTGGAAGGAGGAGCGGCAGCCGTGTTGGAGACGGTGCTGGGGATGGCCGCCGGGACGAGGGTGGTGGAGGGAGCTGGGGCGATGGGGACGGCGAGGCCAATGGCCTCTGGCGCGACCAAGTGCAGCGCCGTCGCCGCCATGGTGCTGGAAACAGGGCGGTGCTCGATCTAGGCCGCCGTGCTGGGGGGTCCGTCGGGGCTACTGTGCATCCGTGCCTCTTGCTTGCAAATCAACCTTAGACCCCTGTCGGCCGTGATCAAGCGGAGGAGCAACAAGGACGAAGATGGGGGAGTCGAGGACGCCAGGTAGCTGTTCACGGCACATTTCAATAGAGAGCGCCCGACCCCGTCCGTGAACCACCGGAAGCCACGTCTCTCCTCCCTCTTTCCTCCAAGATGCTGACAAAAGGTGGCTGTTTGCATGTCTCAACTCCTCTGCGTCTCCAGCTCCGTCCGTCCTTCCCCTCGTCCACGAGGTACCTCGGCGGCTCGCAAAGTGCTTGCAGCGAGCCGCGTAACCTTAACTTTTGGCGTGTTTGCAAATTATCCAGCCCGCCATCGAGGCACTCCAATATGTACCTAGATTCCGGAGGCTTGGATGGCATGTATTGTCCTGCAGGGAGACCTGCCCATGCTATCCAATTGGCACAGAGAGCGCCTTCAGTTTCGTCTTGCTGCATGCACCACGTTCCAGACCAACCAAGACACACCCCTTTGGAAATGCTAAATCTTGCCATTCCAGCTCCTACGCCACGCTGACGGTTGTCCGTGTTCCGAAAGTCCGCTCGCGACACCCATGTGCGTGCTTGGGTGCTCAGTAACTCTGCAGAGCCGAGGGTATCTGTTGGGTTGCGTTCATGGAACTGCGAGAGGCGCACATGGTAGCAGTGACCATATCCACAAATACTTGGATCATGAGCCTCGTGGTCTTCGAGACTTCTTTAGCCAGTCTTTCTCCTAAAAATTCCTCTAGTGAGGAGGCAAAAGGCAAGCCGTCAGTGCGCTGGGCCGCTGCGGCGCCACAACCGTCGGGACGCCAGCCGTGCGGACTGGCGTCCTCTTTAACCGTGGCCTCCGTGATCCAACCAACATCTCGGAAATGCTGCAAGGAACATAGCCAGCGGAAATGTCCATCTCCTCGAGCTGCAACCCTTACCATCACGTACTCAGTAGAACCCGACACCAGATGCCGCCATTTTGGCATAGACATGCTGCCTCCACGCGGCAGTGATCCCCCCTTGCTCCGCATCACGGACCTAGTTGTTCTGTAATCCTAAGGCCGAGGAATGACGAGGTAGGGAGTGGATCGCCTGACGTCAGCCCTACTTGCCAAGTTGTATGGAACAACACAACCCTTGGTTATACGTACGTGGACGACGATCAGACCGTGTCCATGGATACCTTCACTTTCCAGAGCAAAAAAGAAAGGACTGTGCAGGCAAGCGGGTATGTAGAGGTACGCGTATGTATGCACAGTAAAGTTCGTAGCTGTTTCAAGCAACCGGAAAGCATTTACATAAACAACCGGCCACGTTGGAGACGGTTAATGCTCCGCTCCCACCACAACGACTGTGCCGGGGAGCCTGATTATAGGATTTTGTTTTTCTACGCTTGCTCTTCACCTGCCTCGTCGGCGGTCCCCAGCGTTTGTTTCATAAACTCTTCCTCATCCGGCGCATGCTCGTCTCTTTGCGCCTCCAAGGCCCGAAGTTTCCGTTTCCGTTCCTTGCGCTGCGATTCTGTTTCGAGTTGCTGATCTTTGATGGACGGCGTAGCCTGAGTTCCATCTTTGCCGAGCAGATAAGATGGTATAGTGTCCGTGTGCTGCTTTGCGGCTCCCTTATTCTGGTGGCCATCGCCCACAAACCACGCTATAACCTGGAGGTGTGCTTCGATGTGGTCGTCTAGGGCGTCTTCGCTGTTGTATACAATCGGCGGATCGTGCCGTGCACACTTTGCCCAACGACATATCTGCTGGATTTGTTGTATCTCTCGACCAGATTCTTCCTCTTGCTCGCTGTTTTCTGCCACGTGGACGCAGAACAGATGCCGTCGTAGGGTATCGAGGTTTTGCAGCTCAGCAGGGCACTGCTCCCCGGATTCTTCTACCCATTCACAAACAAAGGGCGCGAAATCTGGCTTTGCACGGAGGTACTGGCGTCGTGCAATGTCATGCAACGTCGTCAGCCGCTTCGCTAGACCCTTTTCCCTCTCGCGAGCCGCGGTACTGCCGCTTCCGGGTGGTGGATTGCCTCTTATGGCAGCGTACGACATGCCCGGTTTCCAGCCTTTCGGTCTTCCTCTCTTGTTGATGGACCCGGGGGTACTCGGCAGGCCATCAACGCCGCCGCCGCTGCCGCCGCCTCCGACGTCGTTGGTGATGGCGGCGAACATGTTGACCACGCCCATGGCTCCAGGTTGGGGCCTCTTCCGGCCCTGGCGCGGCACTACCGGCGTGGTCGTCGTAGGTGCCTTGCCAGACGGGGCGTCGTCAACCTTCCGGTATAACGAAGTCTCTTTGATCGGCGACGACTTGATCTGTACTGTGAATTGAGGTGCTGGCGACCCCTCCTGGCCGGCAGATGTCCGAAGTAGCTCCTGCTGCTGTTGCTCATTCCGATGCTGCTTGGCTGGACTTCGCGGCCTCACGGGGATCCGCGGGGCCTGTTGCCCACCACCAGTGAACATGTGTCCATCCTGAGCTGAAGACACGGGTGGCTTTGGCCTCGCCCAGTCTGGTAATTGTGGTGGCCGGATCTGAGACGTCGTCACCGCTGCGGGCGATTCCCTCTGTGGTGTGAAAGGAGACCCGCTGCTGAAGCTCGAGTGATGAGGCTGTCTGCTCTGACCAGAGAGTGTATTTGGTGTCATGCCCTGCGCAACAGCGGGATGGCCGTTGCAATACGGCCTGCCGTTGCTGTCCATCTTGACCTGAGTGATCTCTGAGGAAAGGTGGTGTGGTGGTCACCTTGGAGTTGTCCATATCCCTGACATTTTGGCAAGTTCATGTCACTGAACACCTTGGGAAGGAAGCAACCTCTGCGGACTGAGCACACAAACTACCCCCTTACGTGCGGTTCATAGATCACGGGTGCCTCAGGGGTGTTTTGGGCATCCCACCACAGCCTGTCGCGTCCACTTGGAGACCTGCACGGGCAAGCACTTGCCTTCCTTTTCGGATGCTGCCCTGCCTCGTCTGTTGCCTTCCACCGTTGTCCCTGCGGGAAGGAACGAAAACAATGCGTGCTGTGTCGTGGAATCCAAGTCGTGGTGAGCGAACGCGTCAAAGCCGTTGTGATGTGCAACTTGAACTAAGGTGCTTTAGCTAGCTTATTTACCGCTTTTTTGTAGGGCATTGAGCTAACAAAGCCGCTCCACTTGCACCTACCCGGTACTACTTATAAGCGTTAGGTAGAAGAATAAATAAGCACGGCATTTTAAACTCTATTTAGAACTCTAGTGTGACGACCCGACCAACAGGGGACGGTTGTTTGGGCAAAGAAGAGCACAAACAACTAGGCCACAGGATCAGGCCAAGGACAAGGGCGGATCAGGTGGCAGTGCCGTCACAGGTCTCTTATGTAAGCATGTGCAAGGATCACGATAAGGATAAGGCACGGAGGATACCGGTCATGCATCACCTGCATGACCGTCACGAATGCCAAGACTGATGGTCACGAACAAACCACCATGACCGTCAGACGAGCACGGCATGACCACGATGAAGGACAAAGGATATATAGATGCGGAGGATCTCCTAGATACACAGTCACTACCTTTGTACTTCAGCGATCAATCTAAGTATCAGTTTCACCCACACTTGAACTAGTCACTCAATTGCCGAGACTGGTATCTCTTCCAAGAGACACGAACGACAACCCAGAGAGAGAACGACAGCAGAGTGTTAGTTGATCTTGCGCAGGCTTTACCTATCTGCAGAACAGCAACCCCAGCGCCCTGCCAGACGGTTGACCCCGGAGGCAGGATCGTGACATTTTGATCGCTCTTGTTCAGGTACGTACACCCTGAGCAATATCAACTAACAACAGGTACCACAGTTGCACAACAATGAACAACTTGCCACCACACCTTCTCACTTCAATCGGAAACCTTCTCGAAGACCTCTCACGACAAGTGCACCTCCTTGCAGAACACCTCGATCAGGTTCCCTCGGACACCCCACGCACTCAGAGCGTGACTATCGACTACACCGAGCTACAAAGGGAACGATCGAACTCGTGGATCAAGGACCCAACGTCAGCCGTACTCCCCAAGGCACCACCCATCTGCACCAAACACCTGTGTGGGAAGTACGCCATCTACGTCGGACGTTGCGCGGACCACCAGTGGAACACCCACAGAAGCATCTGCGACACTTGTCACCAACCCGCGTACCAAGGACACAACTCGGAGTGCCCAGGACGCGAATTCACCAAAACCTCACCGGAAGGACTTGCGGAAGCACTCTCCCAACTCACAATTAAGAAGGAGACACCGCAGTAATGGCGTCACAACGAAACCCCGGATCACCAGCACCACCCTACGCTCCAGCGCCGAACCTAGCGCAGGAACTCGGAACTGCCATGGAGACCCCGGACAGCGACGACGACGATGAGGAAGTTCAAAGACTTCGAGACACAGTCGGACAAAACCAGAATCAGATCGAGGAACTCAGACAAATGATTATGTCACTCCAAGGCACCGTGAATGGCAACGCGGCCATCCTTGCCAGAGAACAGGCCGAAAATCAAGCACTTCGGGAGCAACTCCACACGATGCAGACCGCAGCCAACATCATTCAAGCACCAATAGGCGGACGCATCAGATACCCGGCGCCAGGAAAGTTTGACGGCACCCCCGGAAGACTCAAAGGACACATCACCCAAGTCAAGGCCTACCAACGACAGTATATCAACGAGTTCCCAGACGAGATATCCAGGATTCTACACGCGGCAGCATACCTTGACGGCAGAGCCTTAGCCTGGTTCGAACCCTTCATGGCCCGCATCATGAACAATCCCAATCTGGAAGAACACGACATAGAGACACAGGAGATATTCGACAGCTTCGACGGATATGTCAGCGCACTCGAAACCCTGTTCCAAGACCCCGATGAGAAGCGAAAAGCACAGAAGAGTCTAAGGGAACTGAGACAGACACACTCAGCGTCCGCTTACACTGCCGATTTCAAAAGCATCATCACCAAGCTCAGCCTCACTGAGGAATCCAAGATCGAGATTTACTACGATGGACTCAAGAGCGGCGTCAAGGACGTCATTGCCGCCAGAGAACACGTACCCCGAGATTTTGGACGATATTGCGAGATGGCGATCAGGATCGACAGCCGACTCCACGAGCGAGAAACGGAACGAAGGCCGGCCAGGAGCGCCAACACCACCCGTTTCCAGTCGCACCCAAGGCAACCCGTGCGTCCACAGTTTAGGAAAACTACGACGACGACAGCCACAGGTCATCACGCAGGACCTATGGACCTTAGCAAGGCCAAGAGAGATACGCGCAGCAAGGCTTGCTACAACTGTGGAAAAGAAGGACACTTCGCACCCAAGTGCCCAGAGCCAAAGAAGGCATTTACACCGGTACCAACACGACAGATCAAGGCTAGCTATGCCGAGGGGATGGCCACCGTCGCGGAAGACACGGCATTCGCCTCAGACGGAGTTGAAGTTCCAGACGCGCAAGGAACACCCGTCCACCCACTTGCGACGTACGAATACCGCGAGCTGGAAGAAGCCACTGAGGAAAGGGACTCGAGCACCCCAAGTAACAGTGCACCAGGGGCAGGTACCCGAACGTACCGCCTGGCATACTCGACGATCGACGACACCAACTCGCCGACGGATGACGAGGCGCTGGACGATTGGCCAGAAGATAGTGACGACTATGAAGGCACCCAGCAGGAACAATCTGACGAGGAACAAGAATACACCTCGGGAGCAGAAATACAGGATGAGGGGGATAACTACCGCGACACCCCAGCTCTCATCAATAGCAACGAAGAAGGAGAGGTCCACGACTCCGAGGGCGAGGAGTATCGCGCCGAAGAATCACAGATCCCTCTTCTCTGCTTCAAAGCCACCAAAGAACCTAGAACGAAGTTCCGACAACGGTTCACAAAGCAGCTACAGTACGCGCCGGAGCGCAACCCAAAGGACCACCGATGGATGGACTACGGGGACATCAATCACCCCCAGATACTGTGGATCCACTGCTATCATGATCAGTGCCTCGACCACATCGGGCCGAAGGCCAGGCATCAACTGTTCCCCGAGAGGACAGCGGGACTACCTATCCCAAACCCATTACTCGCCGGAGCCATGAACGACTGGGCCGTCAGGAGAATGGGGAACCACATCTACGAGCTAGAGTCCAACCCGAAGACACCTCTCAGCTGCGTTTTCGGAGAAGTCAGGGCCATCGACTGCTGGAACCCAGTGTGTCAGGTCCATTCCTACCGAAAGATCGTCCGATACCAGCAGAAGGAAGCCTTACGAAAGACTCAAGAGGACATGAACAAGCTCACCGTGCCCGACATCGTCGAAAGCATCCAGCGACTCAAGGAATACGCGTCAGGAGACAACGAAGCTCTGAGGCGCCACCTTGACAAGCAATGCATGACCCTCAACGAGGAGATGGCCTTCTTCGCAGAAAACGCCATCGTCCCAGCCCTGACCATTCAGGAATATGATGGAGTCAGCAGGATGATTCGCGAAGCAACGGAGCGCGACTACGCGCCCAACGAAGGACGGAAGGACCTTTGGGCGGACATCGAAACAGTATGGCAGGAGGGACTGCTTGACAAGGGCCTGTACAACGCCCTGTCAGCAGCAAAACGCAAGGCGGAAAAAGGACCGCGGCCCTCGCAGGAGGCTCGGGCGCGCCGGAACTAAGAATCGCCTCCTCTACCATTTCCGTACCCACGTACGGACGACCAACCGTCGTCCCAGTACTCATCGAAGGAGTAACCTGCAAAGCACTCATCGACAGCGGCAGCCAAGGGACCTACATCAGCCCGAGCCTAGTCAATAAGCTCAGAATCCCGTGGAGAGCCAAGGAAGAACCATACAGGATTCGCAACTTCGAAGGGGGGCCACTGGGGTACGACGACGGATGGATCAAGCGAGAAACCCAACCACTTCGGGTCCAATTCTCGAACCACAGCGAAGACATCAGTTTCGATATCTCTGAGATAGGAGGAGACGACCTCATACTTGGCAGCGGATGGCTGGCCAAAAGCAACCCACGGATAGACTGGGGTGCACGACAACTGTCATGGGATGACGGGATCAAAGGCATGATTATGCAGATCGCCTCAGCCCATATCGAAGAACTCAACAGTATGCTCAGCGAAGTACCGGCAGAATACCACGACTACGCAGACCTGTTCGACAAAGACAACGACCGCGGACTCCCCCCGCACTCCAAATGGGACCACGAAATACCCTTGAAACCTGGCACGGAGCCACAGTTCAAGGCCATCTACAAACTCAGCCCGGACGAACGAGTAACACTCAAGGAGTACCTCGCACGAATGCTCAAGAAAGGATGGATCCGAGAATCCACTTCGTCCGCCGGCTACCCAATTCTCTTTGTACCCAAGAAAAACGGAAAGAAACGACTCTGCGTTGACTACCGACAGCTCAACGAGATCACGCATAAAAACAGATATCCATTACCATTAATATCGGTCCTCAGGGATCAATTGTACGGCGCAAACTGGTTCACGGCACTCGACATGCCGGACGCCTACAACTTCATCAGGATCAAGGTTGGAGACGAATGGAAGACGGCGTTCCGTACGCCAGAAGGACACTTCGAGTACCTCGTCATGCCCTTCGGGCTCACCAACGCGCCCGCAAGTTTCCAGACCATGATGGACCAGATTCTCAAGGAATTCATCGGCGACTTCGTCGTAGTCTACCTTGACGATATCCTGATCTATTCGAAAACTCGGGAGGAACACTACGAACACGTACGCAAGGTACTGGACAAGTTCCGGGAGCACAACCTACTCATCAATCCCGAGAAGAGCGAATTCCACAAGCAGAAAATCGACTTCGTTGGCTACACAATCACACCCAACCAAGTACACATGCAGACAAGCAAGACGGACGCACTACGCAACTGGCCAGTGCCGACCACCGTCACAGGAATACGAAGTTTCCTAGGGTTCACGAACTACTATCGAGTATTCGTCAAAGGATACGGAGAAATCGCAAAGCCCTTGAACGACCTTACGAAGAAAAACGAACCCTTCGTATGGGGCGAAAAACAGC